ATTTGTGGTGAAGACAAAGATTCTGTGATTCCATCTGCATCATGGTCAGGGGTCTCACCGTGTGGTCGAGGAACTAGTCTAGAAACAGCTTCCTCATCAAACTCAATGGTTTCTGACTGAGGTAAAGGAGCTACTCCAAATATGTCATCTGCATCAGGCGCTTCTGTCTTTTTTTGTGGTGATGACGACTTTCCCGCCCCGTCTTCTTTGTCAGCTTCATTTTCCTCTTTTTGTAGAGATTGAATTTGTCCAGTTATATCTTCAGTTTCACTTTCAAATATGTCTTCTACATCAGGTACAGCTGTCATTTTTTGTGGTAATGGCGACTTTCCCGCAATATATTCATTGTCAGCATCAAAGTCCTCCTTTTGTGGTGATCGGATTTGTCCAGTTATATCTTCAGTTTCACTTTCAATTGTTTCTATCTGTGGTGGAGACTTTAGTCCTGTGACATCTTTTTTAGCTGAGTCAGTTGTCTCCTCATCTGGCAAAGGAACTGGTTCTGATAATCCTTCTTTTTCACTTTCTGGTGATGGGACTATGTTTTCACTGTATTCTGCATCGTCGTCCGTGCTCTGTCTTTGGGGTGATGGTGTTTTGCTTCTCCTATCTTTCATTTCAGAACCAGTCGTGTCTCTCTGTGTTAAGTGAACTGGTTCAGTCATGTCTTCTGTCTCAAAGTCAGATGTATATTTTTGTGGCGATTGAATCACTCGAGTGGCGTCTTCCATTTTGCACTCAATAGTTTCTATTTGAGGTGAGTACACTAGTTCTGTCATTTCTTCTCTATCAGTGTCAACTGTCTCCTCCTCATGTAATCGAGCAACTGGTTCAGTTAATTTTTCAAATTGAACGGTTTCCATTTTTGGTGAGGACAAAGATTCTGTGATGCCTTCTGCATCATAGTCAGGGGTCTCTCCGTGGGGTAGAGGAACTAATTCTGCAATATCTTCCTCATCAAAATAAGTAGTCTCTCCCTGAGGTAAAGGAACCACTGAAAAGATATCTTCTGCGTCAGGCGCTACTGTCTGTTTTTGTGGTGACTCCACGCTTCCAGCTTTATCTTCTGGATCAGAGTCAATATCCTCTTCTTGTGGTGATCGAATTGCTCCAGTTATTTCTTCCATTACAGACGCACTGGTTTTCATTAGTGCTGATGGCGACTTTCCCGCTTTGTCTTCATTGTCAGCGTCAATGTCCTCCTTTCGTGGTGATCCAATTTGTCCAATTATATCTTCAGTTTCACTTTCAATGGCTTCTACCTGTGGTGGACACATAAGTTCAGTGACATCTTTTTTAGCTGAGTCAGTTGTCCCCTTATCTGGTGAAGGAATTGCTTCTGTCCATGCTTCTTTATCAGGATCTGAGAACTCACTTTGTGGTGATGGAACATTCTCTCCACTGTACTCTTTATCAGTGTCAGTGCTTTCTCTTTGGGGTGATAGTGTTAGTTTTGTCCCGTCTTTCATTTCAGAACCAGTGGTGTCTCTCTGTGGTAAGTGAACTGGTTCAGTCATGGCTTCTGTATCGGAGTCAAATGTATATTTTTGTGGTGATCGAATCACTCCAGTTTTGTCTTCCATTTCATACTCAATTGTTTCCCTTTGAGGGGATGACACAAATTCAGTTTTTTCTTCTCTATTGGCGTCAACTGTCTCCCCATGTGGTGGAGAAACTAGCTGAGATATTTTTTCAATTTTAGATTCAACGGTTTCCAGTTGTGGTGAAGGCAAAAATTCTGTGATGTCATGCGCATCATAGTCAGGTGATTGTGGTGATGGCATCTTTCCAGCTATGTCTTCTGTATCAGAGTCAATGTCCCCTTTTTGTGGTGACTGAATTTGTAAAATTGTATCTTCAGTTTCGCTTTCAACAGTGTCTATCTGCTGTGATGAAAATAGTTCAATGCTTTCTTCTGTATCGGAGTAAGTTGTCTCCCCATGGAGTATTGGAACTGGTTTTGATATTCCTTCTGTATCAGGATCTAAGATGTCTCTTTGTGGCGATGGCACATTTCCAGTGATGTCTTCAGTGTCAGAATCAATGGTCTCCTTTAGTGGTGATGGCATTGTTCTCTTTGGGTTTTCCATTTCAGAATCAATGTTTTCTATTTCTGCTAATTGAACTGGTTCAGTTTTGTCTTCCCTCTCAAAATCAAATGTATCTTGTTTTGGTGATTCAATTCCTCCAGGTCTGTCTTCCATTTCAGACTCAATAGTTTCCATTTTTGGTGATGACACTAATCCCGTGATTTCTTTTGTACTAGAGTCAACTGTCTCCTTATGTGGCAGAGAAACCGGTTGATTCATTTGTTCACTTTTAGACTCACTGGTTTCTTGTGTAGAAGTCACAGTATCTGCAATGTCATCTTTATCATCGTCATGGGCCTCTCCCTGTGGTAAATGAACAAGTCCAGATATATCTTGTGTATCAAAATCAATGGCCTCTTCTTGTTGTAGATGAACTACTCTTGACACGTCTTCAATTTTAGACTCAATAATTTCTTGTACATTAGAGTCAATTGTTTGCTTTTGCGGCGATCGTACAGGTCTCGTCATATGTTGTGTTTTAGACTCACTTGTTACAATGTGTGGTACTGGCACTGATTCAGTGATATATTTTGAATCACACTCAGTGGTCTCTTTATGTGGTTGAGGGATTGGTCCTGATCTGTATTTTATATCAGGCTCAGTGGTCTGTCGTTGTATTAATGCCACTCGTCCAAATATAACTTCTACCTCAGAATCAGTGATCTCCTTTTGTGGGGATAGCATTGATATAATTGTATCATCTCTTTTAGAGTCACTGGTTTCTATTTGTGTTGATGGCACTGACTCGGGCATGTCTTCTGTGTCAGGATTAGAGGTCTGTGCAGGCAGCAATGGATCTGGCTCAGATATGTATTCTCCATCAAAGTCAATCGTCTCTTTTTGTGGTGAGCATATTGATCCAATGATGCTTTCTTTTTTACACTCATCAGTTTCTATTTGTGGTGATGTCACTGATTCAATTATATCTTCTGCATCAGCACCAATGCTTTCCCTGTGTGGTAAAGGAACTGCTTCAGATATGTCTTGTACATCTGAGTCAATGTTCTCTTTTTGTGGTGATGGTATTGGTCCATCTGTATCTTCTATTTGTTGTGATGTCACTGATTCAGTGATAGATTCTTTATCAGAGTCGTTAGTTGGTATATCAGACACCGGAGTCTCCTCATGTAGTGTTGGTGGTCCTGGTCCAGATATGTCTGTTTCTGTCACTGATGCAGATCGGTGGTCTTGACCAGTCGCACTGACCCGAATGTGATTTGGTGACACATTTCCAGATATGTCATCTGTGTCGGATGCTGATGCACCAGATACATCTTGAATGTCAATTTTACTCTCCGTGTCATATTTACTCTCCATTTCATCCACTTGTGTTTCTTCGTGTGGTGATGTGAATGGTCTGGAGCGGTCGTGTGTATCCGACACAGGGATCTCTTCGTGTTGGTGTTCCTTTCTTATATTACCTGTCACCGATACACTGGAAGAACTTGACACAGAGAATGAAGTTCCCTCCTCTGCGTCTAATTCTAACAAAAGACATGAAGAATAACAAAATAAATAATTCAATCAATTCTGGCCGACTTCATCTCCCTCCGAGGATTTGACTGGCCATTTGTACTTGTGTGTCATTAGTTTCGTATTCTTTACGATCAACGGAGTGAATTGAATCCCTTGTTTAGACCATTCTTTAACATGTTATTACTTTGCATGTTTTTTTTTTTTTGGAACAAATTTGTTAACCTGCATTTGTGGATTGGCACATTCTAGCATTGTTACTAGTCCCCCCTCTCATTAGTACCAGTAACCACCCTGACTTACCCCATTGCTCTTCAAAGTGAAGGGAAACCTCCTTAATGTCTGTTAAGTCCTCTCCTTCAATTTGCGTCGTATGGGTTGTATGTGTTTCGATACATTCTGGGATGTTATCAGGCTCTGTCACTATGACTGAGCTGGACGTACACTCAATCCGGCTATTAGCCCGATGCGGTGAAGGATTACCGGAATCCATTTATCTTATATCTTATATCTAAAAAAAAAAGACATTTGATTTGCTTTGTTTAAACATGTACCACACTGAATTGCCTCCGGCGAAGAGAGCCATGCAGTGTGAGGATTCAAAAGTGTCCTTCTGAGGCCTTCCCCGATGATGACAGTCACTGTGTCACAGCAGCTGTAGAAACACAGGGTGTGGCATCACCACATGGGTTTGACGTGGCGACATCACTGGGCAGTGTGATGTCATCGATTAATGACTTTCGTGGAACAGATACTCTTCAAGTTGACATAATGTGTTTCCACGCACTGGTAATAAATGCAAATACTTTATTCACATGAACACTGTAGAAATATATTTTTTTTCTCCACAGAGCCATCTCATGGTTCTGTTACAATGTGGGGATGTAATTTTTGAGAGGCCAGAAGCAGATGAGGCTATTGCTGGGATATTTCTCCCTTTAAATTACCCGAATGAATATGATTGCTTTTTCAACTTACGTCGGTACGTGACAACAAAATCAAAATCTTATTTGTTATTCCAGCAAGACCAATGTCACTGCAAACAGCTAGGGATAAAGGATGTTTACATTTCATTTTAAAAATAAGTTCAAAATGAACTTATTTTAAACCCAGTTGAGTAACATTTAAAGATAACATTTGAATAGACAAACAACAAATCCATAAACAACAAAGAATTCAAAAGCAACACAATCTCATGAATGAGGACAGTATCATGGTCCTAGAATCCAAATTTTTTTTTTGTAACTTCTCATGTTGATAATTGTATATATATATATATATATATATATTAATGTTTATTTCAAACATGCGGTACAAACCACAAGAACAACAACAAAAATTAAATACCCCGAAATTAAATGTTCTGGAAAAGAGTAGGAAGAAGTTAATCATTTGTTTTGCAGTTAGACCACCGCTGGCACCATGACAAAAATTTTCCTCTGAAAGCAGTCCAGAAGGTTTCAGTATGTCCGTGTATTTTTTGTCGAGTATGAGATGGAATTCATTTTCTCTCGTTATACTTATTTTCCCCACTCGTGTAGGTCTGAAGCTCATTCCTGCCCGGATATAATTTGCACATTTTGTTTGCCATCCATCAACATTTTGCAGATGAGTATTCTATATTTTAAAACAATTTTTTGAATGGCAGTTGACAATGCTGTGGGATGAGAAGCTGCTGTTGTCTGTCAGGAATCTTAAAGGTGTGTTTGAACGCATATACCAGATGGACTAAGAGCTATTCTGTCTGAGGATCCATCACGGGTCATTTTACAGGAGTATACAAAAAGCCTTTCCAATTTATAATGCGTTCCAACTCGGCATGACGGTACACACATAAGTCTGAATTTGTTTTTAATTCATTGTTCTTTTAATTCTGTTGCTTTCTTTTGTGTTGCCATTCTTTAAACGGGTCGGGCTGCGCATAAGAATCCCACTTATTCGACAAGAGTCCAGTGAGTGTAATCCTCTGGCTGTCCTCCTCACATCTTCATGATATCATATAAAATTATCCACAGCACTCAGAAATGTGTTGCTGTGATCACCTGTAAAACAAAGGAACTGTTCTGTATAATGCACACCTCCCCAAAGTAATCATTTGTCTGTTTTAGTGCAAATCTGACAATTGCATCGTTTTGCCTTCTGTGGAACAGTATCCTCACTTCATTGCCAGTTATGCTGAATGAGGAAAAAATCCTAATTGATGACATTTAAAATAACCTAAGCAAATGATGGTTATGATGGCACACATACTGTCACCAATTCAACTTGTTAACTTTTGATAAGATCACAAATAACTTTTTTCCTCTTTCTGGTTCATTCCAGATTAGTTTAACAATCTTCCATGTTATCGCCGCTAGCAGGAACCCGAGGCAGTAGTATCTGCAGCCTACAGAAGTTTCCCAGGAAGTGCAGCTTGCTTTGCGAGCACAGGGTCAAAAGGGTTCACCGGATACCAGGTGCCAGTGCACCAGAGGACATTTGGACATGTGGCCTTGTACGCAGGTGGACAAAATTGTTGCTTTCCCTCAATTAAACATGTTTATATTAGAATGCGCTGTTTGAACGTCAATTCTCATTTGATTTTTTTCCTGACTCAAACAAAGTTTCCATTGTGTGTTGTTTTTTACATCACCTCAGAGACGTGCGTTCTCTCAGACTGAAAGTGAAGCACAGCGTCATGGACAGTGGCGAAGAGGCGTGACGTCGCTTTGTCGTTGGAAAAATTGCCTGTGCGCAGATTATCTACTACGCCGGCTGGAGAGAGAAACAGAGAAGCAAGTGAAGGGAGTGTGACAGAGCAGAAGAAAGACGGGAAATAAAAAGGTATAGTGTTCATTTAGGTGTGTCGCCGGCTTCATGCCAGGAAATTTACATTGACAAGATGCAAGCGCCACCTCCACACCAACTTGACCGTAATCTTTTACAATCTGAAAAACACAAAACCATCAAAGAGAACAAGTCAAGACATGACATTCCTTTATTCGTCGACCAATTAAATTCACAGGAATTGCATGTCTTCTGGATGACAATAAATGGAAGCAAGGGAGTGACTTGAAGGGTTATTAAGTTCAAAATGAAGCTTTTTAATTTTAGTGTATTCCTTTTACCCTCAGGATCAAATTCTGTGTTCCCATAACATAAATGGGATACAAAGTCAGTCATCAAAAACGTCATCCATCCATCCATCCATCCATCCATTTTCTTAATATGCTTATCCTCGCAAGGGTCGTGGGGGGTCCTGGAGCCTATCCCAGCTGTCTTCGTGCAGTAGGCAGGGGACACCCTGAACCGGTTGCCAGCTACTCGCAGGGCACACATAGACGAACAACCATCCGCGCTCACACTCACACAAGGGACAATTTAGAATATTCATTAACCAGCCACGCTTGTTTTTGGAATGTGGGAGGAAACTGGAGTACCCGGAGAAAACCCACGCAGGCACCGGGAAAACATGCAAACTCCACACAGGAAGGCCACAGCCGGAATCGAACCCTGCTTTTCTGCACTGTGTGGCCGACACACTAACCATTCGACCACCTAAGATTAAATGCCCCTCTAGGTGTTGCTCTTTTGATTAGCAACAGAGTTCAAACAGGTTCGGTTGAAAAAATCCCTCCAGCGTCTATGAACTGAAATACATGGAGCACCCTTTCTCCCCTTATCAGAAAAATTAGGTGTATATTTGAAGGAGGTGTTCATTTTTTTTAAGTTGATAATGCGCATGATCATTCTTAACTTTACACCTCTAATCTCATGCCAGGTTCTGTCCATCAGCGGTATGCATGTGTTATTTTCTTACACCACGCAAGGTCTTGACTCCCACTGTGTCTAAAAAGTTGACAGGGCTCAGGTCGAGGATGATGGCTCTGGGTAGTGAAGGGTCAGACTCAGCATCCACCTGAATGGCGGCGACATCCTTCTCGTGCTCCTCCAGCTCTCGCTCCTGAGTATGCCGAAGGATTGAAATGCAAGGAAATGTTTTATTCCTTTCCTAATAAGAGCAAATGCATTTGGCTAAGGGTAAATGTTGAAAAAAATTGACAATCTGATTTCATGTGTGAGCAGTATGACACAAAGCAATTCTGTCACAGACGGACTTTTGGCAGGCTCACCATGTCCGCCGTGTTGTTTTTTGCAGCGTTTTTGGCTTTTTGGTTCTCGTACTTCTTCTTTTTGGCTTCAAGTTTCTTCTTCGCTGACAGGATTTTGGTAATGTCAATGCCGGACTAAAATGCACAGCGAAAGACAATTATACATGGTAAGACCAACTTTTTTTTCTCCCCGGTAGAGTAGTATGCATGAATTACACGTCGCCACTTATTCATGTTTCATTGCAGATTCTGCTCACTGAGCGGTCGTATGCCAGAAATCCTCTGCACAAAACCTCATCAACCAGTTAGGCTGATCAAGGTCTCATGAATCCTTTAAACATGTCAATCCAGTCATTTTCTCGACCACTTGTTCTCATTAGGTTTGCCCGTGAGCTGCAGTCCATCTTCAGGTGAGCGGTACACTCTGGTCGCCAATCCACAAAAAGCAGTCATAGTCAATTTCACACCTATGCCCAATTAAGAGCAATTAACCCAACATTATAAAATGTGGGAGGGAGGGAGCCGGCGTACCCAGTAAAAGGCACATGAAGAACATGTGGACTCCACATATGACCTAGCTGAGTAAAATAAGTGAAAAAAAATATCCACTGATATCATATTGGAAAAGGCCTGATGTATCATTTTTCATTCAATGTAAAAAAAGAAGAAAAAAATATGTGTATGCTAAATGTTGACTAGAAAATATTGTGTACATAAAAAGTTAAGTCAAGAATACTTTAGAAAGTTCGAGAATCATTTCTCTTTTACCTTGACTGATTTCAATGTAAAAGTATGTACACCCGAAAAGAAAAAAAAAAAGGAAAAAAAATCCACAACCATTGTACCGGTATATTTGCGACCGACGTTGAATGATGAATTTGTGCACCAAGAGTGATTGACTTCCTCATTGAAAGCAATCCTTCCTGAAAGCACCTGCTCATCAAGTAATAGCGATTTGGTTAGAACAGAAAACTCCAATCATCTTACAAGGAGTGACATTTTTGTGAAAGCTGATTTGTGCTCTCAAAATAGGAAAGCATAAAAAGGCTCCTCATTGCTTGTCTTTCTGACAAGTTGACATGTAAATGGGATGTTCGATGATTATCTCTTCCATCGAGCATGTTTTTCCAAGATGTGGTTTTCATTTTCCAAACAAAAGTGATGCGCAAGAAAGACTTGGCTGACATTTTGAACAATGTTGGACATCGAATTTTTGTGCACAGGTGTGCCTGTGTGCGCTCACCTTCTTGTCCAGTGCATCTTGATACATCTCAGCATTGGCAAAGTAGAGAGTGGCAGAAGATCGGAAGATCAAAATACCAGGCACTTCTCTCACCTAACAGGAGTCAGATGATTACAAAACAAAACAAAAACTATCCAGAAAATCTACCTGATAAATTTCCACTGACAAGCCACAACATTGTGACTACATTAAATGAAGAATAGCCGAGGACCGGAGCTGGGCATGTCTGCTTCTGTGGAAGATGTGACTCCTTTTTAGTCCTGCTTTTTATGCCAACAAAGTGACAGCCATGGGTTCATTTTACAGTGTACGTCTTTGGGCATGATTATTGATGCATATTGTGACACACTAGGGTTAAGTTTGTTAGAATGAGTTTTTGTGGACTCATGAAAATGTCGTTCATGAAATTGTGATGAATTTCTCGCAAGTGCACCAACCATATCTCATCTCCACAAGACCCCATACAGCCCGGACCGCCACATCTGGCGGCTCCCGCCTGACTTGAAAGCAAATGAAACACCACGTGTAATCTCAATTTTTGCTTTGACGAAGGTCTGCTAATTCTCGGAAACAAACTTGTGATAACGAGACGTACTTTGTCACCTGAGGAGCTTCTTCTGACAATTTGTTGTGCATTTCCCAGGTAATGTTTATGACATAGCGGTATAGATATACTGTCAAATTTACATCCTGATTGCACGAACTTTGGAAGGCTTCAAATGAGATGTTTCCATCCTAGGCTTGAACGAGTAATTGTGAAATGCACAAAGGTTTTAAAAGAACAGTTAAGTAGACTTTAATCTAAATCTGTCAAGTGAGCAAAGAATTGAGTCTCCCCTGATTTGAGCTGGAGGGCAAATCTATCTCTGCTACTTTGAAAGACAACCCTGCTCAAAACTCCACCTGGCGACCTCTCGCTTCTTGGTCACCGATATTTTTGCTTTCTTTTTTGTTGTTTGCAGTCTCACGAGCTTTGCTTCAAACACTGGCAGCGATACTTCCAATTAGCTTGAGTTTTTTGGTGCTCGTCTATGAAACCACCACACATAGCAGGTTAGCTATGACAATTCTGCTGCCGGAAGCACAAGGCGAAGGTGAAGAAACTAACAAGGGTGGTCCTGATGAAGCTCAGAAACCTTAGTAAACCTTCAGTGATCAAACGCAAGTGCCACTGGGGCTTCATTTTGGCGCATACAAAAACTTGGTGAATTACATAAAGTCCGCATCAGTAAATAGTTACGACCACCTCAAGCTTTTCTATCGTGTCCCATTTTTCCCTTTCATCCATTCATTTATATATGTTTTATCCTCTTCATTCAGTTTGGCTTGCCCTAGAGTAGAATTTGGTCTTCTGACTTATATGTTTCAATATCAGTAGATATTAAATATTGTCCATATACAGAAGTGCAGCATGAATTGTGTGTCTTTGGGTCAAAGTTTTGGTGAAAGAACACATGGTTTATTTTACTGTAGCCCCACTTCATATGTAAAGACTGATTTAACTTGGTTTTTCGTCATCCATTCTCTAAAACAATCCAAAACATGACGTGGTGTCCCAAGTGGTGAGTGGAAGGCGAACAATTGCGACTGTTGAGGACGGTAGAAAAATGTGTGTACATGTCAGGGTTTGTCAGGTAAACGGATAAAATGTTTGTCCTGACTAAAACTAGATTAAAACATCGACAGTTTTTGTTGACTAAAACTAGACAACTCAAATTATCTTTTTTTTGGGGGGGGGACTAAAACAAAGACTGAAATGCATGACTCAGTCGACTAAAAAGTGACGAAATAAAAACTGGGTGAAGTTGGCTAAATGTGATAGAAACTAATGAGCGCGCTTGAAACTGAACGAAAACAAATGGCTGAAAAAACACTTGCGTCATGGCAGGTAGCCTTTGCATTCGATTACCGGTGCTTTAAATGAAAAAATTTTAAAAATCTTCAGAAGGAAATGTGTCAACAAAATACTGTAAAATGAAGACCAAGAAGGTTACACCCTGCAGGTATTTACAACACACATGAAATTAACTCTGAAAAATCATATTTTTTACCTGAGGGTAATCCTCCAAAGGCTTGTATATTTCCGTGTTTGGAACCTGCCCCAATTTGGAGTATTTAGGTCTGGAAAAACATATGGAGAGGAAAACATGAATCAACTGCAACATGTGCTTACATTCATTCGGGCTTTGCAGAAACAACTGATGATGATGATGACACTATTATTTATTTCTCACAGCTGTGTCCGGAAGATGACAGTAAGCATTGAGAAGCCAATGGAGGCAGCCAGTCCGAGGTCAGGGTTCAACAGCAGGGTGAGTAGGAAAGTGGCGACCCAGATCACCTGGAAGCAAAAATGGATTTGGGGAAGGCCACAAAGCAGCGTTTAAGAGAGAAATCTTGCCCCCCCCCCCACACACACGCACACACACACACACACACACACAACTAACTCAATTCTCCAAAGTAAGCATGACTTGGAGCTTGTTCGCTCGAAAGTCGAATGCACCAGAGGTTGGACCTTTACGTTTCTCACTTGTCCAAGCTCAGCATGTTAACTTCTTGATACGTTTGTGCATTACCCAGGAGTGTTAAAAGAGACGTTCAAATTAAAAATCCTCCTCAATGCCGCGCAGCTTTTTAGTTCCACCCTCAGAGCAAACCACTGACATCACATTGGCTTGAGTGTCTACTGTACGGTAAACATCTTGCACACTTATCATGCTGCCAGATTGGCAACGTTGGCGTACATTCAAGCATGTGTCACTCATCAGAAGCTAACACTGACACTTTGTTCTGCTTACCTTTGGGCTTTGTAGTAGTCGTGTGTAGTGTAGAAGTCATAGATGAAGAAACTTGGTGTATGAGTGGGAATAATTAGCCAGCTAATGAGCACCATTAACCAAAAATTGTGATGAACGGTAGACACATTGTCAGCAGGAGGCAGTTGAAAAAGGGTTGGGTAGGTGGTTTAATTTCACACCTGAAAGGTGGGCAGGAATATCACGATCCCCCCTCCCCCCAAATGTGCCTTGAAGGAGTCCATTTTCTTGATGTCACAATTAAAATGTTCATTCAATTTCGATTAATTCCTCTGCAAAAAAAACAATGTCATCCACTCCACAGCCTTTTTTCCCCACTCACCATGTCTGTTTTGTTACTCCTCCACAGTGCAGGTATGTCCATGAATTGCTTCATCATACCATGTAGGTTTACATAGATGATGGCAGCCAGCATTGCCTGCATTCAAAAACGACAACCAAAACGTGAGTGAACCTTTTATTAAACAATATCACAAACAAACGAAAAATAAAATTTAAGTACTTGCTAGATTGGTTGCCTTTGTGTCTCCCAACGCACATAGTGAGTGAGTCAAGTAATGAAGAACGGTGATTCATGATGGGCTACACATGCTGCACGTGTACTGCTTGACTATGATTGGTACTGTTAAACAGCAGGATGACCAGCTTGGGCATGACTCATGTTGTGTGCGGTGACTGCCTCAACACTTGAAGGTTGTTGATTTATCACCTGTGTCCAAATGCTGTTATTGGTAGATAGAACATCTATCTGTCTATCTTTCCATCCATCCATCCATTTTCTGATCCGCTTTGTCCTCACAAGGGTCGCGGGGGGTGCTGGAGCCTATCCCAGCCGTCGGGGGACACCCTGAACCGGTTGCCAGCCAACACAAGGGCACACAGAGACAAACAATCATCCGCGCTCACACTCACACTAAGGGACAATTTTGAGTGTTCAATCAGCCATGCATGTTTTTGGAATGTGGGAGGAAGCTGGAGTACCCGGAGAAAACCCACGCAGGCCCGGGGAGAACATGCAAACGCCACATAGGAAGGGCGAAGCCGGGATCGAACCCGCGACCTCTGCACTGTGAGGGCTGCCCTTTGTCTCTCTCTCTCTCTCTCTCTCTCTCTCTCTCTCTCTCTCTCTCTCTCTCGAGAGAGAGAGAGAGAGAGAGAGAGAGAGATACATATATACTTTTTTTAGAAACGTGTCTGTCAGCCACCCTAGTGAGTTCAGCAGGAATACAGTACATCAAACCGTATTTTGGACAATGATGTGTTTTTCGGCAAAAGTCATGAGTAACCCTTTCGACTTGATTCAGAACTCGCTTCTAATGTCAACACTAATAGCAGACGTGGCTTTTGGGTACGAGTCCGAGCTCTGGAAATTCAGACATTTTCACGCTAGGGAGTACGAGCTTTGGACTAAGTCAGTTTTTTGGTATGTATGTATTGCATGCACTTAGCATCAGCATCTATTCTGAAGATGATCCACATCTCACAGAAATGTTGTCTGGAAATGGTTATCTTCGCCACTTGTTGCACGCGCACATGACATGCATGCATACGCACCTTGGGTAGGTCTTCAAACAGAGCTCCGATCCACAGGGTGATGAAAAGAATAACAACGGCTGATAGTGCCCCAGCAACCTGCGTTGAGGAAAGACGCAACATAATTATTCAAGGACGGCCCTGCCTTTCTTCCCCTAATGAACCGAAATGATCAACGGGATCGTCAGGATTCATCCGTTTCCTCCTTTAAGCGCATGAGGTGCTGTGTGATGTTGAACACTTTACTCAAGTGCACGTCTGCCAAGGCTTTGACATTCATCAACCGCTGAATCGATGAATCTGACAACTTAATAGCTGAGAAGGAAATAACATTGAATCCTAACTCCGTTTTTCTTCACAGACTGCAATCAGAGAAGACAGCTAGATTTGATAAGATTTCACAGGGGTATAATTGTGGATTTCGAGAAATGTATGGTTGCAACCTGCAACAATCTTTCCCACTAGACATATTCCAATTGTGAATTGTTATTTACTGACGAAGTACAAAATGAAAGCGGCAAAAGAAAAATCTTTGTAGGAAGCACAATGTTTTTTACCATTTCAAACAATCTTGCTAACTTTTCGCATAATAGACGACAGCATTTCTAAACGATTACGACTCCACAACATTCGATATGCCTGTAGTACAAGAATCAAATCGTTGCTCGAAACTTCACATTTATGAGCACCAAGCCACAGTGCTGTCACTGCATCATACCGAGGACTGTTGACGATCTTGTCAAGTTAAACTTTGGTGTCAATTTAACAAAGGAATTGTTTTGTCATATTCCCGGATGAATATATGGCAGGTCTGTGCTCTCACTTTGTTGACAATAACTCTCGACAATAACTGTAATGTGCAAGGAAAATGGAATAAGTGCAAAATGAAATTGGTATGAAATATCCTTCCCACCTGAGTCTTCCCTCCTGTGCTCTCCTGCACCATCGAGCGAGACATAGAACAGCTGACAGCGATACACTGGAACACTGCCCCAATGGAGTTACTGAGCCCCAAGGCTATCAGTTCCTATCAGCAAAAAAGCCACTCATTTTACTCGTCAATCAATTCAACGTCCTGGTCTTTGCGCTTGTGCCCTACCTGGTTACTGTCCACTTTATATCCATATTTCAGTGCAAAGATCCTTCCCAGTGAAATAGCGATGCCATAGCCAACTACAGACAGGGCGAAGGCGTCCCCAATCACCTGACCGAAGAGCGAGGTGGGCGGGAAAACAGGCGGCTGGAGGCTGCTCGATAAAAGACAAAGAACTAGAAAAAAAAAAAGCACCTCCACTTATTGTTACATGAATTAAAAACTTTGTTTCTCACCCTGATGGAATTTCTCCAACCACATCTACTCCATATTTTCCCTGTAAGTTCACTTGCCAGGATACCAATGTAGCAATGGTGATCTGGAATATAGGTACCGTATTTTCCACACTATAAGGCGCTTGGGAGTAGAAGGCGCACCTTCAATGAATGACCTTTTGTAAAACGTTTCATATACAGGGCACACCGCATAATAAGGCGCATAGAATAGAAGCTACAATAGTGGTTGCGTTACGCATCCACTAGATGGAGCTACGGTAAAGAGAAGACAATACAATACAGCTTTATTTATAGAGAGCTTTCACAACCGCTGCAGCTGTAACAAAGAGCTTGACAGAACATTTAAAATGCGTCCAAGAAATCTGACTATTGACTATCGCCATATATAAGGCGCACTGCCGGCTTTTAAGAAAATTGAATGCTTTGAGGTGCGTCTTATAGTGCGTAAAATACGGTATGTAAATTGTTGATGAATTCATTCAATTGTTGTCAAATTGAGTGCTCCTCTATTTGTGTGAGTGAAGTGATGTGAGGTGCTTCATACTCACGCCGAGCAACTCCACAGGTATTGGGACAGGTATTTTTTTACTCAAGTATGAATTGAGCTCCTTGGCAAGGATGAGGCTAATAATGGCGACAATGCTGACCACCAGAGTCCCGATGTTGGTCTGTGGAATTAGATAACATATCTCCAGCACTGTCTGTAATAAAACGATAAAGGAGAGATAAAGTATATGTGATGTGGCAGATGCAAAGATACTCAAAAACATTTTTACAACTGCTGTATCTCAGTGAATGGACACAAATTCATGCTCATAGACGACTACAATACCATACCAGCCAGGTTATGTTTATGATACTGTATGTATAGTACTACAAATAAATTGTCAGCACAATCCCGTTCCAGTAAGAAGGTCAACGTAAACGAGGAGACTGTTGTCTTTTGAATAACATTCAGTCCATGGGGAAAAATATATAGAGTTCATCAAAATGTAATTGTTTGCCGATAGTGAGACGTCAAGAACTGCAACCAACAATATTACTTTTGTATACAAAATGGCAAGATACGTCTCTTATTGAATGTTACGTTGCATAGACTGTGATACGTTTTCCTTCTGAATTCTCATCGGGATCGTTTTTTCCATATGAGCGCGATGACCTCACGTACATATATCAAGGAGAGCGGTCCGCTGTATCTCAAGGGGCTGAATCCAAAGGTGTATTTGAGCTGAGACACAATAACGTGGATTGCGGCGCCTGTGGTGTAACCTCTGACCAGCGGTTCTGAGAGGTAAGTCACCACAAATCCAAAATGGACCAGGCCGAGCAGGATCTACATGGAGCGGGCAAACGAGACACAGGAAATTCAGAAACGTAGGCTTTGTTACAACTTGGCATGGAAACAAATACTGCACCTGAAATAATCCTGCTAAGAAAGTAACGGCGGTGGCCACTCGCATCCGTTCAGCATCACGAGCAAGGACGTCCAATACACTCACGTTGGTCATATTGTCCCATATCATAAAGTTGGAGTCTGGGGCTAATCGCTCCGTAACCCCGCCGAGCATCACACTAATCACTGCAAATGTTCCTGAAGGAGAGAGAAGAATGCAACGTACAGTATAATCCGAAGACCGTACATTCTCCAAGATAGGCGGCCCGGTGAATGAGTCGTTAGCGCGTCGACCTCGCTGTGCAGAGGTTATGGGTTCGATCTCGGCTCCGGCCTTCCTGTGTGGAGTTTGCATGTTCTCAGCCATGCCTGCGTGGGTTTTCTCCGGGTACTCCAGTTTCCTCCCACATTCCAAAAACATGCAAGGCAGGCTGAATGAATGCTCTAAATCAGGGGTGTCAAACATACGGCCCGCGGGCCGGATCCGGCCCGCGAGATGATTATGTAAAGCATCGGTGTCAAACATACGGCCCGCGGGCCGGAACCGGCCCGCAAGTAGGTTCAATCAGGCCCGCAGGATAATGTAAAAGTGAAAAAAATGCATTAAAGACACAGAATTAATATTTTTAATCAGGTGCAATTCATTGAGTATCCGCAAGGGGACACTGTTTTGATCAGAGAAGAAGACAACAGCAGCCTCAGTCTGTCACTGAGACAGACCCATGACAGCAGACGCTATCAATAGCACTCTCAAATTTACACATTTAATAGCACTCTCCTTAGTTTGTAAGGTGTAGGCAGGGATTACATTTAGATTTTATATGCACGTGTAAATGGTTTAAAACTTCCTTTCTTTATAAATCTCGTTTAATCTTAAAGTGCATTACTATATTTTTCAATACCAATTACTTGTTAAAGTTTGTACAATCAGTGGGATCAGTTGCAATGCATATATGTGAATGATAAAAGTAAATTGCACATTTGTCGAAGGAAATGTAAGGTGCTTCATGAAATGTTTTGTAAAAGATATGTTCATTAAATTTCAATATTTTCCTAATGTTCTTGTGCTTCTTTATACCAAAACAAAGGAAAGACATATTGTTTTGGTTATTTATAGCAAAGTATTGTATCATTTTAATGGTCCGGCCCACTTGACATGTACCGAGGCCGTATGTGGCCCACCATGTGAAATGAGTTTGACACCCCTGCTCTAAATTGTCCCGAGGTGTGAGTGTGAGCGGGGATGGTCATCTTTGTGTGCCCTGCGATTGGCTGGAAAACCGGTTCAGGGTGTCCCCCGCCTACTGCCCAAAGAAGGCTGGGATAGGCTCCAGCACTCCGCCGCGACCCTTGTGATGATAAAGCGGCTCAGAAAATGGATGTACATTCCACAAGATAGAATGTCAGAAGGCACCTATATTACCATGTACCTATTGACAATCCTTCAACCGAACAAATTGGGTTTCCTGTGAGTATATCATCTCAGTATTCAACAAAGCCGACCCAGATTTCACATTAAGTACGAATCCCAGTTCCCATGAAGTTGGATTACTGTGATTAACAAATTTTAAAAATAAATAATACAATTAAAATCTTTTTCAACCTATTTTCAATTGAATATACAGCAAAGACAAGATGTTTAATGTTCAAATTGATGAACGTTACTGTTTTTTTGTTGTTGTTGGGATTTTTTTGTTACATATTCTCTCATTTTCAATGTGATTCCTGCAACCCAAAAAAACCCAAAAGCTAGGACTAGGGCAACAAAAAGATGAGTGTCTAGACTGGGGGTGTAAGGAGCATTCCAGAAAGGCTCAGTTTCATAAGCAAGGATGGGGCATGGCAAGGGTAATTTTTTTTATTTTATTTTATTTTATTTTTTTATGGACATCCCTGCTTATGTCGGAGGACTGTGTCAAGCCACCTTCTACATGTGTTACAACAGCGTGGCTTTATGTAAAAGAGTGGTGAAATATTGTCTGCCAGCAGTCCAGGCCCACCTCCCATTAGAAATGTATGTCGCACAATGAAGCGTAACATTACAAAATGACTGGGGAGACACTGGACTGTTGAGCAACTCATGTTGTACATCAAGCAAGAATTACAAAGAATTCCACCTACAAAGCTTCAGAAATGTTTGAGTCTTGTTACAGTAACACAGTGGTAAACATGCCCCTTTCCCAGCTTTTTGGGAATGTGTTGTAGGCATCAAATTCCAAGCGAGTGAATATTGCAAAACAAAAAAAGGTAATCAGTTTCAACATGAAATACAGTAACTTGTCTCTGTAGTGTATGTGTTTTTATTTACACCCTAACGTCATTGGAATTGGGGTGTCTCAGTTTGTAACTAAAGGGTGACTATTTCAGTACATACACTTTTTTTGATGACATTTTTGTTTGGTGGCTTCCCCAAAGAGAACTTTGTCATGTAAAATATGTGTTCAATACATGATGTGAGACGCCGTTCTCGAGAATATGTTGAGTGGCAAATTACCAACCTATTGAGATGTGCTTGGACGTGCCAAAGATGAAGTAGATGAGGACGGGGTAGAAAGAGGAGTAAAGGCCAAAAACCGGTGCAACGCCCGCTAACAAGGCGTAGGCCATACCTTGCAAAAAATAAATAATAATAATAATAATAATAATAATAATCACCATATCAACCGATTACATTGTTAATCTTCAACAAAAGCCGTTGCAATAAATATCCAAAACATGAGTTTATCTGAAGATACAAGTTCAAGCTTGACATGTTCAGCAAGCGTCAGTATGCCGCAAGATATAAAGTAGGTATATCTCACCTTGGGGCAGCTGCATGATGCCCACACTGAGCCCAGAGATGAGGTCGCCCAGTGCGTTTTCTTTGATGGCGTAACGAGGCAACCACGACAGAACAGGGATGCTCCCCAGCAGCGACCTTTTGACTCTGGGACCAGAACACCTGAGACGAAGATTTGACCTGAGGGTGACACACACACACACACACACACACACACACACACACACACGGGGCGGGGGGGAGGGGTACTTTCATCGGTGGTCTCGGTGCGGCGCGTCAGATGTGTTCCTTTCATGTGAGTATGTTATGTTTTCCTTAGTGAGATCATTTAACCAGCGGATAACAAGGGACTTTGCTCCAACATGAGTGAAAATGCGACGGTTTAACATTTCTTGACATGAGAGAAGAACATGGCTTCAGATTAGGGTGTCCCAGCAGGAAAAAAATTCAATGGTGAAAGGGCACCGATTTTTTTTGTTGTGTTGTAGTATGAAAGTTTGGAAAAAAAAAAGAGTGCAAGGGAGTGAGCATAAATTCTGAGTAGATACTAAAGATAAGATTGTTTTCCATCATTGTAACTTTCGTAAAGAAGTGAATGATAAACAGCTTCGGATGACGCTGTTTACCTTTCGCCAACGTGTATTACAATGCTCATAACTTTTGAAGTGAAAGGGCTGCGCACGGGTGATAACATGACGGTTCATCATGAGGTGCTGCAAGGCCAGTTTAGAAAAACGAAGCGGTCAAAAGGAATGTCGCGGTTTTAATATCTATCATGGGGCGAGGGAGGAAGAGGGACAGCCCACATGGGACTTTCTCCGGGACCTCCGCTGTTTGTGTGTGTTTTGTGTACGTGCCTGACAATCAGCGGATGAGGAACAATGAAGTTTACCTGACTGAATGTTTGACCTTGTCGCACAGAGACATTTTTGGTATCAAAGTCCCAGGCGGTTTCTCCACCGCTTGTTCATCCACGATCTCCCTGTGGACTCTGTTGACGAGTTCTCTCCCCTCCTCCATGACTACAACAAAGAAGGTTTGACAGTGACACCTGATGGATCTTGCTTCCTAAAAATACATATCACGCCTCCATACTTACTAAGACCAGAGAACAAGTAGCAAGGGGATATTCTTACCTTGTGCTTTCTTGCTGGATCTAAAAATTAAGTGAATCCCAAAACAGAGTCTTCAGTTTGTTTTGAAATCAGATGACATGAGTTCTTGATGAACTCATCGAACTGAAGACAATAACGCCTGTTAGGTCCGAGGACGCCGTCCTGTGGTGTCCACTTGGTGAGAAATGAGCCCTCGCTGTGTGCAAATCAGTCCCCAGGCGTTTAAGCTAATTTGTTGAAGAGGTTTTTGTTCCCCATGCGATTCAACTGCGGCAGGTTTTCATTGACTTTTCCTTCGCCCGAGAAAAAACAAAAAAGCGACCACACTCACAGTCCGTCTCTGAATTGGAGCTCTTGTTATATCTTGTATCAGTGAGAGATTAGATTAGTCAGCCATTGGAGGGCAGTCAGGTTTGTTTCTTGTCCAATCATTACACCGCACGGAAGAAAATATGATGCCAGCTGGATTGCTTTCAAAACAGATAACAATTAACCGAGCAGAATAAGCACTCCAGAAACGGTGATGTTTACAGACGCGTCTTCTTACAGCCTCGCACGGCACGGAAAAAGTCATTTGAATTTACTTCATTGGAACGTGTACATCATCGGTTGTGCTTGATGCAACCGATGATAGCATGATCAAATTATCAACTGGCATTGAATGGAAATCCCCCACCCCCCCATGTCACAATTTGGTGAATTTCACATTTTCTTCACAAATCAGTATTGGTCAGTCCCAATGTGTGTGTTATTTATACAGCTTATTGACCAAACTTGCCTCTTTCACAATGCAATGCTAATGCTTGAATGAAGTCGCTGTTTTTTTGTTGTTGTTGTTTGTTTTTTTTTGGGGGGGGGGGGGCTCCTGAAATGTGAGGATTTTGGAGATAAAGCAACTTTATATTAATTCGTCAACAGACATATTGGAATTGCTTACTCGTATTGCGAGAAATAAAATGTGGCCTGACATTGATAAGGAATGCCTGGATACTGACATTGGTCTTCTTCTTCTGGCCGGACTGTGCAAATGTAGCATTGAAGCCACTCTGGGGTGCATCGACAGGCAGGAGGAATATTTTCCGGGCAACCACGTCACTTCAGACCTTTCTCATGATGTCGAAGAGTACCCCAATTTGGTAACGGAGACACACTGAGGAAAACCTGACAAACTTGCTCCCGTCAGAGAAGTCTGGGAGAGATGGGTGCAGCTCCTTTCCTGATGTTCAACCCAGGTCCAGAGGTGACTGAAGATGAATACTTTCTCACTTTCTGTGGAAAATGCCCCTTGCGGCAATACATGCGCCAGTAAGCCAGGCCAATATGGCATAAAAATCTGGGCATCCCCGTGATGCAAAAACCAGCTACAGATAGAACCTACAGATTTACGAAGACAAATCTGCAAGTTGGGTCCCTAAATAAACAAAAACAAAAGAAAACAACCAACCATCCATCCATCAATTTTCCGATCCGTTTTATCCTCACAAGGGTCGCGATGGGTGCTGGAGCCTATCCCAGCTGTCTTCGGGCAGTTGGCGGGGACACCCTGAACCGGTTGCCAGCCAATCGCAGGGCACACACAGGCGAACAACCATCCGCGCTCCTACTCACACATAGGGACAATTTTGAGTGCTTAATCAGCCTGCCATGCATGTTTTTGGAATGTGGGAGGAAACCGGAATACCCGGAGAAAACCCACGCAAGCACAGGGAGAACATGCAAACTCCACACAGGAAGGCCGAAGCCGGGATCGACGTGCTAACCACTGGACCACCGGGCCGCCTTCCAAACAAAACATGTAGTCCTAAATGTGTCTCCTTGACTGCAGGTATTTTTTTAAACCAGCTATAACGTTGTATGACCTTGAACAAGAACTCACCACTGGCAGGTTAACGAATGCAGCTAAACAGTATTGTTTGGAAGAGATGCAACTATGATCAATCCTAAAGTCAGACTTGGGTGGGTGAAAAAGTCTTAAGAGAGGCAAAGTAGAAGGGAGATGGGCCTGGCGCAATTCAGGTCAGAATGATCACTTCCTTTGAAAAGCCGGGTGGCTGCAGCAGATTTCCTTTCACAAATTTATTTACACCGCAAACTGGACAACTCCAAAACATTCTGACATTTCGTTTGTTCAGGAGTAATCATCAGGAAACATCACACTTTCAAAGTTCCTCATTCAAAAAGCTCGTTACAACACTCATTTAATACAAAAAAATTTGTTGTAAAATTGTGTAAATAAATTCTTGGATGACAACATTTCAATCGTTGTTGTTCTGACTTCCACGTTTAATGGTGCCATAGTTTTGAGATGCATCACACAGACGTATGGGAAGGAAGGAGGAGGAATCCGTCCAAGTTGTACATTCAAGTTTATGTTGCATCAGCGGTCAATTCCTGAGAAGAAACAAGTCAAAAACAAAACTCATTCAAACCACATCATTGCGACACAAATTTAAATGGTCAGTTCTTTTGCCTAGCTAGCCTCTGTTGTAGATAGATGTTCTTGTAGCAGTCCCATTTGTTTTTGCAATGTGAACGACTCCATAAAAATATCGGATTTATCAAAAAAATCTGAAGTAGCCATATTCTTCCACTTGTATTCATTGCCCAAGTAGCACCATCGCACAAAAGCTTCAACCTCAAAAAAAAAAAACAATCTATAGCTTATGCTGCGTTCAGTTCCTAACTATTGAACTTTTTCTGCAACAAGATCAAACACTGAATGATTTTTTAAAAAAAGCACAAAAAGTGTGAATGTAGGATGAAACACACCTCAAGAAGCACAGGCAGGGAGCTGACACAACGACGGACGGCGTGATGGACTGATGGAAAGATGGAGGAGCCGGGCAGGCTGTTGGGTATGCAGCCCTGATACCGGAGCTGAGCTAAAAGGCTCTCTATTGACACATACAGTAGTGCAGCTCAGGTTTTACTTGACATTTGCGCTTGGATCACGCAATCAAAAATGTATCAATAAAGATGTTTGTGACACCACTCACGTAGAGGGAAAAGAAACATGCACACACTTGCAGGTGTCTGCCACTGCCTCACATCCAAATTGGGTGTGTGCAAACTCGAGCACGTGTCACGGTAAATAAAAAAAATAAAAAAATGTAATAAAACTGACCCGGGCACGAGGCCAGAAAAACACGGAGGCTTCGGGCTTCCAAGTTCTCCACAAGCTGTTGGACACACACACACATCAGAAGATAAGCTTTGAGAGGATGCCGTCACTCAATTTTTCTTTCGAGCAAAATCTGTCACGAAGCTTGTCGGATTATTCGCGTCTTTGTGATTTTGCTTATCAGTGAGGTCAAAGATATGATAAAGCCGGGAACATTAAGATTGGTTAGTCATTCATCAAAAGCTGTGAAACGCAAGACGACGTGCAATCAACAGGGTGTGTCGCAGATTTTCATGATCACATGACCGCTGAACAGTAGCCTCACTCACAAGGGATGAGCATTTGAAGGGATTTTCTGAAAGGGGAGAACAAAAAAACAAACCAATGAGGTGCTCCACTTTAATTGGCTAAATGAAATGAACAAACTCAAGTTGTTGCTTGACAAGGAGTTTTGTGAATTTGACTTTGAAAAAGCGAAAAAGAGATTTTTACGGTGAATACCAAGCGAGCGGTGCTTATCTCTGAATTAAAATATGAGGTGAGGATTATTTTGATACCGTGCAATTAACTGGCAACCTGTACAGCATGTATCGCTAAATTTCCTTCTCACCCACTCTGCTTACGCGTGACTCTGAACAGGATAAGCGGTAGGAAATAATTCATGATCAAAAAAATATGTGAATTGCATCAACCACATGACAACGTCATTTAAGTTACCCTGACAGTACTCATCATGGTGGATGGTGGAGTCAATGAAGTTTGTTGATTTTTTTTTTTTTTTTTTTTTACATTTTTACTTATTTATTTGTGAACATTAACCTTCGGCCAACAAAAACTAATCCGCTGACTGAACGCTGACTTACAATTAAGCCCAATCAAAGTTGGGGAAATTCAATATTAATTGTAGAGGGGGAAAAAAAGAAGCTGCTTACTGTAGGCCAAGAATATTTTACGGTTTCCGCTTGTAGGGAATGTAATTGAAAGTCGCACAAAGAGCTGTCAAGTCAGCTCAAAAATAAAACTGCACTTCACCATTTGTAGTAGTCTGATGGAAAAAACATTTTTTCAATGCATGCCTATGTTGACTCCAATGTGAATTGAGAAACATGATCGATTGTCTCAATTACATGATTAAAGATAAGATAAGAAAACCTTTATTTGTCTCACAATGGAGAAATTCCCAATTTACGGCAGCAAAAATTATAAAAGGGAGAAGTAGAAGAACAAAAAGCATACAAGTAAATATAAATATGAATAAAAAATGTCATTTATATTATATTATATTGTATTATATTATATTATGATTTATATAAATAAAAAGATAAAATGCAACCAATTGCTTCTAATTGCCTCCAATTAAAATCCAGAAATGTTTTAATCATGCTCCACCACTCATAAATAGGTGTTAAGGCAAATAGCCAATGAATAAAGTATTTATGTGACCAATGGTGAGATCACCGGTGTTGGTGCGTTGCGCCCCATCAGGCTGAAAAATCAGTCACGCCATCTCGCATCTCGACGGTGCTTTTTACAAGACGAATATTGACAGAATTGATGAATCACCTTGCAAAGCGCCGTCATGGCGACGCTGTCCATGAAGCTGACTGAGCTGAGATCCAGAATCAAGGAGTGGCCGTGTGTTGGCAACTGGGCGGCGGTGTGATCCCCTGGTGGGTTCTCGTTCTCAGCACGACTTACAATCTGAACAGAGAATGGAAGACTTGGAGAGAATTCCATAACAATGTGTTGCTATGTGTGTGTGTGTGTGTGTGTGTGTGTGTGTGTGTGTGTGTGTGTGTGTGTGTGTGTGTGTGTGTGTGTTTTCCACCTGTGTGATTTCAGTGAAGATCATTTCAGAGTTAGCGAAATAAATTGGACTGGGACAAAGGATTATCGTAACGCCTGGAACCATCTTTGCCTGTGAAACCCACACACATTTATCACTTAACCCTCTCAGGGACGGCGGTTACTACAGTGGACAGCTTATCATGTTATCAGGTTACAGGGTACATGAAAGGGTTAAATCAGAAACAAAAGAATGCTTTCCTGCTCATGAAAGAGGGATGCAGCTTGATCCAACATACAGAAAACTCCCTTTACTCTATTTTATATGCCCACGTGTTGACCCAAATATTTTCTGTTAGCTTTCTATCCTGATTCAGAAGATTTTTAATTAATGGACTTTTTCTACCTTAGCTCAGATGGTGTCCAGTCAAGTGTTGAACAAAAGCAACACATTTTCATTTGTACAACTGCTGGCAGATGAAACTAAAAGGTAATTAAAAACAAAAAAAAAATTAAACAAGTATAAAAAAAAACAAAACTATGAAAACACCTCATTGTAGAGCTGCACATCTATGTAACAATCTGTACCAGGAATTTGACCCAAGACTGCAGTGGAGGAGCTGGAAGATAAGGACAAATGCGAGAAATGGTCATGACGACATGGCAGACGACTACACAGAGAGAGAAGCTAAAACGGCAGACCAAGAACGCTTTCATTAATCCTCTATTCTGAGAGTCAAGCCTAAAAGATCTCCCATATGCAGCAAAATGCTAAATAACAACACTGGTATATTTGGTTGCAAGATACAAAAAAAAAGTAAAAACAAACATTCGACATTTTTATGTCAATCTGCTCCACACAATTAATTCGACATTTCCATTTTGGAGTGTCCTGTCTGTCAAACTGAAGCTTGTTTTGAAGAGGGTTGAGTTAACTGCCACCATCCAGCGCTTGTATACAAATTTATATACAAATTACACATTTATGCATGCAAATCAAAGCAAAAAAAAAAAAACGTCCATACCTCAAAAAAAACCAATTCCTAAGTCAGGTCACGCTTATCACAAGGCACCATTGTATTCATTTTAGGCCCAGATGCGTTACTGTGTTCAATTGCGACGTGATCAGTTCAATCAATTGAAAGCTTAAATGTCTGTCGGTCACAGTTCCTGTAATATCACACAAAACCACTGACCGTTGTGTTCTGTAGATGAGCACAAGGAGAGAAAAGGCGATGGCCACTGCCAGACCCAGATCCAAATTTAGGACTAGAGTTGAAATCAGTGATGCCACCCACACAAGCTTGAGTAGTGAGAAACCAGAGCAGAGGTCAAAAGTTCATTGTCACAAAGGAAAAGGTTAGTAGTGCAATGATAATCGAAGGCAGTGTGGACTTGTCACACGTGTGTGTGTGTGTGTGTGTGTGTGTGTGTGTGTGTGTATACACTACCAGGTCAAATCGATCAGACTTCCACAACAAAACCACATCTTGAAACTGAGCCAGCAACCCCTGCAGGTTCACCACAATGATCACTGCTAAAATTGCCTGAAACAGACAGCGAGTTTTCTATCATTCATTCCTTGATACAAGGCCTCACACGCATTCGTGACCCGTGACGTGATCGTTCCATCCATCAATTTAGCGCTAAATATAAATAGATGGCTTCTTGTGGTCAATACTCATTCTTGCACATTTTTATGTAAATTTTCTCATATTCATAATGGATACTGCATTTCATTAATACATGTAATAAGTTGATCAATGTAATTCTGATGTATTACTATATTTTAAAAGTATATCACATTTATTGGCTTAACTCTGATTTGTGTAGTTTTTTTGTACTAATCTTTTGAATTTGTCTTTGAACTCGACAAGTGATTTACTCATTTTCAGGTCCGTTTCGAAATTATTCCACAGATTGACACCTATTACAGATACACTCCGTTGCTTGATGTTTGTTCTTGTTTTGGATTTTTTGTATTGGTTAGTTCCCCTTAAATTATAACTTTCTCGAATTTCAAAAAGCTTCTGGATGTTTTGGCAAAGGAGGTTATTATGTGCTTTGTACATCGGGCGATTTTGAAGTCAACCAGGTCATAAAATTTCATTGTGTTTAATTTGATGAATAGTGGATTCGTGGGTTCTGTATATTTAGATCTATTGATTATTCTGATTGCTTTTTTTTGTAGTTTTAAAATAGGGAGTGTGTTTGTTTTACAGGCGTTTCCCCATATTTCCACACAGTAGGTCATATATGGAAGTAATAATGAGTAGTATAATGTGTACAAAGATCTCTTATTCAGCACATCCTTAGTTTTGTGGAGGATCCCTATAGTTTTGGATATTTTTCTTTTGACGTTATCTATGTGTGGCTTCCAGGATAGTTTAGTATCTATTACTAATCCAAGAAATTTATTTTCATAAACTCGTTCTATTTCAATTGAGTTTACCTTTATTTTTAACTTGGGTGTTTGATTGGTCTCGTGCCAAAAACAACTAACTTAGATTTTTTTCAAATGTAGTGATAATTGATTCCTGTCGAACCAGTTTTTTAATTTGTTTAAATTAATTCATTTTCCACATTTTTCAGGAACTGTTTCATATTTTCTCCAGAGCAGTAGAAAGTTGTATCATCAGCAAATAGGGCGCATTTGAATTGTTTTGAGACACTACAGATATCATTTATGTATAAGATGAATAGTTTTGGTCCAAGCACAGACCCCTGAGGAACTCCATGGGTAATCTTCAGTTGATTGGATTTTTTATTGTTGAACTGCACATACTGATATCTGTTTTCTAAATAACTTTCAATCCATTTATATGCTATGCCTCTAATACCATATCTCTCAAATTTATTCAATAATATACTATGATCTATTGTACCAAAAGCTTTTTTTAGATCCAGAAAAATCCCAACAGTAAATTCTTTGTTGTCTATATTAGTGGCTATTGCTTCCAAAAACTCCATTACTGCCATTGAGGTGGTCCGTTTTTCTCTGAAGCCATATTGATTTTCACTTAATAGCACATGTTTATGTATGAAGTTATCAAGTCTGCAAGAAAATAGTTTTTCTAATATTTTTTGCTTTTTTTGCTTTCGCGGGCCACATAAAATGATGTGGCGGGCCAGATCTAGCCCCCGGGTCTTGAGTTTGACACCTGTGTTCTTGAATGTTATCTTGCTGAATGATCAAAATGTTCCCTTCCATGATGAAAAAATGGCTATTTAGCTCTTGAATGATTGTCAGTTTGTGTTTTTTTTCCTGACCTGACATGTCGCGATTTGTACTGGTAGCGGGGAGGAAGCCAAAGTGAACACATGCATGTCGTTGTCAACCAAATATGGATGCGTGACTGCAGGAAACGCTTTTCCAGCAATAAAAATAGCTTGTAATGATATTCCAAGTCGATTTTTACCTTTGGCAGCTGCTCGAAGAGATGACCAATTTTCAGCAAAACGGTTAAAATCATCAGGGCTGATACCAGGCCTGACATCTTGAAAAGCAAAACGAAAGTGCAAATGAGCAATAGGAAGGACAAACGTGAGGATTTGCATTTGAAAAGCATATTGGCGAGGCGAGAATGTATCACGTGCCCTTTCAACAGAAGAGTCTTTCAGGGGGTAAAAAAAAAAAAAAAAAACACCTGTGATTTGACACCAATGCTTTCTTGAACCATACTGCGTGAGAAGGAGCAACTGACAGCAAAACACTGGAACATGGCTCCGATAGAGTTACACAAACCCAGAGCCAGCAGGTCCTGAGGAGGGAGGAACAAAGAGGGTTTGTGTTCAAAAAACAAAAACAAAACAACAAAAAAAAACATTATCATCAAGGTATTTTTTTCCAAACTATCTGCACAGGTTGGGAGAGGGTTTCAATTGATTTTAGGAAACCTGTTGGTTGTTTACCTTCGGTCTCAACTCACCCCAGAAGTCTTCTATTTGAGTCAGTATGGTGTTAACAGAAGAGACCACTCTGCAATTTAACCCTTTCAGGGACAACGGTTACGACAGTCAACTCAACTCGACTCAACTCAACTGTATTTCTAGAGCACTTTAAAACAACCACCGCTCTATACAAAGTGTTGTACATGGAGCACATATCAAATATAGAACAATAAAGAATAAATGAATAACGAAGACAGTAGAAAGCACAAAAAAAGTACATCCAAACTCAAGTCTGAGTCATGCTGAGTCAAAAGCCAAAGAATACGAATGAGTTTTGAGACGAGTTTTTTAAGATGGGCAGTGAGGGGGCTTGCCGAATGTTCAGTGGGAGGTCATTCCAAAGAGAGGGACCAGCAACGGAAATGGCTCAGTCCTCTCTGAGCCTCCGCTTAGTTCTTGGTACCGCTAATAATGTCTGGTCCGCAGACCTGAGGGACTGGGCAGGTGTGATGGGGCGGAGGAGCTCAGAGAGTGAAGGTGGAGCGAGGCCATGAAAACAAATTATAGGATCTTCAAAAGAACTCTAAAATGTATCGGGAGCCAGTGAAGGGATGCCAGAGCAGGAGTTATGTGCTCTCTCTGACGAGTACCAGTCAAGAGGCGAGCAGCAGCATTCTGGACCAACTGGAGACACTTAATGGAGGATTGGCTGACTCCAAAGTAAAATTGCATTTCAGTAATCGAGCCGGGATGTTTCAAAGCACTCATGAGAAAGGAGAGGTTTTACTTCAGCCAGCTGCCTAAGATGAAAGAAGCTGGATTTAACAACGGCACAGTGGACAGTTTTTCATGTTACCAGGTTACACGGTGCATGAAAGGTTTAAATGGCATCGGTGTCAGTTGGTTACCAAATGCCATAAGGGCTTGCCACAAAAATATTGAGAACAATGTAACATATCTCACGAGACAGTATCGCGACACCTGAATCAAATGTGATGGTGCTGCTGTCCCTTGAAATGAATTCTCCCTAATGTGTTCAGACACATGCTGTGATGTAGCTGAGGCGATTTCTGTTACCAGGAAGCACCTTGCTAACTAAAATAAAAAAATCAATAAATGCAGTTTTTGATGAACTGTGTTAGAAGTACTGTACCTGACTGGAGTCAAAGTGGTAACCATGTTTGTGGGCAAATACCGAGCCCATGGCCGAGAGGAAGCTGAAGCCCACCAGAGCGACCGACAGAGCCGGAACGAACAGTTCCCTGGCCATGGAGAGAGAGGGGACGATGGGGGGTGACAGGCTGCAGAAGAGGAACGACAACAGAAAACACCCACTCAAAGACGACATTGCAATTCAGTGCCAAACGTAAGTGAAACGATGCCATTTTATCGCTGACCTCAATGCTTTTACTCAAGTTCAAAATCGATGTTTTTGAGATTTAGCAGATTGATCACGAAACCCAATTCTACTAAATGACAATAGAACACTAAAATGAGGGACTTGGCAGGATGATGACAAGAAAGGAAATATAGGTCAGTCAACATATGGCCCCTATTCATTCTTTCTAATCTTGATTGTGTAATTCATGTCAATTCACAAAAACAATAGCATTAGCATCTAGCATTAGGAATGATGGATGCTGAATTGAAAATAGAAGCAAAAAAAAAAAAAAGGACAATAAGACTATACCACTGACCCAGAGGGAATATCTCCAACCACCTGGACTCTGTGTTGTCCAGCCAGATTCATCTGCACCGAAACCACAGTACCCAGGACAATCTGTTCCGCCCCCCCCACCCCCCCAAAAATTCAACAGATTGAATGCATACACACATTTGTTGCACATTCTATTCAAAGTAGTTCATCTGGAGGTTGTAGAATTAAGCAGCTCATCAAATGAATGAAACACATAAAAAGGTACATAAATAGTTATTAATTAATAGGTATTGTAAGTACCGTATTTTCCGCACTATAAGACGATTCGGAGTATACGGCGCACCTTCAATGAATGGCCTATTTTAAAACTGTTTTCATATGTTAAGTCCAATTACCCCATGGGGATGAATAAAGTTTTCTGAATCTGAATCTGAATATATAGAGCGCATTGCATTATTAGGCACATAGAATAGAAGCTACGATGGTGGCTGCAGTAGCGTTATGCATCCACTAGATGGAGCTACGCTAAAGTGAATACAATACAATACAGCTTTATTGAGATCGAGCTTTCATAACTGCTACGTCTGTAACAAAGCGCTTTCCAGAACAAAATACGACGTCCAAGAAATCTGAATATTGATCCATATATCAGGCATGCCGGATTATAATGTGTACTGTCGGCTTTTGAGAAAATTGAATTCTTTTAGTGCTTTTATAGCGTAGAAAATACGGTAAGCAAGGGTGGCACGGTGGTCGACAGTTTGCATGTTCTCCCCGTGCCTGCGTGAGTTTTCTCCGGGTAGTCCGGTTTCCTCGCATATTCTAAAAACATGTATGGCAGGTTAATGGAACACTCTAAATTGTCCCTAGGTGTGCGTGTGAGTGCAGGTCGTGGAATCTTTTTTCCAAACTACAATAGAAGGCATGGTGAAAAATTGATTTGAAATGTCTTTTTAAGAGCGAATCAGTGTTTCATCTGCTCTTTTACTCTACATGAATTTGATCTATGTTAACATGCACTGTAATTGTATAATGAATTTTGTAGTTTGACATTGGGGCATTGGTTCATGTCAGTGTTTGCATGTGTTGCTCACCAGGACAACTTCCCAGGGTATGGCCGCCGGCAGCTTGCTTTTAAAATGTTTATTCAACATTTTGCCCCCAATGAGTAGCACCGTAGAAACCACAGTGACGGACAGAGTTCCTGGTATTAAACTGCTCATTCCACACAGGACATCGTGTAAAATCTGGGAGAAGGGGACACAAACAAAGATGCTTTAATGAGACTTTCCATATATATATATATATATATATATATATATATATATATATATATGTGTGTGTGTGTGTGTGTGTGTGTGTGTGTTACGACAACCAACCCAAGCGGAGGCCATCAGTCCGGTGTGTCTCTGTGCAAATATTCCCGTCATGAGGGGCAGCTGCAGGGCAATCACATGCAGGGCGGCACCTGTTGTGTAGCCTCTGATGAGAGGATCGGACAACCAGCGGCACACGGCCCCGCAGCGCAGCAAATAAAGCAGGAGCTGGAGGAGTACACACACATACACAAATGCACATAAACACCACTTGTGGTTTTCAAACCTCCATAATATGAGCTGTTGCGCTCTTACAAAACAATATTACTTATTGAAGTATGTGAAGACTTTTGACGTGTGTCCCCGTATGTGCCATCAGACTTTTAAAAGTGTGAAAAGCCATGACATAGTTGTGTCAGAAAATAGATGATAATGCATAATCCATCCATGCATGCATGCGTACCTGTATGAGACCACAGAGCAAGGTAAGTTGGACGGCTATGTTTACTTTAGCTGCCACCATATCAGCACCATCGTTAGGCAACTCCACAATGGCAGGGACAGACCCAATCATGATGGCCAGGACAGCAAAGGTTCCTGAAACATGAACACACCTTTTGCTGAGCTGAGTTTAAAAGTTAGCATCTTGATTTGGTATTGTGTCTTTTTTTTTAGGTGTTTCCATTTGTCAAACGTTGCATACATTTTGGTCATGCTGATTTGAGAACATCACACATCCAGGCAGGTGAAAAGACAAGGCCAATCACCATTCAAAATTGATATATTTGAGCATATCCATCCATCCATTATCCTCACGAGGGTCGCGTGGGTGTGCTGAAGCCTATCCCGACTGGCTTCGGGCAGTCGGCGGGGTACACCCTGAACTGGTTACCAGCCAATCACAGGGCGTGCATAGACCAACAACAACCATTCACACGCACACTGAACTATGAGACAGACGTGCTAAAGAGTCAGTCATAGTGCCGCCCTCCATATAATAATTTCACACATTTCCAGAGAGTTATTCATCAGGAGCAGAGCATATACATAATTCGTAGGGCATTTTTGTTTGAATGTGCCAGTCACCCAAGGAGAGATGTCTTGAAGTTCCAAATATGAAGTAGATGATCAGCGGGTAGAGAGATGTGTAGAGGCCAAAAACTGGGGGCACGCCAACCAACATGGCGTTGGCCATACCTGCGTAGGACAGAGAAGGGGATGTGACTTCCAAGTAACGGAACACAGGTATAAATTGTTTCCACTCGAACAGATGGCTTTGAGCGAGAGACTTTGCCCAATCAGACACAAGCAGACAGACAACCATTCCCAATCACATTCACACTAATGGACAATTAGATGCTTGTTGAATTGAAAATGCGTATTTTTGGACTGTGTGTGTGGGGGTGGGAGAGCCAGAGTACCCAAAGAAAATCCACACAAGTATGAGGAGAACATGCAAACTCCACGCAGGAACACTGGGGCTCAAATTAGAACATGGACCTTTAAAACTGTGAGGCAGAAGCATGAACCATCAGTGAGGCGTGGTGCCAGGTTTGCATTTGTTTTACCAGGACAACTTCTGCTGTGTTGAACATTACTCACCCTGTGGCAGATGCATGACGCCCACACTAAGCCCAGACACCAAGTCTCCTACTGCACTTCCTCTGATGGAGTAGTGAGGCAGCCATGACAGGATGGGAAACAAGCCCAGCAAAGTGCTTTTTAACCTGGAGACCGAATACCTGAATGCAATGCAAATCCACAAAAAAATAGATTGAGATGTCGGCCCGAGTTGAGAGTATCCAGTGAACCTGTCCTCCTTTGACTCACCGGCATTGCATCTTGACCCTCTCCAAGAAGGGCACGGACGTGTCGACTCGCTGCCCAATGACCTCCAGCTGGGCCTCATCCAGGGCCACAGCAAGATAAGGCCTGTTGTCGGGATGGTCATTTTGCTCAGTGTCATCCATCTCAAAACAAGTTTAGGGATTAATGGGAGAAAAAAAGGAAGACTTTCACTTTTTATCCTTAGTGTGCCTTCACTGTGTCCTATGCACTTTTCCCTCTGCGAAAGGACACATAAGTGAGTTGGAAGGCTTTGCAACTCAAGAGAATAAGAGTTCACACTCCACGGTGAGAGCGGGGAGCAAAGCACACAAAAGCACACGTGAGTCCAGGAGGGTGGGGAGCAGCCGTGAACTCCGGACAGAGCACAGCGTATACAACCCCCTTCTGTGCTGCCCCACCACCTCCGTTCTTTTGGTCTGAATGCCTCTATTATGGTTTCTGTGGAAATGAATGGAAAAGTTGCACTTTAGTTACGTAACTAAAGAATGCGATTGCAAGGGGTGGTTCCAAGCGCACCTTTCTTTCGTGATGTCAGGTGGCGTTCCCCCCGGAATCACAGCGCAGCTTTAAAATATAGTGAACTAAATACGCTAACAATCTTCAAACATAAATTAATAAAAAGACATCGGAGAAAACAGGAAGCAACTACATGTTCAAAATCCCCTTGCGCAAGGATAATGTATACCGTGACACAACGGAAGAAAATACCGTCAATACAATTTAAATCGAAAGTATGCGTGATGTTTCGTTCCCCCTCTTCGGATAATCGAACCAACGTTCAGGAAACAACATTCAAGATGATGACGTGGCATGGGGGCGAGACTTCTTGCCACAAAAAGTAAAAAGCAAAACATATCTAGTAGTAATAGTCATACAAATTGTATTCGTACAGTGTCTGACCAAGACTATTAAAAAAAGTAAAAATAAACTCCCACTTTTTCCTTGTCCGTTTGAGAGAGCCGCGGCACGCTAGGGAAGAGGTCCTTTACCATGATTATTTTCTAACAGTTAAAAGGTTTGGAGGTGATGTGATACGTTTGAGACAAAAAAAAAACTCTTGACTCCGGCAGTCAAAATATAAGATACATTTCCCAGAATGCACTGCAGCAGCTGGCGTGCCTCCTCCAACCGTCCGGTTGCCATTAGCCGAGGTAAATAAATATGCGAGAACGCAGTGTTTGCCGTGAACCTTGAATTAATGAACCATTTACGTTCGAAAAATCTCACGGCATACCGAAAAATATTACAAAAAGTATAAACACTAAAATAATGATGATCTCGTCTCAATTCATGTTCGTTTAACTGGATAAACTGTAAAGACAATGGATGGATATTATCATGATTATTCCTCAAAAATTAAAAAAAAAATCTGCGCCTGTTGAATTAAACGCACAACTAATATAATTGCGGGAAGCAATTTGTGCACCTTATGCCATCGAATGGTAAAGCATTTCAATGTTCTGCCTGTCACTGTATGTTGATGGCAAAAATAGATGAACGAAGTTGGATTTGTAATACATAAATAATAACTTTCAGATAAACAAAGTCTAATTGTAAAAGTTCCCAGGGCACCCCGGACGGTCTTCCACCAAACACTATTATCGAATGCGAGAGGGAGCCGGACCTGGAAAAAACTTACACAAGCCTGAGGAGAACATGACTGCACACACGAAGCATCTTAGATTAAACCCACATTTAAATAAATGGAAAAATGTACTTAAATGATGATTATATTAAATGTATAACACAGAGGTTTGAATGCCCCCCCCCCTTTCATCCATGCCATGACAGGTTGTGAGATGGATGAGACAGAAAAGGGCAACATAAAACGAGATTAATACATTAAAATATTAATGGTGCATTCAGGGTGGCACGGTGGTCGACTGGTGAGCACGTCATATTCAGTATTGATTAATATGTTTTGTTTACCAAATAATTTCATCAATATTTCCTAAGAATGTTGATGACTTAATTAATAATCTATGATTCAGGAATGTTTTTAAATAATAGAGAAAAAATCCCACTGAATTAGAGGGGAGTTCCAAACTTATGTGTACTGTACATTAAAAAATTATCTAGAAATCTTGAGCCACTCAAGTAATAAACATCCTTTACAGCTGCCTCATGGATGACTTAGAAATAAAGCAATAGAATAAATTGGCTTTATTTTAAAAAGCCTGTAAATGTGACAAAATGCTTACAACGATTGCGCCATGTGCAATCAAAAATGTATCACATGTGACGTGATCGTAAATAAACATTTGCTGCACTCATGCCGAGTGTCCGTGCAAAGCTACTGTGCGGCCTTGTCTTCCTCGGTTTTCCTCCTTTCACATGTTTGGATGGCTTCATCATTGTCTTTATTTCGAATTCGCAGCAGCTGGAAGCCTTGACCACAGACCAGCACCCATCCGATTATTTCTTTCCATCCCTTTCTCTCACAGGAAGATCTTAAAGCTATTTCTGTGATCGTCTCATCTCCATCTTGGTCATTAGTCTGTATTTTCGCGCAATACTTTGTCTCTTTGTCTATCTTCAAAATTGAGTCATCCGTGTTTTCCCAAGACCCACCGACAACGTCTTGGTCCTTATGACCCAGGCCCCCTCGTTCTAAGTGTGTTTGACCTTCTGCCCTTGTACAAACAAGGACCTTGTCAGCATCAGACTCCGCAGTCCTTCCATCTTCCACCACTGGCTCCTCCCACACTGCAAGTCCTGCAGCATCAGCAACATGGGAGCACAGCACCCCTCTGTGGTTGATACTAGTACTACAAAGCTCCCACAGGCAGACTCTCTGATCACAAGAGGCGGTGACGATCAGACCAGGTCGAAGGAGCTTAAGGGCCGTCACAGGTGCCGCATGTGCCGAAGGGAAACTCAACTGGGAGAGGAGATGTAGACCAAGATGGCTTTGCGGCTGGTCCTGTGTGACGCCCACCGTCCTCAAACGATCCTCCAGGAAGTCCACCCGGATGGTGGACACCATCAGCTGTCCGTCATCCCCGCCGCTCGAAACGGTTACCAGGCAACCGCCATCTAGGGGCCCTTGTGTGTGAGGCCAAACAGCCAATGAGTTGACACCACTCTGGTGGGCGGCAATGCTGAGGCAAGGATTTGGCGGAGTAGGAGCATCGCACGAGGAGCCAGAGGCTGCTTGGGTCAGATCCCACACTGCAATCTTGCCATCCGTCGCAGCACTGAAGAGCAGCACATACCTGCAGAAAAAATACAAACTTGACAAATTTGTCATATTTCATTTTCACACTTCATCCGAAAGACAGAAACAAGTGTTCACCTGTGGCCTTTTCCGGCCTTTAAACTGCAGGTGGCGACACTGAGCACGCACCGCTGGTGGTAAAACGTCTCCCACAGCAGGTGTATTTGGCGTTTCACTTCACTGACAGAGAACAATCTAGAAATGAGGGCAACAGCAGTGAGGAGCCATCAAATTGCTATTGATTCCAAATAAATATGTTTTAAGTTGATCTATATTTCTTTCTTGTTTTTGTTGTTTTCTTGAATGTTTATGTTATGCACAGGTGTACTCATTACACTTTCAAATGATACTAGTTATTGGCGCTGCGATGGGTTTGGGGGTAGCACAATAGTTTCTTCTTAGTAAGGGGTCGTAACAGAGAATAACTGAGAAGCACTCATCTAGGGTCCCGACACCGTATTTGCTGCATCATCACGAACCTGACAGCCCCGTCACTGCAGGCAAGAGCCACAAGAACAGCATCCGAGTTGTCGTCAACCACAGCCATAGACATGTATCTGAAAATACACAGCCATGATGCTAACAGTTCTTCAAAGTATTTACAATTCAGGCTTCGACTCCAAAGCAGTCTTGTGACTTACCTTGTTTCCGGGTCCATTTTCACCATCTTGTGTCTGTTCCGCTTCCTCTCCCAGTGTTCGTCCAATCGGTGACCGGCCACCTGCACCACCTGGCAGAAGGGGGCCAGTCTCCGCTTGTTCCAACCGATCTGCAGCCGGTAACACTGTAATTGAGCCCGCCCGCTGGCTGATATTACCAAGGCGGAGAGGGACTGGGATTGGGAAGTAAGTTTCAGTCTGTCCTGATGTGTTAGCGCCACCACGGTTCGTACACTTGAGATGTGGTCGGTAATAATGGAGAGGACCGTGACGCTACCAGAATTGGGATGTACAGCCAAAACAGTTAAGCTTGTGTCTTCCCCACCAGTCACTATTATTTCCCACTGTCCTTCAATTTGGACCCGAACTGGCCCTGGTGTTTCTGCTCGGTTTGCTGTACTGTCATTCGGAACCCAAATTCTCCCAAGCCGGCAAACACACCCGATCCCCCGCCCATGGATGCCCTCTCTAAGGCTCCATCCTTCATTCCATGTCCTTGCTGACACGCTTGTTGACTCTAGGGGGCGCTCGGAAGCCAGGACGGATCCCTGCTTGATGAAAACCAGAGCTCCGTATCCGGGCCAAACCCCGGTGTGGACTGGCCAGAAACTCCAAGAGCGATGGCCACCGCCACAAGGCACTGCTAATAACCTTTCCAGTTTTACAGGATCCCAAACCACAAATTGGGAGGCATGAAAGCCAAAGATGACAAACCGGGCTTCCGTTCCTTTGTTTTCAATCGTTGAACCTTTTTTGTCATCCCCAGGACTTTCTATCAAAGACTCCCGTAGCGTATTTTGGCATTTGAATTCATTTATAAATCCATTCTCTGCAGAAATGTTCGGTTCCATGATCAAAGCCCTCTCTAGCCACTCCATACCTTTGCAAGCTCGCTGGACTCTCAGAACCTCGAGCTGAAGGGGACCCTCACCACTTCCCTCATGGTTTTCTCGCTGTGTGTCATGCACTCTGAAAATACGGACACAGCCATCCCTCCCAGTGCTATAGAGAAGTCCCTGATATTCACAGACTGATGTAACACCCTGTTTTCCATGCACCCCAAACAAGCAGCTTAGTGGAGATAATGTCAAGTCTTTGTGCTCCTCCGGAATCTCTTTTTCTTGCAGTGCCCCATCAGTTTCATGACCTTTTATATTAGCTTGCATACAGTCAGTCGCCTCTTCCTCGCCCCTGCGATCCAGGTCTTCCTGAAACAAAAGCAGGGACCCTCTTCTGTCCCCGCACACCCACAGAGCCCCCTTGGATTTGGAGGGAAGGCGCACTGCAGCGGTCAGCCAACGCTTTGAACAAGTCGGCAGGACAAAAGCAGGACAGCATTTTACCCGGAGAGACACAGTACCCATTTCATTGAATCTCACATCAATACACCAGCGATAGACCTGTCCTTCGGCAGCCGACGCTAGCAAATACACGTATTGATCACACTGTTGCCAAATAAGACTGTGAATCTTTCCTGAGCAAGATTGGAGCGCGATCTCATTCTGGGGATGAGAGATGGGAAAGACCTTTAAGACTCCACTAAGGCTCCCAACAGCACATAAATTAGCTTTACTTATTGAGTCTTTCAATCTCACAGCCACCGTTTCCATCACACAGTAGGACTGAAACTCAGGAGACCCTCGCCATAGCAACTCCCAGTGGCCGTTACCATACTGGTAAACAAAACCTTGGTCGGTACAAACCAGAATCCTACACTGGCTCCACTTTGTATTGTGTGCTTCGCCTTCTACGACACAAACTACTTTTGGCACACCTCGACCGGAAAATTCCAGGTCTGTTATTGTCTTTGTGACAGTGTCTTCCTCTTCATCGTCCTCAACCTTCCACAACCTCACCCCTCCATCCGCTCCCCCGGTTGCCACCCATCTGCCCGTGTCATCTCTTCCCGGACTGACCGCCAGCGCTCGAATCCCACCGGCTCGATGTCCCTTCAAAGCGCGAAGCACTGTCCCACCTCCAGCCCCGTCCCAAATTAGACAAGCCCCATCTTCCCCAGCACTAAACACTCTCCTTGGGGAGAGGCACACAGAGAACACCCTTGCTTGGTGTCCGAAAAGCACTCTTAAGCAAGTTGGCTTCAAATCCCCACAATTGCCCCCGCAGCCCCCTAAAGCGCCGATAGCCCAAACCCTGACACTGCGGTCATCTGAAGCTGACGCCAGCCATCCTTTCTCCTGAAGGTAAGAGATGCTGAAGATAACACCGGTGTGACCCAGCAAACGTCTTTCCACTGGAGCTCTGTTATGACTCGCTTCTCCTCCAGGTTTCCAGAGAACCAGCTGATTGAAAACCGTCCCTCCTATCAGAACAGTATCCGCCCAGGATTTGTGCACCACAAGGAGCGCAGAGTACAGCAGACACCCTTCCAGACACGAGCAGTGAGCCAGGGCATTCCCTGAGCTGATGTCCAGGAGAAGGGCACCATTATGGGCTACAGCCACACACAGGAGAGACTGTTTGTCTTCACGTAGCCAGCGGATATCCAAAATCCAGTCCTGAAGCTCCACAGGGGGACGCGATATCTCTAAGTGTGCGAGCTTCACGGCAGAGACATCCAAATGAAGTCTCACCAGTCTGACCGTCTTCCCGCCAAACACAGCGAGGTCATAGGAGTTGGGTTGGAGGGTGGAGCTCAGGCCTGGGGATTGAGGAGAGGTGGATTATGGTCATCGAACTATATGACGACTAAATACATACGTGACAAACAGGAGCAACCAGCGGCAGCCAAATGTGTGAGGCCACCCTGAACGTTAAAAGAAAGAAGACCAACTTTAGCTTACCTTTGGTTTCTTTGCAACTTTCTGTGAACGAATTCGGTCGTGAAATAGTCGTTGAGACTCTCGACCTTGTCCCGTGGATGCGGTGCTGTTGGAGCACAGGCACTGAGGTACATGCTTTTGGTACAGGCTGAAGACTGTACACCGTCAACACTGGACCTTCACCTGGCAACAAAGATGACGGAGGAATATTACGATTGTAACATTGACAAAATTCTGAAATTCCATAACAGCCTCTGGAAAAAAGTATGTAGACACCAGAGGAAAATATTGATTTGTGGAGTCACAATCATTTTTTCTAGTTCAGTGGGTCTCAACTGTTGTTACCCTGGCACCTTGAGACTGACATTGCTCGTCAAAATGTGTTTCCAAGATAAATCCGGCCTGGAATGTGCCAACGTGTATGTAATCATCAGAGTAAATATTAGTATGAGAAACACTTCCCTTGGAAAGACAAAACTGTCAAAGGAAAAACATGTATGGCATTAAGTGAGCATGCTGCCTTGTGCCGTGTGACCGATTTCTTTCTTGTTCAGTGCGTGCCATTCTTAACCTTGAATCTTCATATGAAATGCCAATTACCTAGTTTTTTTTTTAACTACCCAACCAAAATGGCTTTTGAGTTGAGAATCACTATTTTAATTAAATCCCAAAGGTGTTAGGTGGTCTTCTTCCACACCAAACTCATTCTACCATGTCTTTATGGCCATTGCTTTGTGCACCCAGGGGCCAGAAAAGCAGCCCTAAACTGTTTTCATAAAGCTGGTTGGAAGCACAGAATTATTCAAAACGTCTTCTGAACTTGCTTACAGTGTACACTTGTATAATTCGCCCGAGAAATTTTTGATCATAACCCCAATGAAAAGAAAATACAACTGTGGGGTGTGTTTTTAAAAGTGCTCTATAAACACAGTTGAGTTGAGAGTTGAGTTGAATAATTTTCTTTTTAACAGCTGTTGCGTTGTGCTCTACTTTTGGAGAAACATCAACATTTATGAGTGAGGGGGGTACTCATGGTATGGCAAAAAGGTTCGGGGTCCACAATCCCAAACACGGTTGGGAACAAGACTGTGAGCCTACATGTACCTGTCAGTAGAAACGTATCCTGCAGGAACTCCAGAGATGTGACTGGGGCAACTAAGGCTGCCGTCTCCATGTCTCCGTGATCGGGGCCTAGAAAGAAACCTTCATAGAAGAACATACCTTGGTTACACACCGTAGATGCAAAAATAAACCAGGTTACTTGGCAGAGACTCGCGAGGGTAATACTTTGAAGACGCTGAAATCTTGCATAAGCATTTATATTAGAGTTTATGTGAGGCTATGGATAAGTAACATTTTCACTTTGCATCTTACCCACAATGTATCTTCAAAACATTTCCATTTTTTAGTGTCTAATTAGATCCAACGTGCCTCTGTTCCGTCTTCCGTTCCATGCCGCGTTCTGACCAACCAGACTTCTCACAAGGTTTTATAGTTGCTGATTGGCTGAAAATATTCTATCTGAATTTCTATTGGACACTGTGAGTCATGTGTCCGAGTTTACCGGCGTTGTGAAGCTTTCAGGGATATTGGTTAAAACGCCACAATCGAAAATGTCAACTATTGGGAACGTTCTTACAAAACACAAATTGTTCTTTTTTCCATTCATTGTAAATGCAATCGTCAACAATGGGAGCACATATAAGTTTTATGAGCAACAAATGTAAACGCCACTGCGGTGTGACTTGTTACGGATTTAATTATTGAGTTATGTGAGTAGGACAAATGCTGGATAGTTTTTAAATGGCTGAGTATTGCTGCAATAATAACGTGGGGCTTACAAAATACTGCAGATATGAAATGGAGCGGGGAGGTAACGAAATGTATCCCCTTTCCGAGTGAACTTGAATGCACCGGTAAAAGGTGAGGCTGCGTGGAATAGCGGTCCAGCTAACTTCTCCCTAGACTATGCCTGGGAAGTGTAAATTCCAGGAGTCGTGGCTCTCCAAGGAGGCCTACAAAGACTGGCTGGTTAAGGACACCCAGGACATTCACTTCGCCCGATGTCGGGCCTGTTGTAAATCCATTAAACTTCAGACCATGGGCGAGGCTGCTCTCACCAGCCACGCAGGGGGAGCTGGCCACAAAGCGGCGGTGCGCAAGCTTGTGGAAGGTAGATAAAGCTTTACATGTCAAACGAGAAAACAACCAGGGGAAAAATAAAACCATGAGCATTCTCGATGTGTTACAGTGGGCTGTTTGCTTCCTATAACATAATTACGACACCATGCATGTTGTTCGCTTTGTTATTGCTGGGACAGGTCAACAAAAACTGTTAAATGAAGGACTGCAATATAAATCCGACATTAGCAGTATATTTCAATTATTATTCTACATCTCGGGGATGGTGCGTTCCTGCCAAGCGATGCTGTCAATGAAAGGTACCCATTCATCGAGCCAGTGCTTATTAATAGATCAGCACCAGAGGTCATGGTGGTAGTGCGGTCTAAGCGAACACTTGCAGACATAGCTGTCTGTGGCACGCTTTTCTGAACGCCTGCCTATTTTTGCTTCACTATCAACAAATTGCACTATTCGTAGTTTTTTTTTTTTTTGGAAACGATCCTCTTTCGTGTACCCATTCATCGAGCCAGTGCTTATTAATAGATCAGCACCAGAGGTCATGGTGGTAGTGCGGTCTAAGCGAACACTTGCAGACATAGCTGTCTGTGGCACGCTTTTCTGAACGCCTGCCTATTTTTGCTTCACTATCAACAAATTGCACTATTCGTAGTTTTTTTTTTTCTTGTGGAAACGATCCTCTTTCGTGTCATGTCCTAAAATGCCACAAGATAGCGGCAAAGTCTTGGTTAAAAAGGAAAGTCGTAATTGTCAAATAAGTGTAGAAGCCGAAAATCTTTGTAATTCAGGAAGGCGCTAAATTTATTTGGAGCTGTCAGTGGAAGTTAAGGAGTCTTCCTCGCATGAGCATGCGTACTGCAGGTGAAATTTTAGGAAATCAAATGATCGACAAGCTATCTATTTTCAAGGGTAATGTAAGCTGGGTTTGAAATATTATGTGTTTGTGATCATAGTGTGTGGTATATATATATGGTTGAAGTTATTAATATAGGCACTTGAACACATTTTAGAGGCAGTGTCAATGCTTTTGCTGTTTGTGCCAGAGCTCACCCTTAAAAAAAGATTAGAAATGTTTACTTTCAAAGGCTAAAGTTCACTCTGTGTATGTGGATACGTTGCCAAACACTATAATACAGTTATAGTCATCAATATATTACATATTAAAGTGAGAAATAAAATGTATTTACAAATAATAACCATTATCTTAAGTCATGATTTCTAAACAGTACTGTATCTTGTTTTGAAGTGATTTTTGTTGGGTGCGTTGTACCTGCTCTGTCCACTAGTTGCCACAAACACCTGCAGTCCTCCTCTCTTGTTCTTTCAAATAGGCAGCTTGAGGATGATTAACGTTGCTGGGCAGATGAATGGCAGCTTGAATCGGGTAACTATGTTAAAACCCTTTTCTACAACAGCAACAGTATATGAAGCATTATTTCAGCTGGAAGTAAAACCTCGGTATGAAACACAGGCTGAAGACAGCAAGGACCACGTGGCGATCTGCCTGCAGCGTCACGACCTGGACAGGCTACCGGGGAACGACTGGTCAGATCTGCAACACAGCCCCGCGTCAAATTCCAGTCTTCACAATACTGAGGTGCAGGATGCGTCCTTCCCCTCTGCCTACTTCACAGCCGCAGGTAGATGCAGTCACTTTGACACCAATTCAGATATTCAACGTCACATTGACAGAGAATGGCAATATGTAACGTTTGCAGCGCAAACTTCACATTCTTCCTTCCCTAAGGGGAAGATTGCTTTGAAATAAGAACAATTCAGTAGTCGACCAGCGTCGCAGAATTCACTTACCTTTGTCCGTGTGTCCCACAGGCACCTCTGGCTTCGTCACCCAGCGTCTTGTCCCGTCGGCAGGGGGGCGGTCACACGAAGCAGCGGATCAACAGCAGAGGGCGGAAGTCTTGGAGCAGCAGCAGCACATGAGGTTGCTGGAGTGGGAGAACAGGATGAAGGTGCTGGCGTGGGAGCAGGAGCTGGTGAGAGAGAAGACGCGAGCCGCTCGCCAGAAAGTGAAAGCCTTCAGGATGAAGAAGAACTACTACAAGGCCAAGCTAAAGAGGATGGGAGAGCATGTGCCGCCATCGTCCCCCGGCAGCAGCGATGAAGAGAGAGGCCCCGATCTCACGGGATGAGCCGAGTTTTTACTTTTCGCCATTTTAGCGCTTGCCTCACACGCCACTGAACTATTTTCATACATGGTTTTCTACCTGAACGCTGATTGATAGTCCTTTGCCTCGTCAGCCTTTCCTGCACAAGGAGAACATTTGTGAGAGTAGAGCAAGGTACGATGTTAGGCCCACTTGTTTTTCAAATTCTTTTTTTTCTTTACTGTTTAAGTGAGCAAGAAGAAGAAGCAATTACCTGTTCTGTATTTGTTGCTATTAGATAGATTTTGAGCTTTCATTCCTTACGATTAATCCATATTCCAGAAACTAGCCATGTTTGAGAGTTCAGATCTCAGATATGGTAAAATAGGGGTAAAATTTACCCATCGGTCCATTCTCTTTACTGCTTATCCTCATTAGAGTTGCAGATGAGCTGGAGCCTATCCCAGTGCACATAGAATACCCAATCAACTAAGCAAGTGAAAAACATGAAAATTCCACAGAGGAATCCTGGAGCCAAGATTCAAAGGCAGATGTGCGAACCACTCAATCACCTTGTTGCCTCGAGTCAAATTGATCTGTGGCAATCCTCCAACAAACACGACATGAACATAGTTGTCTGGATTCAGTGGATACTTGTATTGGAATCTGCCCCGGATGTCGTACACTTCAGAATTAGACCTTCAACTTTGTGGCTAATTTCGGAATAAATATTTTGTATGTTAAGTATATTTAATTTTTCCTTCAGCTCTTGCTTGTGGTGAAACGTTGACCCTGGAACAGATTATTTCTATGATGTTGATATCCTATAGGAACTAATATAAAGCATGCTAAAGTGAAACTCTATGGAGTGACACAACTCACATGACATGCTAATGTTCTGGCGAATGCTAGCTTGTTAATAAGCTTTGAGCAAAATAGCAAGCTGGTGGAACGGGTTCAATGGCAGGTTTTAGTTTCCCATTTTGCCCTTTGAAGGAACCAAACTGCTTGCACAAATGCAGTTGATTTAAAGCTATATATTTTTTTTTATGTTTGTTTGATTGTTTTGTTAAAAAGCTATTAGCTATCTTCTATTAGCTTGAATGTTTCAGTTGCATATTTTGCTCTTCATTGGACCAAACGGCTGATGCAGATGAGTCCAGACTACCAAAATTATATTTCCAAGCTTTGTCTGATCTGTGAGTTATTCTATTTGCACACTTGGAAAGGACACTTTTACGTGGCAGTCAGTATACGTTTGTTTTGTCATGAATGACTGCTGTATGCATGTCACGTTTGCTTCTACCAACATTCTTATATGGACAATCTAACTACACATTGCAGCTTGTATGTGCATGTCTAACTTTGAAATGTACTATAAACAACCCCCCCCCAAAAAAAAACAATGTAATGAATAAACATAATTTCATGGTCAGAAGGAAGGTCCTACCTTGTAAATATTGAGGGACAAAATAATACATTGAAGACAATTTAACGCTCATTAGATTGAAGTGACATTACATGAACATCATTCATGTACAGTCATGTTTTCTAATACAGAGTATTTGTGTTATGGTTCGAAATGGATCAGCGATTGCATAAACAAAAAAATAATAATAATAATTTCCCCATTCTGCTGTTGTGCATTTTATTGAATGGGATCCTCGTGTCTTGAGCAGACACACTGGGACACGCACACACACAGAATATAAGATACATAAAAACAGCTATGTATGAATACATTTTTTGAATGTTCAACATTTCTATTGTATTCATGGTAACAGGAACAGTGACGATTTCATGCCGCAATTTGCTTGCTGAGTGCAGGGCATCCCATCGTAAAGACAAATGCATCAGGTATCGCGACTCATCAGACTGCCTCATTCTTGTTTCTTTCCGAGATAATTCGGTTCTGGATTCAACCACTTTTCCTCCTTGCTGCAATTATGAAACATTGAATTAAAACAAAATGGAGAGAATTCTACGTCAACCTTAGATCTGTATTAAATCAAGAGGGAGAAGAAAATGATCCCTTTAAATAATATTTACATCTACTTTCCGTGAGATGATGTTGGCATCACAGCTGTGTGACGTCATTTAAAAAAAAAAAGTTTTGACAGAAAGTTTGGATTTGCATAGATGCAAAGAGTATTCAATGTTATTACCGTGAGTCTTATTGGTTATTTTTGATTTGGCAGTTTTAATTTCAGGTGTAAATAAAAACATCGCAGGTGAGAAAATGTTACAGATCATACTCAAAAATGACACTGATTTTAAAAATGTCTGAAATCTTTTCTAGCACATCAGATTTAAAAATATATCTATTTTCTTTTTGTTCACCTATAAAACTTTTTCAATGTGGATTTTACCATGCGTTGTAATTTACCGTCTCAGAAAAAAAGTCCACCTGTTGCTGAACCTTACCCTTATTGTAATTCATACATATTATGAAATATATCACTATATTCTTGTAAGATGATTATTATTACAAAAACCTGGTGTGCGAGAGAAAAAAACACAAGTGTATATTTGGAATCAGAACAACAACAACAAATACTCTAGTAAAGTTAATTTGCATCTCTGATTAAAAATATCTGTGAAATTTTGTTGACCAGTGTAATTGATAACTGTCAGGGAAGGATGAATGGATTTCAATCTATTCCGACTCAAGAAGAGATTCGTGGGTGAAAGTGTGGAAGGTTGCACCAAAATTTCTATCATGAAGTGTCAGCCAATATTGCCAGATTTTTAGCGCAGTGATTCTCTAAAGTCTGAAAAAAAATATTTGACTTGACTTCCCCTGTAAAAAAAAAAAAAAAAAAAGACAAAAATACACCTTTTTCTCTTGGAAAAAAAACATTTTTAAAAAAACACAATATTTATTCATGCAAGGATGTCACATACAGTGCTTTCTGTAAAATTGTTCCAAAGGCAGTGAGGAAGATTTGGTTATGTATTTGTCCCCAGATGTGGGAATGCACTGTTTGTGAACTTTCAAGGGGGTCCGGAACTTAATTTGAGAATCACGCTCTAACATAGGGTTTTTATTTTTTTTTATTTATGTATTTTTTTTTTCATGGGCCAAAATACCCGTACTTCCAGAGGGCGGGCTTGTCACACAAGCATAGACGCAAACAAAGCGGTGCTCTCAGGGATACGCCTTGGTAACCCGTGTGAAATGTTGCATTTCATCCGAGTAACATGACATTTCTCGTTTCAACAAAACATTTATCTTCATCTTTTTTTGAGACACCTGCTATTGACAACTGTGGTTTCTAAATGCTTTTGAGTGATTGTGTGTTGACATCCGAGTGTTGTGCTTCCTCCGGCAGGAGTGAGAACGGCAGCAGCTTGTTGTGATTAAAGAGAGCTACTTCTCAAAAGCACGTAGAGACACAACTGACATCATCTCCTGTGTAAAATGGTGCAGTCGCACTGCAGAAATCACCCCAGGATGGAGACTAAGCCGGTCTTCACACAGTATTTCAAAACTGGGAGGAAAATCTTCTCACTCACAATGCTGGCAAGGAACACTTCATCAATACTCTCAAGTGGTTGGCAGCAAGGTGACCTGCTCATACTGATGGAGCAAATCCAAGTATGTTGAAACAGTTCCAGATGATGCGATTCAGAATGTAAAAGTTTCTCCAAATCCGTGTGGAGCTCGTTTTTTTTAGTTCTTGCTGTGACTCTGCTTTCGCTCCCATCTGGTGCAGAAAAGCTTCACCTGTTATCTGCATGGCTAAAATTGCATTTCAGAGTTTTTTTTTTTTTTTTTTTTTTTTAAAGACAATACGACAATATGTAATATTTTGGTGTGATGTGACATGATATTTTGGTGGATTGGAGGTGTGGGGGGCGGGGATTTAGCGTTGAGTTTGCAAGAATACGTGTCACGAGAAGGCACGCTCAGTTCATTTTCGAACTGTTATTTTTCATTTGATTTTGTGTGTGTGTGTGTGTGTGTGTGTGTGTGTGTGTGTGTGTGTGTGCATATATACAATATATAATTTTTATTACTAATGGGAAAATTAAGCTTCATGAAACACTTGTGATATTTTTTACTGCTGTTTGGTTTGTTTTGCACTGACAATGGATTTTACAAAAAACAAAAACAATTCATTTCAAAGGTAAAATAATGTACAAATATTTAAATGTAAAACCTAGATTAAATTATTTCAGACAGCCATCCATTTTCTAATCCGCTTATCCTCACAAGGGTCGCGGGGCGTGCCGGAGCCTATCCCCAGCTGACTTCGGGCAGCAGGCGGGGGACACCCTGAACTGGTTTCCGGGCATTTTAAATAGATAACTATTGAAATCAAATGCAGGTTATAATGATCAATTCAAGAAATGAACGGATTGCTTGACAAATAAATGAATCGGTTGAACAGATTGTTTTAGTTATTACTTATCCATGCATCTTCTGTCTGAGCATTTTACCCTCATTTGTGTTGTGTGGTACACCATGGAATGGTCGCCAGCCAATAACAGGGCACATAGACAAGCTCCTCTGGCCGGCACCGATATTGTCAATACGTGGCTGTTAGCTTCAGTGAATGCTCTCAATTGTCCCTCGGCAAATATGAGTGACTGTTTGTCTAATTATGTGCTGCAATGGTTTATGACCAGTCCAGGGTTTACCCCCACCTCACCCAAAATCAACTGGAATACCCTCCCGGTCACACAAAGAGGATGGAAAAAGGATTAATATAACTAATTACCACCTCACAACTGGCACAAGTGAATCCAATGCCTCAGTACAGTTTTGGGCTTGTTGACACTTTGCCTTGAATGTGTGTGTGATGTCTCTTGAGGCAGGTTGAGTTGTTACGGAAAAAGAGGAAATCATTTTAGACGGCTCAATGCAGCCACATTGAAGAGAGGCGGGCGGGCGTCAACCCTCACCCACTGAGGATACGACGCCGTGCGTACACGGACACGGCCCAGGCACGGAAGGTAGACAGACGACAGGGTCACATTCATCGAACGGCGGAACTTGGATCACAAAATATCACAATCTCACGACAACTTGTGACGGAGCTTTAATGGTCAAAACCCTGAAGCCTCGCGTGGCGCCCTCTTCGCAGTCGTCCTCGTTACAATCATCTCGTTCCATTCAAATCTCTTCACTTGGAATAATAACGGCCCTCTATTTACACATCAGCCAACGATATGTTGACGGTTTCCCTCCAACTCTGCTTTGCGATCTCATTTGCAATTACCACGCAGCTTTGATGAGAAATGTTTTCTTTTTTTGGGTTTTTTTCGTTTTTTTTGTGAATTCAATACAGCTCACTCGCACCAGCCTCACTCAAAGACATTACAAAAAAACCAAAACATCACGAGAGACATCTTTGTCCCCAATGAAAAAGATACAAAACGTATAAAAATGTTTTTGTCTGTACAGTCTTTTCCACCATTTTTTTTCTGTCTGCATCTGACTGAGTGTGATATTTTGTAAACAGTTTTTGTCCTCTGAGCCATCAAAATCAGCATCTTATTTTTTCGCACAATGTCGTCACCTGTGTCCAAAACTGTATTTTAGTCCTCCGTTGCCTCGCTGGTTCACCTTGTCCTCGGAATGCATAAAGGAATACAGAGGCCGTCATCAAGACTGCCCTTCGCTTCTGTTGGCTCTGAGATGGAGATAAGATAAAAAATCACTTCAATGACAATATAATTTTACTTTGATCACATTTTTTTTTTTGGTCCAAAAGGAGGAGACGAGGACATGCATACAATGTAAACAGATAATGTGGACAGCGGGACGTAATAGCTGGAGCACCCGGAGAAAACCCACGCAGAGACGAGAGGAATATGCAAACTCCACACCGGAAGGCCGAAGCTCAGATTTGAACCCCGATTTTCAGAACTGTGACGCTAGCAACTCGGCCATCGTGCTGCCATGCTTAAATATAATACAAGTACCAATTGATGCAACTTTTACATCGTTGGAAATAATTTTGAAAAGGTCAGAACATCTTGGGAGGTCCGGCAGAAATTTTCAGAGGTTAATATCAGCACACATCATAAATAACATCGAAAATATGCTCGCAAGTTGCTGTCAGTAGCATAGGAATGGCATCAGAGTACCGTAATTAGATTGGGAGCTTACTAAGTGATTTGAAGAGATGTTTACCATCTCAATAAATTTATATATATATTTTTTAATCCTGTCGCCGCGCTCTTGTTTTGCACGCTTAAAATCCGATTTTTCAGAGGCAACCTTTTTTGTTTGTCTGAATGAGACTCACATTTTGTGGACATTTGATGAAAGCTGCCATTGCACCCAATTACAAATGCGAGCAATCAAAATAAGATGCCATTTTTAAAAAAATATGCTTTACAAAAGGACATTGTGTTGGAACAAACGGAGAGGACACTTACTCCGAGTCAGGGGAAACCTCTGATATGCTGTGGGAGGTGGCAGACTGTGGCAGGGAGGGGGAGGGGCAGTGGGTCGAGCCGTTGGGCCCGGAGTTGGAGGCAGTGTTTGGGGGAGTGAGGACAGAGGGGTTGAAGGACGCGAGGATGGAGGACAGAATATCCAGGTGTTCGCTAGAGGGTTGTCTCCCCAGAGGGTTCATACCCACGTTGGGAGCGGCCGTCGGACCGGGGTACCTACATGCAGAGTCCAGGCGTCCTCGAACGTGAGCCGATGATGGGAAGGGCTCTTGCTGGGGCTCCTCCGAAATGGGCGGAGGCGGGGAGGACGGCGGAGGCTGGTCGGGGTGCGAGGGCTGGCGCGGCGGGAGGGAGCGCAGCCACTCCCGACAGGGTTGGGCCTGCGCTCCGACCCCGTTGGCCTCCAGCTGCTCCCTCGACTTACTGCTCATCAGGGCGCCTGCCAGGTGCTCTCGAGATGAAGCCTGTCGCCGAGTTTGCATGTTCAACTGAGATCTGGACCCGCTCAGGGTGCCCTCCATGTTGCCACCCAGAGCGCCGCCATTTCCCCTCAAGTCCTCTCGTGAAGCGTGGATAGTGCCCGAGTGATGGTTGTCCAGTCTGTCCCTGGAGGAGGTCAGGTTCTCCCTGGATGACGACACTCGCTGGTGATCCAGCCCCAACCCCGCCAACCCTGTGCCCTGTCCCAGTTCTCTCCTTCTGGGTAAGAGGTCCAGATTGTCCCGGGATCCCCGAGAGTCCAGCCGGTCTCTCGAGCCCCCGACGGTTTGCCTCCCGAGAGGATCCCGAGACAGATGCCTCCGGGTGAGCGAGTCCAGATGCTCCCTGGATGAGTAGCGGGATCCCGGCTGCGAGAGGGAACCCGTACCCCCTCCGGCACCAGCCGAGGCCGAGTACATACGGCCGTAAGAGGCCGCAGGAACGCCTCGGTGGCCCAGGGTGGAGGTGCGGTACCAATTGAGCTCACTGGCTCCCCGGCCCACTGTTGAAAGCCCCTGCAGGGCGGGGGGACAGCCCAGACGATTCTTGAGGATACCTAGGGACACAAAAGGTTCAAATATCAGGAGGCAGCCATGAGGGAAGAAGGGGAGTCGAGGCAAAGTTGAAAAACAGGAAGAAAACTTTTGCAGCTAATTTTTGCCTTTTTTTCTATCAAGGTTAACAGTTTAAGAATCTCCACGTTGGGTTTTAGTGATACACCCTGAGGGACTCCCAACTAAAGCTCTAACTGTTCAAAGAAAATAGCTTCATACACACTGGAAACGGCACACTGTCCTGTGTGTGAGTGGCGATGCTGGATGAAGTTGATTTGCAGTTTGCCAGCTTCACAGACAGAAGGTCAAACATTTGAGAGATGCTTTCCACACCGTTGTATGTTCAAAGAAGGGAACATTCAGTGCTTTAAGCTCCACCCCCTGGCAGTTAAAAGGGATGAAATAGAACTCATCTTATATTACCCGGAAGGCTGAAGCATTTTAATTAGCAGATCAGCAGAGCAAAGCCAGAAACACATGACTCTCTGTCACTAACAACCCCTGGCAAAGACTTTGGTCCCTCAGTCGAAATATGTAACTTCAACATATTTTCCAGACTCCAATCACTGTTTTCCAACTAGCTAGGTGTCTTCATCATCTTTATTTTGTGTGTTCTTCAGCATTAAACAAAGAGCACAAAAAAATGCAATCAGGCGCAACGAATAGTTCCGCAGACCAAAAAAAGAAAAAAAAACAGCTAAATGTCCTTGTGAATAGCTCACTGTGAATAGGCAGGATGTGACTTTGTTTCACTATTTTACCATTGAAAATATTATTTAATTTTCCAACATAATTCAGCATTTTATTTAAATACTGTATTTATTGATCAAAAATTACGCCACGGTCTTTTCAGAGCTTGCACACACTTTGCGTATTAAAAATCACACAAACAAACAAATAAAATTATATCGTTAATTATCCAAGCCTATTTATTTTGACCAGTACTGACAATCGGGCTCGGGTCTTCCATGTTTGATGAGTAAAAATGGTGTCTGTGAAATTACCCTTGCGGTGCCTGTGCGGCTGCGTGAGGCCGCTCTCGTCCCCGCTGGTCAGCGCTGCGTCGGCTTGGTTGTTGTTGGCCGCGTCCTTGCTGTAATCGGCTCCGAGCGGGCGCTCGGAGCCCCACTTTTGCAGGGTGTGTTTTTCGCATTCCTCCAACGCGGGCCAATAGGACAGGAGGTCGTTGCCATCCAGATCTGGCACACACCACAAAGAACCAGTCAAGGTCTGCTTACATTCTTTATCCATTTTTTACTCATTATTTAAGAGTAGCAAAAGAGGTGAAATTAAAAGTGTATCATTGAACTATTCACTGGAGCACACACAAGAAGGGGTTCATAGTCATACACCCTCTGCTAAGTCAGCATCAAGCACCTTAAAAGTATTCCCAGGATTTAATGAAATGCTTCTCTATCTACATATACATACATCCCGTATTAGTATTTGACTTTATCACAGTAAGAGATGAAGAATTATGTCACTTCTTATTTGACTGCAGTGAAATTAACTGGTTCTGGAAGAAATTTCTTTACTAGAAAATGTTGTAAGCAGAGACGTGTTTTCCATGTAAATGCCCTAATCCGTTCCAAGCCCCCCCAAAATTCTAACATAAATGTTTTCTAAAGCATAAAAATGCATCAAAATATGTAACAAATGCATGTTAGAATTAGATTATTGTACAATCAATGAGAGTTGTGCATAATGTAAAAAAACACAAATAGTGGCTTAAAAGAAAAGAATTATCCCAGTACGGATGAGACAATTTGTCTACCTTTGGTACCATTGTGGGCGGGCTCAGTGAGCAGACGCTCGCCGTGATTGGATCGCTTGAAACGCCGCTGGATGCGCCCTCGTAGGCGGACGTTGTCCTCGCTCTCCGATGACGGGATGGACAGACTGCGCTCCTCCTCCATGGACAGGTCGGAGTCGCTGTCTGAATCTTCACCTTTTAGGAAGGGAGAGAGACAAAAATCAATAGTTTTCAAAGTCGTCTCTCCTCCCGATTTTGTAGCGAAAATGTCCAAACCTGGTGCGTGTGTGTGTCTGCACTTCATAAACGGAATTTGTTGACCTGTGCTTATTGAAGCGCTTTCGGGTTGTTTACCTCCATCTCTGTGGAACATGGCGACATCCAGGTCCGTTGCCCCGGTTTGAACAATGCTTTGTTCCAGAGTTTGACGCGCTAAAAGATTCTCTCTGAAAGGCAAAAGAGGGAAGAGGAGTGACGACACACTGAAGAGACACGTTGTGCTGCATGTTTACTCATGCTGACTAATAGAGGGCCTCTGCACAAATACAGCATGTCAATTCCAAACAAGGGGACAAGCAGCGAGCTACAAAGAAAAAGCCACTCCCGGCAACAATTAGTCTTGCTCTACATTCACTAGAGTACCCCGTTTGATCCGATATGTATTCTCTTTACCCCACTGACCCACAAAACAGACAACAGGCTTTTAAAAGGCTGGAGTGACAGTCTTCCCTCCCTAAAGCAATAGTGCCCCATATCCAGTGGCACAAGGACACCCGAGCTACTTCTTCCTGAATGATTGATATTTCCCCCCTTTTTTTGGGCGATGTATTTCTGTATGGACGCTGCATGATATATTTATGTGCTTTTCACCTGGCGGAGCTGACAGAGGAAATGGTGGATGCTCCCAGCGTGATGCGATGAAGCCCACTCTGCTCAAGGAGTGAAGCATTGTGATAGGGATTCTGTGCCTGTGGCGGAAAAAAAACAAACAAACTTCATATCAGGTCATATTTAAAAAAAAAAAAAAGAAAAGGCTTTGTTAGGCTATAGTTGATGTTAGTAACAAGCCAAGGAGGCTTCACCTGCGTGAAAATATGTGAAAGTGAAAATATGAGGAGTTGCCCTGTGGTGATAACAGCTGCTACTCGTTTGGAAAGATTTTCTACAAAATTTGGAAATACGCCTGCGATTGGGATGTCATTGAGATGTCACTGAGACATTGAGAAGAAGTTCCTCCAGGTTGTGAATCAATATATTTATTTATTTTTTTAAATATTGAGTTTGATAGCGCAGGTGACAAATACGAGGTAAGTATTTCCACCGTACATGTAAGGTGCTGACATTTTAACAAATCCCTTCTTTGTTGTCACTTCCATGGGACGAAGAGCTTTGACAAAAGTAGGACATGATGAAACTCGACATGACCTCGGTCGGCTATATACACGGTATATACTTCATTCACAATTAATAAGCCGCAGCGCTCGCAGATCATTTATAATGTACATATACTGTTGGACTTCAAACACGGTCAATTCTGTGCAGCCAATAATAGCTCGTATGGGGTACTATATAGTCATTTTAAATCTGACTGTGGGGGTCGCGGCAGAAATGGAGGTTAAAAGGTTGGATGAGCTACATTGTTACTAACGTACACTAATGTGCACGCACGCACGCACAATGCAGGATGGGCCCTATATTATTATATTCGGGTCAGGACCGAATCCCGGAGGCAGAAGGAGAGCGAGAGGACACAGGAGATGGACGGAAGAATTGATGGAGGGAATTATCACAGTAAAATCAGTGTGGCTAATGAGATTAGCCTGGGTGGATTTTATCATCGTAAATAACCTCATTGGACACAACATTAGGTATAATTGCATCATCTCATGAAATCCAATATATGAGCCATATAGGATACCGTGCCTTGACCAAGATCATGCTGAGTTTTCTTCACAGTTTAAGATAAGATACGAAAACCTTTTTTTAAATAATTAATGAAAAAATAATAATAATAACTCACAGCATTCGATGTTGGCCTTGGCGGTTCTTCTCCAGGGCTCTTTTTTCCTAAACAAGCCACCTGCCAAGCCTCTTTCACCTCAGAGTTGAACACGGTGAACACCAGCAACACTGACAGACCCTACAGAACACAACCAGTCTAAGCAAGGGTCTGACGCCTGACATAGGGGGAAGCCCCGCATGCTGACCATGCAGAATGCGCATACCTGCACTAAACAGAGGACGTCAAAGATATAGTAGAAAGCCAAGATGCTGTTGTTCACAGCCATTAAACCACACAGCCAGGTGGAGGTGGCCACCATCAAGAGCAGGAAGGCGTTGCGGATGGTTGCACTGCAAAGGATGACGGCTTAGATGTTAGATGCAACGCAACCACACAAATGGGAGTGGAGCTAAAATGGGGCAACACAACAACCGATTTGCTCATGTCATTAATTGACTGATTCAGATCATTCATATGAATAATTCAACACACATTTCGACAATATGTTCATTTGATTAGAGTTAGGGACTGCCTGAATATAGATATACCGTATTTTCCGCACTATAAGGCACTTCGGAGTATAAGGCGCACCTTCAATGAGTGGCCTATTTTAAAACTGTGTTCATATATAAGGCGCACCGCATTATAAGGCGCATAGAATAGATGCAACAATAGTGGCTGCAGTTGCATTATCCATCCACTAGATGAAGCTATGCTAAAGGGAATAAAATACAATGCAGCTTTATTTATATTGCACTTTCACAACTGCTGCAGCTGAAACAAAGCGCTTTACAGAACTTTTAAAATACTACGACCAAGAAATCTGAATATTGATGCATATATAAGGCGCATTGGATGATAAGGCACATTGTCGGCTTTTGAGGAAACAAAATGTTTTTAGGTGCGCTTGATAGTGCGGAAAATACGGTAATTGAAGTATAGAGCAGACCTGGGTGTCACCACTGTGGTGCCGTGCTCAGAAACTTTTACATATAAATACACGATAGCTGTAATGGTATTAACTAGTTAAATATGTCACTGTCCTTCATGCTGCTGTACCCACATGACAGGAAGCTTCTTGGTCTCCTTCTGAGAGGTGTTACAAGACATCTTGGTGACAATCATGAAAATGCCGCCATTCATCTGGACAAAGGGACGACAGCCACAGAAGAAGAAACAACTGTGTTCAACATTCAGCTTTGGAAAGGAATGTTTGCTCGATATTTGACCAGAATATATATATATATATATATATATATATATATTGTGTGTGTGTGTGTCTGTGTGTGAGAAAAAAAGGAAATGTGAACAACTTACCAATATGACAATGGCGATTGGACCGGCAAAGCTCCAGATGAGCTTGTCATAGATGGAGATCCAACAAAAATCTGGGTTTCCATAACCTTCTGGATCCAAGCCCACAGCCAGACCTTCATGAACGAGAGACCTAAGTTGTTGTTTTAAATATTTTACGTGTGTAATAATGTTTATTGCTTTTACGTTTGAAGTGAACTCCCCCAGACTGAAAAAAAAAAAACCCACAAGAAGTCTTTCTGATATGGGCATCATTTTCCCATGGGCAGGGAACACAATTTCACATTTCATTAAATAGCGCATGCATAAGTTATTAAATAAAGGTAATTAAATTAGTCGCGAAGAGGATGAGTGCTGGCAAATGAACAGACGTTGTATTAACACAAGTGCGTGTTGATTTTCCGAGGACCGTCAGAACAGAATTGAGATCCATACAACAGCAATGGTTATGTAGACATATGGAGCTTTAGAGATAGATTGTGGCGCAAGTAAAATGCACCCAAAAATCTCTCGTTTTTTTTTTTTTTCTTTTTTCACATCAATTAATTTTTGCTGCACCTCTGTGGCTGTGCATGTTTTTGATGGTCATGGCTAGAAGAAACATTATACGACAAGGAGTGTGTTGTAGATGAACAGTGCTCAACAAAAATGAGGGCCTCCAATATCCAGCAATCATGCAAATGTGTACCATTTTCGTGCAAATTATATTTTTCAATATGCACACAAGCACGTTAAGTTTTTTTTTCTGGAATGAATGGATAAAATAAATGTCATGTTGTGATGTTCAATTTCACAACGAGTGAACCACAGATGAGTTAAATCCTCCCGTTTCTGCTCTTGCGTTCATTGAGAAACTAGTAACTTTTCAAAAGGTTGTTTTTTTTTTTAAACCTGATGTGTGTCTGTGTGTGTGTGTGTGTGTGTGTGTGTGTATGTGTGTGTGTGTGTGTCTGTGTGTATAGCAGTGATGGAAATTGATGGAAAATAATGGATTTCGAGAAAGGGAGACAGAAATGACCTGCAAACAGGATGTGTAAAAAAGAAATCTTCCTTCTGAGTATCTGTCAATTTCAGGTTTCACCTTATGACTGCTGAGATAAAAATTTCAGTGAAACACATTCCGCCCAAACGCCAACAGGACACCTTATCTGCACAGACAGCTGCCGTGGACGGATGCATGTGGAGGATATTGGCGAGGCATCAGCATCGCCGTCTGACAGGTGTGAGCGCACGATTTGACTGTCAGCATGCGGATGCAGCAGTCACTCTGCATTAGGAGCAATGTCACGTCGCAACAGATCCTTTTGACAGCACCGTTTTCTTTCTGACATGCATTTTTTGGAGTTAATGTAAAGAATAGAGAGATGTGCAAGTGCATCAATATTTTTTTTATGCTGTGAGCTATCCAAGAAATCGAATTAAAAGACAGCATGTATGTATTTTTTTGTTCTCCATTAAGATGTTTGAAATGACTCACCGATTATTATATTGTTCAATTATTCATAACTGTGCCTTTGTAAAAAAAAAAAAAAAAAAAATCACAGACATAGAAGTATGCTGGCCCAATATTTAAGTGTTTAAATGCCTATCATGATTCGTCGAAGAGATGCTTCTCCAATTCAGTAATGGTAAGCATGTTCATGAACGTTCGTTACCGGTGATAATGGCTGGCACGCCCCAGCCGATGGCGTAGTAGAACCTCATGGCGCCAAAGTTGATGTTGCGTTGCTCTGTCTGCATGCGGTAGATGTGAAGGCCCTCCACAAACATCCAGGCGAATGTGGACATGAAGAAGTAATGCATGAGGATGGCCACCACCGTGCACAGGAACTGCAAGAGAACGTGGAGAGGAGCAGGAGGGTGATTCCGAAGCGAGGCGCCACAGACGGCGCAAAGTTAAGAAGGAACGGCAAAAAAAAAAAAAAAAGAAAAAGATCAAGGATCAAGAAGCAGATACGAGCAAAGAGAAAGATGAAAAGGAGGTGTGCATACTCTTGCAAATGGATTTAGTCTTGGCCACACATCTTGGAGGGTGGCCAGCAACACTTCACGAGGTGCAAAAAAGGCATGATTGAGGTGACAGGCATCAGTAATTTAATCGCCAATTCCACTAAACCACAACATTTACAGCTCATTGATTTTGCAATGGATAAGAAAGGCAAAAATATCACAAATTCACATGAACGTGCTGTAAACGCGCGGTAGTGTACACATTGTAATGAAAATGAGATTGCAGCCATAATTCAATTAATAGAAACATTACCCTTCACTAGGTGCTCGCAAAGCGTTGCGACCAGAGCTGTGCAATATTTCAGAACACACACACACACACACACACACACACACACACACACACACACACACACACACACACACACACATGCACACGCGCACTCGGCATGAACTTAACAGTGAAGAAAAGCCAAATATAGCAAAGTGAGTACTGAGAATCCTAACGTGCTCTGCTAAGCATGATGCACGCTATACATTAATTAAAACAGCACATACAGTCGTTCAGCTGGAGGTGACGACCATTCACAATGTACAGCCGACTGTGTGAGAATGCATTTTAATTAATGAGATTTCATGCTGAGTGAGCACACATGTGCAGCATTTCGTCTGTAGGAACGCAAGATATACCCCGCCACACACAAACGCATCGATGAGATTAATCCAATGGTATGAAAAGTAGCCACGAGGGAAAATGGAAGCGCAGTGCAGCACAAATGGTGCAGGGGGGGGGGGGGATCACTTGATTTCTTTTTTTGAATCTAACAAAAATGAAAACTAGTGCTGTCAAGCGGTCAACATATTTCGTTGTGATGAATTAAATTTTATTGTTCATTGTGAATTTTATTTGTTGAAAAAAAAATCCTTGATTTTTTTTTTTGTCCGATTATTTTATTGAATTTTAATACCCTTAACATAAATAACAGGATTCATTTTCTGATCCAAATACTTTTTGAGTGATTGAAGTCAAAATGGGCCTTAGTTGCAGGATAAACAAAAAAGGACGGCGTTAAAAGGGGGTTGCATTAATGCCGTGAAAAACACGTTTCACTGACACCACTAATGAAAACATAAATATTTTTCAGAAATTCAATTTTAGGCTCTGATCAAAAATATGAAATTGGAAAACAGGCTACAGAGCTGAGTTTAACCACAATGAAACTCGATTGAAATAATTAAAACATTACCCTTGACCATGTCCTTGCAAATGGCCCTTCTCTCTGTGACCCAGACATTCGGTAAAAACAAATGATGAACAGATGAAAGAACTTTTTCTTCCTAAGTGACACTTGTCATGCCTCCACTTTGTACTTTTACTCGTGTACAGTTGCTGATGATTGGATTGGCCCCGAGTGGCTGTGACAGACGCCATTTGGCAGCGCTTTTTCTCAAGGCTGTTTTACAGACTGATTTGTGAAACAAACCATCTGGCGAGTCAACTTAGGAATGATGCCAAAGTTTACAAGTATCACAACACCGATGCAAGAATCCAAAGTGAAATGTCTCCACAGATTTCACATTTACTGCCTCTTAACGCCGGTCACTCGTTTGGCTGATGTCAACAATGACAAAATAGAGGGAGCATAGAACACAAACTTGACACCGACTGGGCGGTCGACCTCAAGTACCAACCTGTTGTTCGGTCTGATTGACGCCCAGCAGAAACACAAGCTCTGACAAAAACATGGCCGCCGCCGTGTTGCAATGGATGCTCCTGATGTTGGACTTGAGGCCTCGGAGGCAGGACAGCACCAGGACGGTGAGGAGCAGAGCCAGCATGGACAGCACCAGAGAGGAATAAGTGATCAAGGCGAGCGTCTCCAGATCGCCCTCCAACTGCTGCTTGTGAAAGCAAATAAAAAGGAAATCAACGGAATGACTGGAAGACATAAGGCCTGTTACCTTTAAGTGTTGCTCGCATAAGTACCCGCGCGCTACCATTTGATTGAGACAAACAAGTTGTGTACGTGCCACCAACCTCTCTCTGTGAACTGTCCATCAGCACTCCGAAGGTGCCAAGCCTTTGACACTGACAGCGGACATGTGAGGTGTTCCTGTACACCACCATGCAGTCCCTCACTGTCCAGCAACCTCCAATCTCACACCTACAGGGCAACAAAAACAAATCCATCAAAATTGGCGAGAAAAGGTCGTTGTATGGATGACATTATGACCCAAATAAATCAAGAAGCTCAACATTATGTCATGATTTTATGAAATTATGTTTGCCGTTTGTCTTGGGAGACATGAATCTACTGCCTTACAGCTGCAGCTGTTCTGAAAGCGCTCTATAAATAAAGATGAATTGTATTGTATTGTGTCCGCCAGAAGCACGAGTCAGCGCTCTGGTCTTTCCTACCCAGCATTTACATCATCAAGAGTCCTGTAATGTTTGTCGAATTCATTTAGCAGATTTTTCAAAAACACGAGTAATTAATAAAATGCATGTATTCATTTATGTAGTTATTTTTATTCCTTTATCTCATTCAATAAGGAAATGAAAAAATGCTAGTAGAAGAACAGAAATGCGTACAAATATAATTGTTTTGCACATACACATGGTCACAGTAGGAATACAGTGATTAAAAACAAATGTGTGAGTTGTGCAAAAAACAAGTCAAACAAATTATGCAATGACCAAACAACATACAGATTTACTTTTTTTTTTTTTTTGCCTCATCCACAAATCCTAGTCATTTGTGGATGAGGCAAATACTGGTCATTTGTGGATGAGGAAAAAAAAAAAGTAAAATTATATGTTGTTTGGTCATGGCATAATTTGTTTGACATGTTTTTTGGGGAGGGTTTTTTTTTTCTTACCAAGTGCCCTTTATTTACACAACTGTCTGTTATACAAGTCAAAAACGACTTCTCGCTGCACAAAACTTTCCCCACCACTGCTCTAAAGGCGAAAGACCGACAATATGAATGCATTGAACTACACAAAAAGCATTTTGTGAACTGACTGGCTGCTGTGGTTCCACTGCACACACAGCGGCTTGCTGCGATTGGCCGTTTCCAGTAGTTTAAACTCCAGTTGGATGGGCTGGTCCAAATGTCCACCCACAAACGTTTGATTGTTGTAGACGGAGATGGTCACTACTGGGGAGTTCATAACTGGGTGCCTGGGAAGTCTGGAAACAAGGGAGAGAGAACGGCATTCGAGGCAAAGGCAGAGCATTTCAGTCTGGTTCTTTCGACAGAACTAAAGAGTCCAGAGTCCACTGTGTCGATTCTCACCTCACTCCTCGTCTGTCCGTATGATATTTGGGAGGGAGCGCTCCGCCCAGACTGCGATAGATGAGCAAAATGACGATGGTGATGGGCGGTTCAACTGCGCGCCGGGCTGCAATGTATTCTGTCTGATTGGCAGAGAAGCCGACCGGCACTTGAACAGCGTTCGGGAGAGGGACGTCTGAAATGGAGAAAGATCTCTGCATTTGTATCTTACCCTTGCCATTAACTATCGCACTTGAATTTTATTTGTGTGTGTCTTCTCACGTTCTTTCTCAGCGCGCTCCTTTTCCTTCCAGTTGTGTTGCTGTTGCCGTTGTGGCATCAGTGCAGCGGGCGGCAATATCACATGGGTGGAGGGATCCCACACGGCCTGACTCCGAAACATTGTGGTATGGTAACGTGGGAAACGTCGCCGCACATGGGTGTGATTTTCCACCCGATCCAGATTCATGACTGAAGTGCAGAGAGAGAGAGAGAGAGAGAGAGAGAGAGAGAGAGAGAGAGAGAGAGAAAAAAACAATGGTTATGAAATAGATCCGAATGTTTCTCTTCGTGACTCAAAAAGGGTCATAACAACGGCAAATCCAGGGATACTTTGCATTTCCACTCACACTTCCAATTCCATCACGCTGTCGTCAATTGTGCGACATCCCCACCAAAGAGCATGCGCTATCCATAAGTATGAACACACAAGTTAAGCATCTGTTTTTGGGGATCTAATTCAATCTGGCCATATGTACTGAATTTCATCACCCCTATCTAGCACTTGTTGAATTGAGTGGTTGGAACAGACATAAACTTTGTCTAATCACCTTCAGAGTCTTTAAAATAAGGTTTTGCCACCCCCCCCAAAAAAAAAAATCAAGCCACAACCAGACAAATTCTAATCATTATCATCTGAAATATATTGCAACAGCACCCCTCCTGACCACATAGCACTATAGTTGGGGAGGTAGGAGGGGATTTGCATGGTCGTGGGTGCGAAGAGGTCTCCATTTGCCCACCTCATATGCATGGCCGACTACATTATCCGCAAGGGGAGATCTTGCAGTTTGCCTCGATAAATCCAATTTGTGAGCGCCAATCTCATGCACGGACCCCAGCGAGTCTTTTTCTGTTTCCGCAATTTGAAGCACAGTGAGACCTCTGAACTCCCCGATTTTAATGCAAATGAGGGCTGCCCCGACGATTGGCTGGGGAAGTTCCATCTCATAACGATGCACAATGGTGCAAATGCCCCATTCTGCCCTATTCTGCCTGTGCTAAGTGTAGGAAATTACCAAAAGAGAGAAAACTCCACCAATGCACATAGATAGACTCCGCTTTGCGCAAGGCTCGCGCTGGGCACCAAAATAGGGTCTAAGGACTCCTTATAATTTGAACTAATCCCTAAAAAGAGAGTGTCAGTCAGGGAAAATGCAGGTTTCGACAGAAAGAGGACATGGGCGAGAATTAATTCCTCCAAAATCTTGTTCTTGCGCTGAAAGTTATTTTCATGATTTTACTAAGATAAGGCAAGCGTTGGCTTACTTGCCTTGCCTTCGGTTTCCTTCTGACAGACTTGGTGTATTTGCTCATTTGGCAGCTTTAGGTCAAAATGCAGGCCAATGCTCAGATGCTTCAGGCGCGGTACATGTTATGGAAGCGTCCATTCCTGTGCGTGTGTGTGTGTTGACATGCGTGTGCCTGCGCGTGTGCATAACCCATCTCTATGCTGCTGCCAGCTCTTATCATTTGCATCCCCCCCCAGATGTAAAAGAAATCATTCTAGCCCATTTCATAGCCGATCATCTGCGAGGATTTACATGTTATTGATGTTGTACTCGATGTTTTCGTAGTGGTTAGCTGGATCATGTCTGTATGCGTGTCACGCAACTCACCAATATTGGGAGCCACCAGCGCCACGGGGTTGAGGTAGGTGAGCTTCATGTTTTGGGCCAGATTCTGCGTATACTGCTCCAGCAGCTGCGACAATTCAGCCGGACCGCTTGGGATGTGGTTCTGACCCTGAGCGAGGGCGCGCCATAGCCCCTCTGTTCCCGGAGCCAACAGCACACTGCAGCCTCGCAAAATGTTCTGGAAGGAGCCAAAGGTGGACATTTTGGTGTTTAAAAAAAATGGAAATGAATACCAAGATGGCAAATGTGCTTTTCTTGTCAAGAGACCAAAACCCGTCTTCATCTTTACATCCTTTTTGTCATAGTCATGCTTTAAGATCGCACACAAATCGCAGGAAGAAGAAGCAAAATAGTGTGTGTAAAATAAATCAATAAACTAATAAAACACCATCAGAGAACCTTTTGTTTGGATGTTTTTGTCATCCTGTTTGTAGGTCATATATGATCAGAGAGCCTATGGGAGTTGGGTGGAGTGTCATGATCATCTAATAAAGTACTGGAGCATCATGATACTCAGGGGGGAAGACAGTAACAGAGTGCAGTGAAGGAGCAAAGCAATGAACTGTAAAAGAAAGAAAAAGGTTGGCTGAATTTATTTGCAGAGGGGGTGACAAGTAGGAAATGGCAAAATAAAACCAAGAACTCGGGCGACAGTTCATCCAGTCATAAAAAAAAAAAAAATCAACATGAGTTGTATTATATTATTATTGTTATTATTATTATTATTATAACCCAACATTTTCTTTTAAACTAGAATGGTGCTTTCTATGTGTGTGGAAATGTGAAAGAGAAACGACGACAAAGCTTGTTGGCATGATCACATATATAAAATTGAGACATGAAAATACACCACAAACATTTCTCCTTTTAAAAAAGGTCAGCACTTGCTTAAGGTATGATTCAAACCGCTGTATTTACAAGACACTGACGATATATTACTGTCCCAACCACATCAGTTTCTATAGCAACCCATCTTTAGTGGTATAACAATGACAGAGTCATTTACAACAGCACGGGGTGGAGCCACAGCTGCCAAGTAGAAGAGGGCCGCTAAAAAAAAAAAAATAATCCTCCCTTGAGACAATTTCGCAAAGACCAAATACGGAAACTTGAAAATTAAATCCTCCCTCTCTGCATGGATGAGGTGAAGCGGTACACAACACACGCAACCGTCATTGAGGCTCCAGGAGCAGGAGGAAGCTGAATACTCACAGAACGATTGCATGACTGGAGAGCCTGTTTAGCGTGCTCAAATGCCAATAAGTTCCCACTTTCTCGTCACATCAGGAAAAAAAAAGAGCTACCATCATTGCACTGCCATAGCAACACTGCCCATACTGTCGCATGTGTAGCTATAGAATAGAGGTTGAGCGTAAAACCAAATTATCAGGAGAACGGCAGTAATCCTTTTGTGAAACTAAAATCGCACACGATTGATTGCATTTGCATGGATTAGAGATGATGTCTTAATCTACTGTACAGTCGTTCATGATCCAATCAGATTGGGAAACAATTGTCACGGTTCACAAAGCCGGCAGGCATAAAAGGCACTGTGGCGGTGCTCAATTTCATACCATGTTTACATTTGTTTTCATTTTTATTTGATCAGATTTTTCGTAATTAATTAACATAAAAATACAAATTAAACGGAATTGATTTAGGATGGGTGGCCCGGTGCTCGACTGATTAGCGTGTCGTCCTCACAGTGGAGAGGTGCAAGTTTCGATTCAGGCTATGGCCTTCCTGTTTGGAGTTTGCATGTTCTCCCCATCTCTGCGTGGGTTTTGTCTGGGTACTTCGGTTTCCTCCCACATTCCAAAAAATATGCACGGCAGGCTGATTGAACACTCTAAATTGGCCCTCGGTGTGAGTGTGAGCGTGGATGGTTATTCGTCTCTGTGTGCCCTGCAATTGGCTGGCAACCGGTTCAGGGTGTCCCTCGCCTACTGCCCGAAGACGGCTGGGATGGGCCAAACATCCAAACATGAAGCAGGTTGCAGTTAAATGACAGACAGTTTGAATTCAATCGATTTTGTGTCGAGAAGAACGAATAATTTAACTCTGTATTTCTATTTTCACCACTATCCTATAACTTGTTCTTGCCGCCTACTCTCCACTCATCATCAAAGTAAGTCTGCATTCTTGTCCGCTTAAAACTTGAAAATGGCTCGGCGTGTCCCACCTCATTAAAGTGCGCATCTTGAGTAGCGGTGAGTCCAAAGCCACTTTGTAGAGTTTCGAAAGTGAGGAGGCGTGACAGTAGTCGCTCTGCGATGAGTAAATCATTCCCGTAGAGGCGGCCTGTCGCTTCCGTGACATCGCGGAGTTGGTATGCGAGCTTCTTCTCCATGATTGTGTTCAACTCCGTCTCGTTGCGCTCAAGTGAATCCAGCTGGATGAAAACAAAGAAATACGGCAATGCAGAAACAGCGACAATTCGATACGAAATAGATTGCGCTGTCTTGATCAACTGAGCGCTATTTGTCAACGTACAGCAGCATTGAGTTCCACAAATGGAGGGGAGGTGCAGTTGTAAAGGTCTGGCTCCATCCAGCCTCTCTCAACATCACAGTGTCTGATGGCGGCCCCTGCAAGCCAGTCAGAAAAACACAGCATTGTTGTTTTTTGTTGTTTTTTTTTTTTTTTTTTTTTTTCGAAGCACCATTTCTAAATGTCTGTAAGGATTTCATGGATATGAGTGTGGACTCACCAACAGAACCTTTCGGGCATGGCACTGCAGCAGGCAGGTTGAACTTGGTCCGCGGCCACCAGATCCCCTGAGTGATGGTTTTTGGGCAGCCATCATAAATGACTGCGCGAAGAGAGCGAGAGCAAAGCGAGCAGTCACAAATGATGTGGGAAAACTTATTTTGCTTTACATGTACAGAAGTATGGAGGATTCTGAACTATAAACCAGTAAAAATTGAAAAGGGACACTGGTCATGTGGAAAGGTTTGAAAAAAAAAAAACTCCGAAGCTATCAAAAGTAATTTCCCTCAGGAGATGAAGTTATCCATGCATCCATCCATCACAGTTCTTGTGCTTTAGATTAGATTTGCAGGCTTCCTCCAGCTTTCCATGACCATTCTAAAATGTCAAAATATTCATCACATAATATTGTTTTTTTTTTGTTTTTTTTTAATGTAAAATACACTTGGCATGGAGTAATCATGAACACTTTGAAACAGTAATTCATGCCTCCGTCACATCCCGGCTGGATTACTGTAATGCACTTTACTTTGGAGTCAGCTAATCCTCCATTAAGCGTCTCCAGTTGGTCCATAATGCTGCTGCTCGCCTCTTGACTGGTACTCGTAAAAGGGAGAACATCACTCCTAGTCTGGCATCCCTTCACTGGCTCCCTATACATTTTAGAGTTCTTTTTAAGATCCTATGTTTTTGTTTTCTTGCTCCACCTTACCTCTCTGTCCTCCTCCGCCCCTTCACACCTGCCCGTGCCTCAGGTCTGCGGACTAGACATTTTGACTCAGCATGACTCATACTTGATCTTAGTTGTACTGTTTTTGAGCTTTCTACTGTCTTTGTTATTAATTTGTTGTTTATTGTTATATATTTGATATTTGCTCCATGTACAGCATTTTGTATACAGTGGTGGTTGTTTTAAAGTGCTCTACAAATACAATTGAGTTGAGTAATCTAATTAAAAGTATTCAATTTGTATTACTTCAATATTATGGTACCTGGATGACATTACTCGATACATTTTATAACAGGTAGCTAGGAACTGTATCGAAATACATTTTTCAAGTAACCCTACTAACCCTGCAAGAATGGTATATTGGATTTGAACCCTTTCATGCACAAATAATAAGACGTAACCTGATAACCTAATAATCTGTCCACTGTAGTAACTGATGTCCCTGAACGGGTTAATTTCCAAAAGAAATAATCCCTAACCACATGAGAATGAAAACACAGCCCTCACCTTCACACCCTGAGTTCGTCACCTCCGCAAACGGGTTGTCACACGTGTTACACTGGCGACCAATCACGCCGGGCCTGCACGGACACTGGCCGGTCTCTGGGTCACATGTTCGTGAGAAGGAGCCGATGGGGTAGCAGTCGCAAGGCAGGCAGCTGTCTGAGCCCCGCGGACGGTAGTGAAACTCCTGAATACGCAGACAGTGAAATGCAGAATATTTCAAAGCTTTTAGGGCCACAGCAAAGTATTTGTCTGTAATTTTGCTTTTAAAAAGCATTTCCTTCTCAAATAATCCAAATGTATTCAAGTTTTATCCTACTACTGCAGACTATCGTTGTGAGTTTGAGGTGAGTCAGAAGTGCCTTACAAATTGTGTATTCAGGTATCAATGGGGCATTCCCCAAAGTGAGCTGGCCTATAGACGCCATACGTGCGCGTCCTACCTTGCAGCGACAGTGTCCACTTGTCTTGTTGCAGTTGGGGTCAAAGCCGTTGTTGACATCACAATGACAAGGCCCGCAGGTGGGAGACCCCCACCAACCTCTGGGACACTGGTGGTCAATCCTAAATGCGCACACAAGACAGTCAACTTGGAGGGTTGGGGGAAGGGTGTGTGTGTGTGTGTGTGTGTGTGTGTGTGTGTGTGTGTGTGTGTGTGTGTGTGTGTGTGTGTGCCCATTTAAGTAGACACAGCGGCGATAAAAAGTCTACATACCTCTGTACAAATGCCAAATTTTTTAGATTAAAAAAAGTGTGACCTCAATAAATCACTGTTAAATGTTTCCATCTTTGTTCATCTGTACAAGTTATGTTGTTTGTTTTTTTTTAAATATTTCTGAGCGCTTAAGTAAAAACACACAACTGAGATAGTGTGTGGTTGCATAATAATAACCATTTCATGCACCCTGTAACCTGATAACATAAGCTGTCTACTGTAGTAACCGCTGTCCCTCAAAGCGTTAAGTAAATGTGAAGTAAAATCAGCATACAAATGTCACCATTATTCTTATTAGCCCCAGATAAATGTCAGATGTTCGAGTAGGCGTTTCCTGATATTTCTTACGCTTTCCAACAAAAGCCTGCAGGGTTTATGCTGAAACCGACTGCCATTTAGAACTGTTCATAAATCCTCGCACCTTGTCTAAGGCCCCATTTCGAGCTGAAGAAAAAGGGCCCCAAAAAAATGATACTGCCATCGCTATCCTTTACTGTAAATATGGTGTTCTTTTGGTGACAATAACTCAGAAGTTCAACCTTGGCTGAACGATTCAAGAACAGTACTATTTGGAAGTGAAACAATTCATTTTGGGATGACAAAAATTAGTCCCGTAGGTATAGCGTAATCCTGCCAATGAATATATGCAACAGAAACAGAGACACTTACCTGTGTTGGCAGTACTGTCCATAGTGGTTGTCACCACAGTCACAGACGTATCCATGTGACGAGCTGGGCTTCCTGTGGCACTGAGCGTCATTTTCGCAAGGATTCAGATGGCAAGCATCAGTGCAGCCTTTCCCATAGTAACCTGCAAGAGAGAACGTGCGTGTTGAAAAATGACGATGCTTTTGGTGGAATACGAGAAGTAAAATACAATTACACTTAATATTAATGTTGAGCTAATTTTCTTTGTCAAAAACGTGGGAAGAAAACGGCTGCCTATGCAAGAAATGTGATTTTCTCTTGAACCAAAACCATGATTATTTATGGATTAGATACAAAAGAAGGATGTCATGAATGGTTAGCAGAAATCTTCCCTATGAATATATTGCTAGCAGTGAGCATTTTGTAAATACACAAATATATGAGGGTAAATATCACAGCAGTTGTCAACCCGAGTGATAAAGAAGATCCACACAGTCAGTACAAGAACAGTGCCACATATTTTTTCCTTCTATTTTTGTTGGGACTTTTAATAGTGCAAATAAGTAGATCAGTGGTAGACTGGTTAGCACGTCAGCCTCACAGTGCAGAGGTGCACGGTTCGATTCCGGCTCTGGCCTTCCTGTGCTGAGTTTGCATTTTCTCCCCGTGCCTGCGTGGGTTTTCTCCGGGTACTCCGGTTTCTTCCCACATTCCAAAAACATGCATGGCAGGTTAATGGAACGCTCTAAAATTGTCCTTAGGTGTGAGTGCGGATGGTTGTTCGTCTCTGTGTGCCCTGCGATTGGCTGGCCACCAGTTCAGGGTGTCCCCGGCCCTTTGTTGTTGGGTTAGTATCATGGATATTCCGAACATTCATTGAAAAATGAAATATACAAAGAGCGCACGTGCACATATTTTGTCCAAATGTAAAATTGCAATATTGTCATACATCTGGTTAGGAATTGTGTTGTCCTATGTGCCCCTCCCACCCATCCCCAGCAGGACTGATGACAAAATGTGGACCCCTCCTGCATTTAAGTTGCCCATCCCTGATTTATCTGCATTAGAATGATTTGAGAACAGACACCTGCAATCAATGTCAGCTTTCTGTCTGTGCCAGTCATTTTATTGACTGCTATCTGTATTGCTTTCACGCTCACAAACACACCGCCATCACCGCTATATGTTTTTCACCATGGCAACTGACAGAATGCCGTGACGACGGCCTTGGCTTTTCTTCACACACTTTTAATTACACGGTCCTTGAAACAACAATATGGGAGAAGAAAGATCGACCAGCTCTGAAATGTGGACAGATTTGAGACTGTAAGAACATAAAAGCATCAGACGAGTTGATAATACATCATTATCATTCAGACAGATTTTTTTTTTTTTTTTTTTTTTTTTTTACATTCGTGTGGTCGTCTCTCGCGCAGTTTTTATTGGGTGCTCCAGACAGCTTCCCTTCTGAAAGGGAATCTTTTTTTATTAAACTTCAAGCTGCAGTTTCCTGAGATACTGTCGCCAAAGTGAAATGCCGCAGAGAGAAATCAAAACAGCACTAAAACACTTAACGGTAACTATGGCCCATACTGTTGTTCATAATACATCACAACACTCTTTACTGGACCTTTTTGGGGCTGTGACATGACATCATAGCTTTTGACTTCAATATCTGCTCATATTACATGGTACATATTTTATAAACAGATCAGTTTTGTTTCAGATTTGTGATCGACAGTTAATAGTAACAGCAGTATGTTAGATGCATTTTACGTTGTGTAGAAATGTAAGATATCGATCAACGGGGGCTGGCAGCAGTGGCCCATCTCTTTTGTGATGCTGATTACAACGCCGGGTGACAGACAGCGGTTTTATTAAAAACTGGAAAGAGACATTTTAATGAGAGTCCACGCAGCTATCAGTGATTGCAATATCAGGATTTCACTGACATTAGCTTCTTCGGTTCGCAGTTATTGCAGCATGTCGTAAAATGTCAAAGTTCCTTTTAGGTTTAGTGGTTTGTCTTCTCGTCTCGACTTTCATTACTTCCATGACCAATGCTGATCAATAGTTCACCATCATTGTTCACGTTGTGCAGAAGTAATCTGTCAGACTGAACATCTTGGGGGTTTTTTGGGGGTTTTTTTTGGTTGGGTTTTTTGGGGGTTGGCCTTGACCGGGCTGAGCATAAACTAAAAACATATGAGCATAATTTTAAAGATATTACGTACCACAAGCAATGAGAGTGAATGTCTTGTCCTGGCAACCTTGTGAAACGGTTTCAATAATTATTGATCTGCATACCTTTGGAAAAAAAATGCAGGATCACATATTCTCCGAAAGATGTTCCATGGACTATGCTGAATACAATAACAGTTCATATTTATGAAGTGAACATGGGATGGAATAACGGCCTCTTGCTAGCATCGTAGGTTACTCAATATTGTCAACAAAAAGTGTGTGGATACCCTGGCATGGTGCACAGGATGTTTTCGATTGGTTGTATGTGTCTATATTTTAGTTTATTTGTCATTTATTAAAAATCAAATATATCATTGGAGGAAAAAAAACTGAACAAATTTGCCCTGTTTAAAACTGCACGTAATGTATTATACTGGACCAATTGCATACAAAATCATTTCGTGTTATTGGTCTCTCAAATGAAAGGGAATTATTGAGAGCGTACCTTTCTTCATTTTCTTCCCCCCTCAGTGCTGCTATTAAACTTTTATTTGTCTCTGGGCTGCACTCATTGAACAACTTTCTTAATTTTTAATGATCATTGTGCTGATGAAATATAATGAGAGCTGTAGTTTAAAATAAACAAGAGCATGCGCAGGAGGTTGTTTTTTTAACAAATGTTTGGTGTGTATGATTCTGTTTGCGTTTGCGAATGTGCTTGTGTGTGTGTGTGTGTGTGTGTGTGTGTGTGTGTGCGTGCGTGCGTGCGTGCGTGCGTGCGTGCGTGTGTGTGTGTGTGTGTGTGCGCGTGCGTGCGTGCGTCGATCCATGTTAATACGACAAGGTGCTAGAATTAGCTCGTGGGGCTAGTTGAGGATGCTACAGGAACAGCAATGCCTCCGTGCTTCCTCTCTCAGGCTGCGAGGCCCGAGGCTTCTGAACACACAGTGTATCCTCTTCATCCTGTATGCAATACACACACACTCACTGACTTCTTTTGCTACCTCCATGTTTGCTGCGAGCACATGCTCTCATTTCCAAACTTTTTCATGTTTAGTGACTCCCCTCTAACTTTATTTTATGTGTGTGTGTGTGTGTGTGTGTGTGTGTATGTATGTATATATATATATATATATATATCTCTCAAGAACAGCTTCAGGTACCGGTCGGTTCAGAAGTGGAACAACGTTCCCCTCCTCTACATGGATGACATCAAGTTGTATGACATCGATTCCCTGACTCACCTCACAAGGATATACAGCAATCACATCAAAATGTTATTTGGACTAGATAAGTTTGGGTGAATGATATCTAGGCGAGGGATGATGATCACAACGGAAAGGACAGAACGAAAGTCAGCATAACACAAGTGCAGCATGGCTCCAAATACTTCAGAATTCCACAGACAAATAGCAACCATGAAGAGGCAGCTCAAAGGAAGGCCACGTCGAAATATCTAAGGAGGCTGAGGCAGATCATGCAGAGTCAGCTGAACCGCAAGAATATGATCGAGCCCATTGACAGCTATGCCTTTCCATTAATCAGATACCCTGGCCACTGGAAGAGGTGCGAGCCACTGATATCAAGACAAGAAAGATCCTTACACGGCACAGAGGGTTCCACCCCAAGTCCAGCATCCTGAGGCTGTACACAAAGCAGAAATACGGAGGCCATGGCCTAATGAGCGTCACGGGCACTATCCAAGGGGAAACAACATGATGGTCCCCAGGTACGACCTGCTTCATGAATGCCTCAGGCAGCAGGAGCCCAGTAAGGAGAAGGAGCCAGATGGGCTGTCATGGAAAGAGAAGCCCCGGCATGGCATGTACCATTGACAAATTGAATAAGTAGCTGACATTGAGAAACCACACCAGTGGCTGGAAAAGGCTAGACTGAAAGAAAGAATGGAGGCACTAACCATGGCAGGACAAGAACAGGCCTTTAATACAAGATCAATTGAGGCCAGGGTCTACCACATCAAACAGGATCCCAGGTGTAGGCAATGCAAAGAAGTCCCAATTCTCAAGTCAATTTACTTTGTTTTCTCAAATACCTTTTTCCCCCCACTGTGCTGACAGAAAGTTGCAAGCAAGCAATCCAAACAGCAAGGAAAATGACAGCATGCTGACACGTTTCACTCGCAACATGTTTTGCTTAATTAATGATTCAGTCTTGATTCCTTTTTTTCTCAAGCCTACTGTTCCGATATTTTCATTAAGTGTGTCGCCCGTGTTTCCAGGCTATTTGATTAGACTTTCTAAAGTTCTCTTTCTTCTCTTCTGTTGTTCTACCGCCCCAAAGCGCTGCTGTTTACATTATGTTCGCCTGCAATCCCTTTCACTTAATTAAGCATGAACATTTTTAAGCCGTCTGCTCCTCTTCTCCCTTTAATTCATAGTCCTCTAACTCTTTCTGGGCTCATTTCTTCATCTGTTTGCTCCCGCTGTTGTGATTATTGATGCTTTAATCTCTTCTCATCTAGCTCATTCGATGTCAGTCTCTTCAGAAGGCCGTCAAAAGTTTCAGTTTCTTCCTGTTTCATGTGGATGAGAACTCAAACAGCTCCTCAACATCAATGAGAGATACGTAGCCGTGCGAAAGAAAGAATTTTTTTTTTAAATTTCTTTTTTTTGATAACCTTTGTTACTTTTACTCCCCACATTGTTGAGGACAACTCGGTGCTACTTAAGCCACACGAGCTAACTAGTGTTTGGCTTGCACCTGTGCTTAAGAAGAAATTGGTGGTATACTTGCCAAGTGTGGTCTCTCTGAGGCAGTGTAATGCATTTTACACAGTGTACCTTTATGTACACACAGTCTGAACTTTTTTTTTTTTTTTTTTTTTACCTTCTACGGTTAGGGAGTTGAATCAGTACTTCTACTTTTCACAGAGCCCTTTTTCACACAAGTATCCATTCTTCTGCTTTAGTACAGAGTGCCAGTTCTTTTGCCACTTTTGAACATAAATATAGATTGCAGTTGGGGTCGATTTCGCAATTTCACTTTCCCAGGTGGGGTATAAAGGCTATCCCACCCACTCACCAGGTTCACATATGCAAGTGTGCCGCTCCCATTGGTCCGAACAGCGGCTGTGGGCGGGACACGGAGATGAGACGCAAGGGTTCCCGACGTTGCAGCCGATCTCGACTTTGACAGTTCTGGAGGGGCGCGGCAGGGGAGGGGCGTCCGGTCTCACACCCAAACGAACACCCTAGAAAGAGAGAGAGAGAGAGAGAGAGAGAGAGAGAGAGAGAGAGAGAGAGAGAGAGAGAGAGACTCAGTTTTTTTTCTTATGAACAAATAATTATCTCTTTATGAGACAGCTCATTCGTCAATAATTCATCCATGTAGTCTCACCTGTATGCATCCTCTGATCCCATTCTGGACCTCTCCAGAGCCCAACACTCCTCCCACATGCAGATGTTTGACCTTCAATCCATGAATCTCATTTCCTACTATTGCTGTTCCCTAATGGAGGGGAAAAGATAGTGAGAAGTCAAAGGGGGACAGAAAAGGCAAAAGATTATCATTCATAATAGATGGAAGGTGGATTCCTGAACAAAGATGCATACTGATTTCATTCGAATAGCTGTGTTTAACCTTGTAAAAGAGTAGTGTGTTTGGAATCAAGATATCAAGGTTGTCAAAGTTTCTGATTTGGTCCAAAAAAGGAAAAAAAAAAAAAAAACGATGAACTTCCAGTTGTTGAAATTCAAAATGTTTAAATGCAACACAATGCAGTACATCTTTATTGAAATAGCGCTTTGACAAGCTGCAGCTCCAACAAAGCAGTCCTAAGTACGATATGTTCACGCATGATTATTTTGCCAAGTACTATATTTGACTTCATGGCAGGCTATAAAAGTAGCACTGGATGAAAAACTGACTTGATTAAACAAAACAAAACAATCAAGTATGATAGATGCGCATCGGGCCAAAGCTGAAGAAATAAGAGCGCAAGTGTCGTGAAGCAGCCGTTGGCTGCGAACATGAACAATCAAACATGAAATATAAATCAATGAGTTCCATTTACAGTGTTAGTCTTTCAGCAGTAAGAATTGATGTTTGGCTGACCGTCACTACCAAACAATTTCAAAGGCAATTCACGGAGGCAGTATGTCATAATCTCAACCTTTGACTGCTGCACACAACATCACCGACCTTGCTCGATGATTTCAGATACAATCTTTGGGCATTCGGAACAGTCTTGTTTGTTGCATACTCCCTATAAGGAGCATGACCGTAGCCAACGTTGTTTTTATTTCTTTACAGTGTTTGGTTATTACTGTCAATATGGAGTCGTGAGTCAATTGTAGATTGAAACATTCTAGTGTGTGTGGCCGACATACATTTCATTGGCCTGGAGTGAATCATGCCTGTTGCACTATCATTTCGTTTGCATCTGTGAGGACGTTGGCTGAGACATTTTCTCTCATCATACCTCTAAAATGTAAAATTGAAGTATTGGCTTCACATCTCTTACTTGATAAAGTCCAAAGTCAAGGCGGAGTGTGGCGACGTAGCGAGTTTCACGGCCGCTGCGAACGTCCCGTAGTTCCAGTTGGACGTCATGCCACCGCCCATCTGCCACCTGAACCTGATCCAGCCTCAACCTCACTGGTCTGGTCGATCCTCGAGTCACGGAGAACACTAGCTGACCATTTGTCACCTGGACGTGGATGGAACATATCAGCATCAATAATCGGGTAGCCCAGGAAACACGAATAAGGTCAAAACTTTGAAAGAAGTGTTTCAGAACCTGGAATAGCAGGCTGGTGTATTGGCCGGCCTGGGCCTGAAGCAGCGTCCCGTCTCGGGCTCTGGTTCGGAACACTAAGCCCAGGTACCAGGGTGTGGAGATGGTCACGTCGTTCTTTAGATCCCACCAGAGGGCGCTGTTTCCCAGGAAGCGATGGGGGTGTGGCATCACTGCAGGAAGAATGAGAAGGAACAATGCACGGAAGGTCAGAGACATCTCGGATGACGATAATGGTGATGGCTCATCGAATGAGTCATTGGACTTGAGAGGAAATATGATACAGACAAAATTCAACTTTACTGCCCACGGAACCACATAAGGACTACGGTACAGTTTGCATATCACCAACAACAATGATGAGACAATGTAATTTGAATGTTAGGGCAGTAGGAACTTAAACGTAAAAGTCGCATCAACTGCTTGTCTTTGGTCGGCATAAACTGTAGTTGCTATGTGAATCAAGACTTTGGTACATTGTGTGACGAAGGTGCACTCGACTTTGACAGACAAGCATTGTTAGCCTGTAGACAGAAACTACAACTGTCACTTTCTATCCGAAATCCGCATCGCGTAATGTTACGTTATATGTGTGTGTGTGTGTGTGTGTATATATATATATATATATATACTGAAATACAGTATATAGCAAAATGGATTATATGAAGGTGAAATAGGCTCTTACCATGGCTGCAATCTTTCCCGCCATACCCAAGAGTACAGTCACAAGAAAATGTCTCCCAGCTGACCCGGCAGGTTCCACCGTTCTGGCAGGGATTGGACTTGCAGAATGGAAGTTTGGCACTGCAGCCTATCATAAACATAGGTCAAAGTCAACACCATATGTTTTTCTCTCTCTAACAACGTTAGCAACAAGCCGTACTAGCAAATATCACTACATCAAGTATAGATCTCGTTATTATTTTATCTCGTTATTATTTTATATTCTCTCTCTCTCTCTCTCTCTCTCTCTCTCTCTCTCTCTCTCTCTCTCTCTCTCTATATATATATATATATATATATATATATATATATATATATAATTACAAACACGTCTAACCCGCCTCCTCTGTGCATGCCACTACATAAATACAGCGCGGCAATGGATTTACTGTATGCTACTCACGAAAATCGAGCCACTAAAGTTAGTTATGACTTGAATAGTATTGCTCACCTGGCAGTGTTCCATTGTTAGCAATAAACCCGGCCAGGTCCAGCGGCTTGTTGTCAATGTGCAGCTCCTTCATACAGCCGATGAACTCCCTGATGCCAAACGGGAAGTTGTCCGGAACGTTGGGGACCCCACCCAGGAACAACGGACCAGTCAGGTCAAGAGACCTAAAAAATAAGGAGATATGGATTTAAGGTTGTTCAGTAAAAGGTAAAACGTTCTGATACATCCATTGTCAGACAATAATAAGAAAGGACAGGATATCGGGATTAAAAAAACCCATTAAATATCTTGTACAAAGAAATAATAATGGAGGCATAAGCACAGCTTTTGGGGGGGAAAAAAAAATCAAAGGATAATGGTGGTCTAAAAAAAAATCAGGAGAAGAAAGAAATTGAAAAGAAGATGAGGAGATAGATGAAGGCACAAAGAGATTGAATATGAGTGACATTACACATCAAGTGGACTATAAAGCGCGGGACAAATCAGAGAAACATGGGTAGATAAGAAAATAGGGTGTTTTTAAGGAGACAGCAACAGAATCATAATAATCAAAATAATCATAATAATAATGGGGGCAAAAAAAAATGAGAAAAGAATGACAGAAGGCAGCTGGGGAGACAGATGAACAAACAGAGATTCCGTGTAAATTACAGCAAAATGTCAAGAGAGAAGAAGTGGAGAGGTGGATGAAAAGACAGAAGGTGAGCTGAGGGAATATGCGAAGAAAGATGTCACGTTAGATAAAAAAAAAGAGACATCCATGTGCTGTTGCTGTCACATTTTCACCCTCCAGTGTTTGTTGTTGTTTTTTTTAATGGCTTTGGTAAACCATCATAAATTAAATAGAGAAGAAAAACAGATACATTAAAACTCAAACAAGAGATTTACTTTTGAAAAATATTAACAAAAAAAAGCATCATTGGAAGCCAGTGCTGGTTAAAAAAAAAGATGAGATATGCCACGAGGGTGATATCCTCAGTGTTTCTCTCATCCTTCCGGCTTTTTCAATGACAAATGGAATGCGTGGAGACGCTTTCATTGGCCAGGAGATAAGGCGGCTGTGTTCACTCTCACAACGGTGCAAACGCCTCTTCCTACCTGCGCCAATCTATGAAAATCCCTTAAGAAAGAAAACTCCACCCAGGTGTACAGTTAGACTGCACTTTGCGCTAGACTTGCGATCAGCATGAAGATAGGGTCTTGGGAACTGATTTTAACATCCATCCATTCATCCATTTATCCATTTTCTGTACCACTTATCCGGTTCAGGATCGCAGGGAGTTGGCGTCTATTCCATCTGAGATTGGGGAAAGGCGGACTACACCCTGGACTGGTGGCCAGTCAGTTGCAGGGCACATGTCGGAAAACACATCTATTCACACTCACGTTTTCAACTGTTCATACCTATTTCTATTATTTTTCATGGGAAATTCAAATGTGACAAAAACATATATCGTTTTCATGCTGATATTTAACATTGTGACTGCAACATATCTGTTTTATGTGTTGTTTGTTGCAGAAAATGCCATATTAGCACAAAATTCTAAAAGTATTTTGTGCTAATATGGTTCATATAATTCCCTCCAAATTTCTGGTGACAGCACATTGGCCTATTAGGATGTTTTATTAAAGATGTGAGAGCAGGCATTGCTGAAAGAAATGAAGATGAAGTATAAAACGGGTAACAAGATCATTAGAGAAACACAGCAAATCACCAGGGAGCATGCAGTCAACTGGTGGATCTCATGAAAGGCGACTTAATATCCTATTTCAAGCTTTCTTCATTCTGGAACTCTAAGGGAGCAGGACTACATGACTTTCAAATTAAAAACAAATCCATATATCCTATATTGGCACTGTAACTGTAAACATAATATTTTAGGATGAAAAAAAAGGCGCCCAGACAGACACTCACTTCTTGCTGCTGGTCTGTTTGCCCTGAGCAGCACAGCTGTAATTTCCAAGCTGGGTGCCAAAGCGGAGTGACAAGGCTGTATCGCAGTCGTCAATGCTCACAACTGCAATCTTCTCATCTGAGGGACCCTGGGCCTCGCCACTCATGCTGCGCCTCGGCTGAACACACATAGGAGCAAAATGAAAAAAAAAAGATTTTATTTTTATTTTTTTCCAGAATGTGTTGTATGACACAACTGTTTTTTGTTTGTTTGTTTGTTGAGACACACATCAAAGAACGAAATTGTCAACTACAAATGCACTAGAAATGAAATCCTACAGGATATCATCTGGGACTTTGCATTCATTCAGATACGCAAGTCGTTGGAATGTATAGATAGATATAGATAGAGATAGCACTACATCAAGTATAGATTTATATATCTATTTGCTAGTACGGCTGGCTTGTTGTTAACATTGTTAATCACCATAGCAAGTTACTATTTGTTCAGCACAAGTAGCTGATGATGTCGCTAGCTATCTCCATGGCTAATTGCTCCCGGTGCTAGTGTGTCCAAGAAGCAGCAGAGCTGGTTGTGCCTCCATTGTTTGTTGCTAACATGGCTAGCACATCTGTATGTCAGTGTCGCTAATTGACTCTGTGACTAAATTCTACCATTGGTAGCAAACCCATTTTACGGTATAGCTAGCACCCTCCACTGAGTGTTGGTTCATCTCTACTTGCACCAGTTTTGACAATAGTCACAGTAGAGGGGAATTGTCCAAACGGAAACAAAACATTTTAACAATAACATAATAATAATCGTAGAGGGCCAGCTTCTGTTGTATTTACTTCTCACATGTGGCAGCTAATTTTAATCCCTTTCACTAAATGTTAACAAATAACATGAAAGTCTTCTCAATAAAATTGTGACACGCATATAGCAATAAGTCTTCTCAATAAAATTGTGACACGCATATAGCAATTAATGTATTATAAATTGCGACATTTCAAGAACATACCATTTTGGCACAAATTCATAAAAAGAACATGCTTCAAATCAACCATGTGGTATGGACACAAAAGTCCATTCCATGTCTTACTCCCAGTCTAACATATAGCCTGTCAGTGGGATACATGTCTCATATCTCATAGCAAGGAAAGAGGAAAGGAGTTATTGCTCAGGCAAGACACAATAAACTGTTCACACACAATCTGCAGGGTAAGAAAGGAAGACAGACAGCATGTATGAGGACTCTCACGCAGTCATACTCACATAGCGTATAGCTGGCTGAGGAAAATAAAAGAACAGAGCAAAATTAAAGGTGATGTGCATTCACTGTGCAAGACTCGAATGACAAGCAAACGCCCGCGCGATGGTGCAAACACACGTTTGTTCTCAATAAATGAGCTATGTTGGCATGAAGTCTTAAAATCGATTCTGCAGACACAGCAAAAGCAATTAAAATTCAGGAGGAAGGCAAATGAGGTGAAGTCATTATACAATGATATGTGAAATGTGAGCGAGAATAATAAAATAGCGCAATTGTTAGACAACACACAATGTGACTTTTTGTTGAATAAAGCTATTGAAAGTCTCTATCAATCCTTGTGGGGGCATTACAATATGTTCGTTGTGTATCTGTTTGTAGTTACGTCGCATTTACTGTACGAATGACAATGAGACACTAGCTTGATGTCAATACAGTGATTGCTTTTATTGCACACAGGAATAACAACCCCGGCCATCCACATCACAGTATTGTTATCAGATTGCAAACCAAGAGTCCCTTAAAAGCCTTCTGACATGATTGTCCGGCAACATAAACATAGAAAATATGGCAGAAAAGAAAGCATACTGAAAGCATTGGAGAGGTTAGCATGTCGTAGTATTCTGCTTAACCACAAAAACACAGCCTGGATTCAACATTTCAGTCACTAAAATCACAGCCTTTGTTGAAATGTTCTCAAGCTGTTCTTGATTGTCTTCTTTTTCATTGCAAGAATTCCAAACAGATCCACCTTGCCTTAATATTATTTTCTATTCTCTCTCTCTCTCTCTCTCTCTCTCTCTCTCTCTCTCTCTCTCTCTCTCTCTCTATATATATATATATATATTGGATATTTAAATTATTCGTTTGCCTTAATATTATTTTATATTCTCTCTCTCTCTCTCTCTCTATATATATATATATATAGATATAGATAGATATATATATATATACATATGTATACACACAATTACAAAAAGACTTTCAATGAGCTCAATCATAAGCATGAGGAAAAGGCATCACGTTTTCAGTGTAGACTTAAAAACATTCACACCAAGATTCATCAACAAAATGACAACTGAAATGAAGCATTTAAAAAATAATAAAAACCAACAGACCCACTCTTAAAAGTAATCATAATGAACTGAATTAAAAAAAACATTCAAAATGAAATAAAAACTAATTATTTAAAATCAAACTCTAATATAACCCTGATTCGTACTTGGGGTGGACTTCTAAAGCATTATTAGACCATCATTATCAGACCACCAACTTACTTTTGATCAAATTTGGATCAAAAGTAAGTTCAAAAGTCTTGTAAATGTGAATATAGCAGAAGACAAAGAGAATTGGTTGAAGTTGTGCAAATATTGATTCATTTGACAGCAGTCACTGCAGCAGGACTGCACCATGCTTGGCAAGGTTATGCGGAGCTATCAAGTTTCTGCTAACCAACCAGCGGCTAAAACGTAGACAGAAAGGAAAGGATGCGGTCAATTTTACACAGTGTGCCCAATATGTCTATTCCTAATGCATTATGCTATTGCTCATTACATTAATATGTTGTAAAAATGTAACGTCAAAGCATATTTTAGATCGCACTGCATCTGTGTCCCCTGATGGCAAAACATATTGATGTCCTCGGCCTGAAAATCGCTCAACTAATGTTGGTTGGTCTTTGCAGCGCACACACTCCTCCAGCTGGCCTGTACACACAAACATCTCCTGCATGCTGCAGCCCCAGGGAGCACCGCATATTTACCCAGTATCTGTCTTTAGGCCCTGTAGCAATGACAAATTGTGCACCTCTGAAGGTGAATGATGAAGAAAGCGATACAAATTTTTTTTTTTTTGGGTGGGGGTTAGGCGGTGACTTGAGAAATGGTAGAGCCCTGCAATGCTGTGCTCTCCAAAATCAGGCCAAACATTCTTGCTTGAAGCGAACAGGATGATAAAGAAAATATGGAGATCAGGGCAAAAATGTCGGTGGAGACACTTTGGTGAGCCACCTCAAGATCCATCCATCCATTCAACCATTTTCTGATCCGCTTTATCCTCACAAGGGTGTGATGGAGACGAGCGAAAAGGAAAGCGAATGGCATCGATCTACGAGATGGAGACGAAATAAAAAGGCAGAAAGAAACAGCAAAAGATAGGAATCAAAGAGGTGTAATTATAGATCTCTGGATGAGGGAAATTGCATTTCGAGGGATGAGAGCCCAAGGAAACGTGATAGCAGCAGAAAAAAAAATGTATTCTTATCTACTTACGTTAAAGAGATGGAGAGGTGAAACCGCTGTCTGAGGCCCCGGAACATGGCGAAGGTCTTCGGCGGGAAGGAGCGGGAGGTGACGGTGCAGTACGGTCGCTCGTACCCGCCGGCAGGACACTCGCAGCGGAAGCCGCCACCTGAGAGCTCCCGACACGTTCCTCCGTTACGACACACACCCGGCACGCAGCCGCCATGTCGCCGATCAAATTCGCATTGGTCACCTGTATAGCAAGCGCACATCATATTTAACCATAAGACAAAAATGCCATTTTAATAAAAATGACCCAAAAAAGTGCACACGCGAAATAAATGCGCTAAAAATATGTAATTTTTTACAATTGTTTCTCAATGTGTGTACTGCATAAACAACAAGGGTTGAGGCAAACAAGAAAATATATATTTTTTTTTGCAGTGCAAAGGGCTCTCTTACATCAAAATGACCATTCAAGGACAGCACAAAACTGATAAACAGCAAACCAACATTAAATGCAAGAACTCATTTTGTGAATTTCGTCACAAAAATCAACTCACTCAAAAGTTTGATATTATTGAGGTACTGCGTTTGTCCTGCATGACATTCCAAATCCGCAAAAAAAGTTATTAGGCCTACTCACGTTGTCGTATAGTGCTGTATAAGACAAGGTGTAAGCGCAACTAAGTCATGTCTGCCATCTAGTGGTGAATGGTGATATTACAACTTAAAACTATAAACCAGAACCTTCCTATTTTCTAGGGAAAGTGAAAGTGTGTGTATAATATATGGCTAGTGGAATGAATTTGGGGGTGGGTGGGGGGGATTTGTAAGCCCAAATATTTCTACAAAAAACCCTGGTAATCCTCCAGCATCTATTCCCCACAAAAGCGGGTGCTTTCTCCACCCAAAAACTCCAAAAGCAATTTTTTTTTTTTTAAATATCAAAAAAGATCAGCAAATAGTGTCGAGTCGCAAGTATTCAGCATCCTCAGGAGTAGAGTAAAATTTTTTCATTCAAAATGACTTCATCAAGGGGCCATTCAGCAGCCTGTGGACTGCCATTTGCACCTCCCTCCAAACAGAAAGGCCCGAGCCAGAATTCGAATGAGCTCGGCCTCGTGAGTTAACTCGTTTGTCAGGCTTGTTGGCACCTAGGTTGAAGCTTTGCCTTACCTGAAGTCACCCGCTCAGCAATGCTTTTCCTCTTTTAGGAACAGTATGGGAACAAGAAACAATAGACACTGATTGAAATACAGCACTGTTTTTCACCTAGTTTTGCATAACAGTTCCAGTAATGAGTCATTTTACTGTTGCACTGGAACCTTCAGAAAGTTTTACCTGGAAGTTTATAAGAATCTAAAAGTAGTGCAAACAAAACCAGGACTGATTCTACCGCCATTATGCACCCTTTTCAAAGACCGCTGGTTTTTCTTCTCAATCAGGCAGCCAATTACACTCTCCTCTTTATGCAAATGTCTCCTTCATTATGGAGTACAGGCAGCAGGGTGCTGATTCCTTGAGGAGGACTAAGAGCTTCTTTTATAGAGGACTGACCTTTAGAGTAGATCAAATGTAGCGAACACAGGATATGATGGGGAAAACACAAAAAAGATAATTGGCAATCTGACAAAAGGGATCAAGTGGGTGTGGCATCTATACGGTCTCTTAATAGCACGACAGATTACCTCGTTAGATTTAGAAAACAACCTCTGTTTACAAATGGCCGACAACCTAAATAAACGTGTCATCAAGTTATATGCTGAAAGTGGGCAAATGCGTTGCTGGTATTTCTCGTTACACTTTACAGACTAGCTGAAATATGTCGCGGTGACCACAACCTAATTTAAGGTTAATGCCTTAAATGACAGCATTTTGCCCAAATTTGAAAGTAACAAAGAATCTAACCGGGGGTCTCATCCCAAGTCACATTTCGGAAAGTTCCCTTTGCAGTTAAGTGTAAGCTAGCTGAAGGACTCCCCGGTGGATTCACAAATGTTCATTGCGGATCACAAACTTTGCATGACATGGCAATTTAATTACAACTACGGCTCGATGAATGTTTATGACACACCCTATGTTGTTTCAATTTCATCTGAATTTACTTTTGCACACACCCAAACAGCCTCCTTGGTGGAGGTAACAAATCAAAAGTGAGTTTTATCCCCCCCGAGAAAAGAAACACCCACGTAAGCCCGCCATCACCACACACAGAATGAAGCACGTCGATGCCCAGTTTCTACCTTTCCTCCAGCCTATTTGGACACAAACATATTCTGACACAACAGCTGCTCACACTCACACTCCTCCTCTTGTCTTTTCCAGACAAAAAAAAAAAAAAGAGCAAAGAGGGTTTGAAACTGGCCTGCGGATACACTGCCCCTTAAGGACTCTTTTAAAAACCTGACGACAGCCTTTCAAGCATCGACACTGCATAAGATGACAAGCAGAAGCATGACACCCAATTGTGTGTGTCATACCTACGGTATCTCTTTTATTTGTGTGCACACACAAAAAAAAAAAAGAACAAAGAATCGTTGCCCCTCACCCTTGAGGCTGTCAAGTTTGATCATGTAACTGTCTCTGTTGGCACGTTGTTTGCGCCTCTTTTAACTGGTGCCCACTAGCAAAAGGTCCACACATCACACAAACACACCCGCCAGCGCATAGGCAGATGGTTGGAAGTCAATAGCAACCTTCGCCTTTCCCCCGTGGTCGTCTGAACGAAAATATCATCTGACAGAGAAGACATTGAGACATGTAACAGCGGCTACACATGTTTAGAGGGCAAGTAAGGACCCCCCCACCCCTCCCCTGCCCGACCCAGAACAGAAACAGCAAAACAACCACAGTCTTCCCACTTGTTGTTGAGCTAAGCCGCATTGAAAATTTATTCAGAGAAATCTGATCGGAGCGTTTGTGAGTGCTTTCAGGCGATACAGTGACATCGTTGCTATATCATTGTTTTTAGTTTCACTTCGATATTCTCAAAGTATGTTGTACACTCCTCGGAGTATGTACGGGGCCACTGACAAGTGCTCTTTGAGTTATTCTTGTGGTTTCTCCCAACACCACTTTGCTTTCTTGACCACTGTTTGTTTGTTTGTCCTCGCAAGTCTTCATCAAACCACCAAACCGCCATGAGGAAGGAAGGAAGGAAGGAAGGAAGGAAGAGCAGCTGGACTCACACGGTAAAAGTCTTGAGCCAGTAATTGAATGATTGTCACCTTTTCGCATCTTCCAGGACTGGTCCCGCGTTTTCGACATCCGAAACATGACGAGAGCATGAGTCCACACACACCCACACACACATACACACACACACTAAGGCTGCCTATTAAAGAAGGACACAGTTTTGCTAATCCAGCAAATTGGCTGTCTTGCCTTTGTCTCTTGGACCGTTTTTCTGCACAGGCTCATTAATATTAAAATAAATGGATAGACATTAATACTCATGAATAATGCGTGTGGTGAGACTTAAAACACACTTATAAACACCCCCCCCCACACACACACAGACAGACACACACACGCCTGCATGCACGCACATGCCAAACACACAATCGGGTTGATGTTGAAACACCCAGTTGGGAACAGGTCAAAAAACAAAGGCTGGAAACAGGGAAGTAGGGAAAGTAAAGAATGACATTTTTGTTTTTCATTCTTGGATTGTGAAAAGAGGGTGTCAAGTACTTTCACCGGAAAATATTCACAAATCAATGATACAATTTTGTCAGTGCGCATCCATTATTCGCCTAAAATGGAATAATTTACACAGACAGTACTGTACATTTCTTTGCATTTGAACTGTATTCTTCAGGATTCAACATTTGGCCCTAAAATATATAAAAATGGTGAGGGTTATGATTAACATTTACATTGACACCTCTGGCTCTATATTGATGCCAGGTCATGAGCAAAGTGCAGTCTTACTCTGTGACTGGGCGGGCTACACCAAGTTTTTAGTATTTTTTCAGATGCACGCAGCTTGGCGAGTTCGAAATGGGTGATCTGCGCCATTGTGGGTGTGAACACAACAGACTTAATTCACAGCCAACCAAAGCGGGACTTGTTATTCCCTTTAAAATTGCCGTTCTCGAGCCACACAGTTCACAACATGGCAGAAGCAAAAATTGATTGCTGGAGTCCATAAAGGAAGTTGAAGCACGCAAGGTACGTTTATAAGGAACTGCAAGCAGACCTGCATGAGCAGATGATGTCAGGTTGGTGAGAGCAAGCACAGATCACAGCTGTGAAGTACACATTTGGAGACCATCTCTCACCCCAATCGTTCATGTCCATGTGTGGCACCGTAGACAGAGGAAAGATTTTAAAACTATAATAAAAATGTTAATATTAACAATGCATCCAATGATTCTGACGGTTCGATGCGCGCTGTTGTCATATTTATGAATGAAATCCGATGACATCCACCACGTGCACGACGTTCAGAATCTGTCTGCCAGCGCCTCGATTAAATTCACTAAAATCACATCGCGTTACGCTCCATGCACCAATACTTAAGACGGTGGGGATTCACAGTACTTCATCCCATCCAAAGCAAAAAAACATTTTTAGAACATGATTCAAGTCCAGAAACGTTACACTTCTCCCTGAATCATCACTTAAGCGCGGTTTTGTTTTTGTTTCATTTTGCCTCCCTCCGGTCTATTGCTTCATCCTTCCTTTCCTCACCTGCGCTCTCGCTCGATCTTTGTCCATCTTGCCTCATCTCGAGTTGCTCATCCCTTCTTCCTCTTCCACGCTTGGCTTAATGTATTCACGCCATCCTTTCATTCATGCAGATGTTTTATTCATCAAAGCCACGATATTCTTCAACCGCCCCTCGGCATCTTCGTTTGCTCCGCCTCGCCTCCCACCGCCTGGTCCCCTTCCTCCGCTCCCACCCGACCACATGGTGCATCCCTGGAGGCCAATACGTGCCACGCAGATCCCTCTTTCCTCGCTCTTGTCTCCTCTCTGTAGGTCTTGCTCCCTTTTAAATCTCACCTCCCTCACTCGTTCTCTTTCTCTCCTACAGCACCCTCAAGGAATGCATAATGGACTCCCAATTTGCTTAATCTGTGACTTTTTTTTCGCATAAATAAACGATCTTTGCTGTCAATGTTTAATTCTCGACAAGGCATCGGTGTACTGTGAAAGGCCGTTTCCTGGGTTGAGTTACTCGACGGCAGCTGTTCAAAGGTAAAAAAGACTTCTGATGGAATCTTTTTTTGATCCTTTGAAATATTTATCTTTTTCATCCTGTCTAACACTTTGATTCATCCCTTTTTAGTTTTCCCAACAGACTGAGGGGGTATCCGCAAAGTGTCCACTTGCTGCATTTTCTGGGTTTTAAAACCGTGCAATTACAATTATTTTTTATTATTTTTTTAACTACAGTACCATTTTCCTAGGGCGGCACGGTGGATGCCTGGTTAGCACATTAGCCTCACCGTGCAAAAGTGTAGGGTTTGATTCCGGCTCCGGCCTTCCTGTGTAGAGTTTGCATGTTCTCCCCGTGCCTGCGTGGGTTTTCTCCGGGTAATCCGGTTTCCTCACACATTTCAAAAAAACATGCATGGCAGGTTAATGGAACACTCTAAATTGTCCCTAAGTGTGACTGCGAATGGTTGTTCGTCCATGTGTGGCCTGCGATTGGCTGGCAACCAGTTCAGGGTGTCCCCTGCCTACTGCCCAACGACGGCTGGGATGGGCTCCAGCACCCCCGGCGACCCTCGTGAGGGTAAGCGTAAGCGGATTAGAAAATGGATGGATGGATACCAGTTAGCTGTTTGTTAAGTCCATGGCATGGGTTGATTTTGCAGTCAACAGTATACAGTGTTTCTATAATTAAAAAATATATAAATGTCAATATCAATAGCTATGTCTCAACTGTTTCCTCTTCAAGCTATTTTTGTTTTTCGACTATATCTGAAATATCCATCTCAGGTTTGGACAACTGCAGTGCCGTGCTGAGGTTGTGACGCCTTGTTGAATCAGGCACATATATGCTATAACGGTGTTTAAGCAAGCCGAAAAAAATACACTCAAAATGCTCCTCGTGTCTGTGAGAGACTGGTCATAATTGTACTACCTACTCATGAGAACAGTGTGGCAATAATGATGTGTGCTGATGAGTGCATTGAGACATTCAGAACGCTGGATAGCAGTCCTGTGCTTGTACTTCCCCTCCCTCAGGTTTTGGTGTGCAGTAGTTAAGCCATTGAAAGATAATTCCGAATGCCCTCCCAATTTCATCAGCGACCACCCGGCTTCGTTTCAAACAAAGCACTCCTCCATCTCGTTCTAAATTGAGGAATTGTGCTACATGATTCAATTTCAGCGAAACATATCTCACTTGCATGTATGCTGCTTTATATTTCTACACTGCAAACACTTGAATCAATCGATTAGCTTCATAACACAGCAAAAGATTGTGCGAATGAGGTATTATTATTTACAACGTTCATTAGAGAGCTTAAATGTGTGATCTTTTTCTCTCTCCTCTGGCGAACGGATTACATTTCTCACTTATAACAGCCAAAACTAATCGGGTCTTTACCTGCATTTCCTAGCCCTCTCGGTTTAGCTTTTGTCTCAAATTCGCTGTGTATGAAAAAAAAAGAGCCTGCTGCATAACCACCACGAGAGTTCATTTCTATTTGTGTCGTCTCTCCCTCTCCTCACAAACTAATTTAGTCTGCGTCCCTGTTTGTGTCTCGTCTCGTCTGTGTAGCTCGAAGCACTCCCTCAAGAGCACATTTTATGTGTCATACATTCCCATCTTGAGTGTCCTTTATCGTTGTATCTTTTTCATGGCATCATGGATACTTTTCCATCGGAATTCAAGGGAATACTGTGTGTGTGTGTGTGTGTGTGTGTGTGTGTGTGTGTGTGTGTGTGTGTGTGTGTGTGTGTGTGTGTGTGTGTGTGTGTGTGTGTGTGTGTAGACCTCTGCACTGTGAGGTCGGCGCACTAACCAATTGACCACTGGGCCGCGGCAACAAATATGGACAAAAAAATGTTTTCTCTTTTTTCCTCAAAGCCTTCCGCTGATTGTCCTTGTTAGGTATTAATTAGTCAGCATTAGTCATGTTGGTCTAAATTGTTCTTCACCTTTTCATGCAGTAATAATGATAACCTGTAACCGGATAACATGATAACTGTCCACTGTAGTAACCGCTGTCCCTGAAAGGGTTGATCATCTGCTGTGATAAATCTGTTGCTTTTATTGATACTGACAGATCCTGGATCAGTCACCCAGACACCTCTACTTCTCTCGGCTGCCTCATTCACATAACATCAGTCGACTCTACTTGCCTGAGACCACTGGAGAGCCAACAAATCATTAGTCCTTGAGTTCTGTATTTCTACCAATTGTGCTCAGTTTTCTTTCCATTCTGCCTTTGCCTTGACTCTTCCTGAGTGTCCCAGTGGGAGTTTGAAACCACTTTTTCCTCTATGATGTGACACTGTACAGCATCATTTCAATTCAAATACAAAAATGAAGTTAAAAAAAACCCTGCAGTTTTATGTTGTGGTGCTGCGTGTGTCTGTGTGCATAAATGACAAAGTAACAGGTAGACAACTGGAAAGCAGACGTTCTCCCACAAGACGATGGTGCGTGTTTCATGTTGTCAGGCTCAATGTGACAAAAGTGGGAAAACACAGCGGATCAAAAACAATGTCAATGTGGGACGTCAACAAAGAACTCCGTTAGCTTCCCCTCACAGAAACGCCACACAATGTGTGTTCTTTTCCTTGGCATTACGACAAAAAAACAAAACATTTTTTACCCGAGGCCACCTTTTTTTTTTTCTTTTTTTTTGGGGGGGGAGCTGATCTGGATTTGAAATTCATGAGTGGCGTAACACACTTATTCGTCTCAGATCTCAACCACATCCATAGTAATTACATGGAAGTGAAAAACAACAATAATTACACGGTACAGCCATCATTAGCAGCTTCTATTTGTGAATCTTTCCTATGCAAAACAAACAAACAAAGAAAAAAAAACATGCCAACTCTCTTCTCAATCTGCTAAACTCTTATGCAAAAGTGAAAGCCTATTCTACACATAATTAACAATTTTAGGATATAAAAAAAAAAGTTTCTTCTTGTCATTGCTATGGGTGGGATTTTCAAAGTAATTTGCAGTACAATTTCCACCCATTCATTATCTGTTCCGCTTATCCTCAGGATGATCACAGGCTTTCTGGAGCCTATCTCAGCCGTCTTCGAGCAGCAGGCGGGGTACACCCTGGGCTGGTTGCCAGCCAATCGCAGGGCACACATAGACGAACAACCACTCGCACTCACGATAACATCTTAGGACAGTTGTACAGTGTTCAATTATCCTACCATGCATGTTTTTGGAATGTGGGTGGAAAATGGCAGTACCCGGAGAAAACCCACGCAGGAACGGGGAGAACATGCAAACTCCACACAGGAAGGCCGGAGTCGGAATTGAACCCTGCACCTCTACACTGTGAGGCGGATGTGCTAACCAGTCGACCGTGCAGCCCAGTACAATATTATTGCAATATTTTACCAATGGTAACAATAATCATTATTACGAGACAGCGATGATGCAATCATCAATATATTGGGGAAAAAAATCAGCTACAGTACAATATAGAAAAACATTTGGCATGCAAACATTTTTTTGAAAAATGAATAAAATATAGATTCACGTTTCTCATCATGGTTTCATAATTTCAAGGTGAAGTAAGGAGAGATGTGGCCAATCATTTATTTATAAGGTGGTTTTCATTTGTGGTTTAGATCTCCAGCGTTGAGCGCAGAGAACGCTTTTCCATTCGTAGCTCGGGTTAGGTTGGAAAAAGTGAACTGCAACTTTGTGGGAACTCACGGTTGCTAACTTGTTCAGGCTTTGTTTTTTCTGAAGAGTAATTTATGTTCTTACCCTGTTGATTGCATCACTTCCATATGGAGTTGCCGTTTTAAAAGTTCCAGCATAATATCGTGCTTCATTTCAGTAAAATGTCGGACTAATTTTGTTTGTCCAAATAGAGTAGAGCAGAACTCACCGGTGTAGTCCTCACGGCAGATACACGTGTACCCTCCCTCTTTGCGGGTGCACACCCCTCCGTTCAGGCAAGGGTTGGAATAGCAAAGATTGATCTCGGTTTCGCAGTAGTCACCGGTGAAGCCCACAGGACAGCGGCAGCGCAGGCCGGCGATGGGGTGAATGGGCCGGAACAGGATGGAGGGGGAGGAGATGAAGGGGGCGGAGCTATTGAAGCGCAGCACGGAGATGCACTTCATGTAGTTCTGACACGGCTCACGTAGACAAACGTTGTCGTCAAATGGAAGGACCTGAGGGGGGGCAGAAAATGTCAGGGGGATAAAAAAAAAAAAGACATTGATCACAGCATGTCAAAGCGGCTACCGATGAAATGTAGATCTGCCCCTCTGAGGCTGTGGGCGATATAGCAAAATTAACATCTGAGCCATTTGTCATGATTCTATTTTTGTTTAGATGATGTTTTGGTTTTGCTACTTCATGCGCTTTTGTCTTCCTCGTTTGGTTTTGTGTCCGCCTGTTGTCATCCGGGTCCCTTGTGTCAACCAATCAGTGCTCCCTTTGGGTCTTGTCAAGGTGTTCCTTGTTGTCTCGTCAGTTTGCTTGTCTTTAGTTTCCTGGGTTCTGTCAGTCTTTGTTGGATGGGTTTTTGTTTGTTACTTTGCTTTCTTGTGGTTTTCAGGACTTTGTTTGTGTTTTTGATTTACTTTCTCTGGTCTACCCCTGCAAGTGTTTTTTGTCAATACAGTTTGTTCAGTACTCCATCCATCCATCCATCCATCCATCCATCCATCCATCCATCCATCCGCTTATCCTGAACCAGGTCATGGGGGGTTGCTGGAGCCTATCTCAGCTGACTTTGGGCAGAAGACAAACTTCACCCTGAGCTGGTCGCCAGTCAGTCGCAGGGCACATATCGAGACAAATGACCATTCACACCCACACCCACACTGTCACTGATTGGGAACCGACCCCATGCTACCTGCACACAAGCCAGGCGAGTGTACCCCTACATCATCAGCGACCCGTAGTCATTAATGTGAAAGGTTTAAGAAAAAATATGAAATGAGGATTAAAACGTTGGTGAATATTTTACAGCATATCTGGCCCCTGTGGCATCTGAGTAGCTTGTGTTTCGATGCAAACATTCTGATTGGACGCTTAGTCAAGGCAATTGGGTGTTGCTATCATATTCACTCCTTAGCTTCTCTGTTCAGGATTTGCCTTTGTGTGCATTTTTTTTTAACATGACATGTACTGTTCAAGACTTTAACATCAATTGACTGCATCTAAAGAGCACCGTTCTTTCTTCAAGGTTAAACTCCTTTTATGCTCATCTCAATCACACATTCCATGATGGCTTCTGTCGCCATGGGAACGAATGTAAACGTACGTCAAAAGCAATGGAGTGTCACAAGCATTGGTGGAGGGAGTTTCTTGCAGGGTTACAAACCTCCATCTGTGTGAGCGAGGTCAGCCGCGGCCTGTTCAGGTACAGTTGTTCCTCCAGGGCTTCGGAAGGAAAGAAGTGTCCCCCTGGGAGCACCGCGGAAAAGCTCACATTGAGGATCCCTCCCGGAGCCGCATCCATGTCCGGCTGGATGTTGAACACAAAGACGTCCTCGACGGGCACCGAGAGAACCGCCGACACACCCTCCAGGAAGTGACCCAGCAGCGGTGAGAGGAAGTGCTCCTGGGACATGTTCTGCAGGCGGACGGTGACGCTGCTGCCCAGCATGTCCTCGGTAATGATGAGCACACGTAGAACGCAGTGCGCCGAAATGCTGTGAACGCCATCTGTAAGCAAAAGAAAAAGAAAAAAAAAAAACAACCAAGATTAATTCAAACATTAATAAGGTGGGTGTGAAGGGAGAAACAACAAGGTGATGAATGAAGACACTAGCAAAGAGGAGAAAATGAATCAATCCAATGCATGATAAATGAATAATAATTTGGAAGGGGGGTAAATATTGTCATGCGCAATGTTGTACAAATATTTCACACAAATAACAATGCAAACAAATCATGATAAGATGTAACGTCAGATGTCACGAAGAACTAAGAATGTGTTTCGAAGGCACTCACACTGCATTCTACAGGCTTCCCCTACCAACCCCACCCCGATACTGAAGTGGATGAAATCGTAACTATACTGTTGTTGTTCGACATAGCGGACAACTGTAGTTTCATTAATTCAACAGCCAAAATTAAAGAGGGCAAAGCCATTCTTGGTCCATATTAAGATTTCAAGTACTGTTAGATACAAAATGTGACTGCATGTTCGAAACACAAAAAAAATATGCCGTTGGGATAGAATGAGGAGTCCAACTGGGAGAGGAAGAATGACAACTCCCAAACGAGATACTCTAATTAAGATGAGAGGCACCGTATGTGACTGAAGACACAGCAGGGCTGGGTTCTAAATTTTGTGTTCACTCTAACAGATTGTGTTCACTGTTGGCAACAGTTGTAAAAGTGGTGGAAACTGCTCTTTTTAAAAAGAGGATTTTGCGCTTTAGGAAGCTGTGATCATTTTCAAATGGAACATTTGGGAGAGCCCCGCAAGCGCAAAATTATGGTTGAAGTAATGGAAGTGAAAGTTTTAGTGGAAGCAAACAAACAGACTGTATTAATTGGGTTACAGAAGAGATCTATTTGATTTAACTGCTCCTGAGCATGTGACAATTGGATGATATGTCCATCGTGCATAATACTGGGCTGACAAATTGGGGCAGTGCATTTGGAAAACTACTCTGAGAGAAGCCAGCATCAATTGTCCCAGTCATGGGAAATGACCCACGTGCAGAAATGCGTTGACAGGAGTTTAGTCATAGGTGATATGGCATGACTCCTTCTTGTGACTGTCTCCAAGTCAGCTCTGCATAGATTAGTCAAAGGCTTAAAACTTGCATTGATGAATGTATGACAATGTGTTGCGATTAGTTTGTTTGGGTGCATTTCAAAAATGTTTACACAAGCAGAATAGCTCCCCCCGAAACTTCTCGTTTTGTATGTCCTACACTGGGGTCACTTTGCATGCTGGTTTGTACCTTTCTTTCAGATGTGCTATTTGAGTACCAGAATCAGCCAATGCCTTTTTACTTCAGCATATACATCGCCCGTAACATGCTAAATGAACTATGAGGCAATTTTGAGTTTGGCAGACACAATTCTGTTTGGGCAAAATTAGCGTCGACATTTTGCGTGCCCAATCAAGTTTGCGCAACTCACGCCCAGAAAGTTCAAAATGTGGGATGAGTTTGAAAAATGAGAATTGATTCTAAAGGTATCAACCAGAAAGAGAGAAGCATGGCATGGCAAAATGGAAGCTGATGTGTCAAAGAGAAAGGATGTACACATAGGAAGGGAGAGAAAGACACCTGGGCAATGCAGGGTAGTGTAGGATTATTAAAAAAATAAATAACAGCACACTTGAATGCAAGAAAAAAGTTGACTTCGTGAAAATGAATCTGGAAGAGCAAATCAGATGATAAACTGAGAATCATGATCAAATCATTACATACAGCATAATTTGTATTATGAATCACTGATTGGTTTTTATTAGCTCATATTCCCCACAAAGTTATTCAAATGGTTCACTTTGTATCAGATTCATAATTTGCCAATTTAAAAATGGTTAGACAGAGAGAGCCGCTGAATGTGGTCAGAAAAAGACAATAAGTGAAAGCAACAGAAGGAGAGTGGGCTAAAAAGGAAGGAGAGGGAAAGGCGGAAGCAAGGATGGGGGTTGGGTGGGGTGGCAGCTGGTTTGATTACCGGATTATGAGGAGCCTCACTCCCGACTGACCTCTAACGCGCACGCGTACACACACAAACACACACACACACAAACACACACGCACACACACAAACGAAGGCGATAAACAAGGAGCCAGAAGGAGGAGTGACCATGAGGAGTAACACGAAAAAAATAGATGAACACGAACAGACTACATCGGCCTATTATGTCACAAGGATACACAAAGTTACACCACCACACCCACAGTATGATTCAATAAACTACATCCCAGTGTCGTCAACTTCCGAGGGCCGAAGGGCAACATTATTTCATTATTGTCATCACTCCACATCATGTAGCACAAATTGAAGCTGATCTCCTATTGTTATTTAAATGACTGAAATCTTGGGAATGACTGCGGATAATCTGCTGGTGTAGGATTTAATCACTCATGTGCACACACAAATACACACACACACACACACACACACACACACACACACACACACACACACACACACACACACACACGTTTCACATGTCAGTGTATTTACAGTGTAATTGCAGATCTCCTGACATCGCCCTTGATTTTCGATTTATTTTCCTACATTGTAAAGAATGCGACTCTTCTCATGCTCCACGAAAAAAATATTTAAAGCCTGCAGCCCAAATTTTTAAAAAATGCTACTCTTAGGAACCATTGGTGGTGTTGATTGAGCTGAGACCACCACCAAGTGTAAAATGTATTGTTTTGAGTGCTGCTGGGTTGTTTTGTTTTGGTAATTAATTACGGTAGTAGGATGATGTGGAGGAGTGGCACGGAACGGGGAGAAAAGTTTGTTTTCCTGAAATAACCAAGTCTGATGACATTTGGCGCTCGATGCTAAATCCTCTCTTCTGTCATTTGAGTCACTGCGGAAACATTCCCACTTGCCACAGAATGCCGAGTGCCATCGAGCCTCTTGACTCTTTCTCCAAGAGCCAGAATGCAGCCTGCTGAAAATATGTTGTTCCGTCAACTTTTTTTGTCTGAATTTCTATGCTCTTTTTGCCAATGAAAGACTCAGTCACCGAATTAAAAAAAAAAAAAAAAAAAAAAAAGATACGATGCTGGCATCTCATGCCATTTTTGATGCACCGTATGATATACTGTAATGTGTGTATTTGCTTGGACATCCACTCTCGTGTTCTTAAAAGATGGAGTGTGTAATTATTTTGACTTGCACTGTAAGGTCCTTTTATCTACGGTCACGTGCTATTAACAGACACGGCCCATTAGGCAGAGAGAAAAACTCACAGTAAACTCTATTTCTGCAGTTTTTGGGTTTTTTTTTTTAGGTTTACTCATTGCTCCATTAGAAACCAAGGGGAGGCTTGAAAAGAAGCAAATGAAAGCAATTTAAGAACACAAATTGTGCACGCTCTACCACACAAGTGAGGACAGCTAAATGTTTTGCCGTAGCACAGAATATCAAAACAAATCACGGGTAATGTTTTCTGGAAAAATAAAGACGGCGTCTCATCATTTCTGAATTATTTTGAGTGTGGGTATATTTGTCAGGAATCATTCCATTTTGTATGAGGACTGGAACATAAAGGAATACAAAATGCATCCTTCACTTTGCACTCTGACCGGGCAACAACAATCACGCTGATGAAGGTTAAGAAGTCTCAGCTTGCGTCAGGAGCGCACGGGGACTTTGACTGACACTTGGCAAATTCATCATCAGACAGACAGTCGCACTTGTGCAAACAAGGTCAAACACCCTCGAGCGGAGATGCGAGTGTCTGCCATGCGCAGGAGAAATCACTTCAAATGTGGAAATACAAAAGAACAATTGCCCGCAACTCTTGGCACACAAGCTGCAGAGAAGAGATGACAAAAAACATTCATGTTGACTGATACCATGATTTATTCATTTAGAAATATACCGTACGTCCGTCTTTGGAATAGAAAGCCGCGGAGCTATTGTGAAGCACTCCTGAGTGGTGATGCGAACTAGCGACGGCATGTGATGTTTGCACCTAACTTGCTAATAAAACATCCAGGTCATAAATAATACATCAGCCTTTTTGATGCTTTAGCCTGCATGGAAACAATAAAACATTAATATCTTACAAAGGCCACAAATGGAAAGTTACTTTGTTGCACGACCGTGGAACAAAAGATTTTGTAAATAACTCGGGAGAAGCTTTTTTTTTTTTTAAACCCCTGTGGACTCAAAGACATCATCTTCCCCTTCAAAAGCGAGGAAAGCACTCGTAAAGCCTTTAAAGAATGAACGTGCTGATGTGGAATCACCAGCAAGGTCCCACCGGTGCCAGAACAGCCGCTCGCCATAAGAACGAAGCGGGACCAATGCGTGTTCTGCTTCTAAGATGCGTGATGAGTCGGCAAACGGGGATTTCAGTGCTATCTCACTTTGCCAGGTAGCCTGACTAATAGGACACTGCAAGCTCCTTGAATGTCAGCGCTCACTTCCAGGAAAGCCGGATGCAAATAGTCTGCAAAGTCATGTAAAAGGCAAGCCTACTGCCGGCGCTGAAAACAGACGAGGAAAGATCATTTTACACGGCCGCGGTGGAAACATATACTGTAAAATGCATACTTCGTGCAGTTCTGAAAAAAAAATAAGTCGGCATGCTTCACCAGAGATTAGTTTGGTGAGTATGAACTCTGCATCGTGATTTTACCTTTAGAACTCCATCCATCCATCCATTTTCTGATCCGCTTTATCCTCACAAGGGTTGCGGGGCATGCTGGAGCCTATCCCAGCTGTCTTCGGGCAGTAGGCGGGGAACACCCTGAACCGGTTGCCAGCCAATCGCAGGGCACACAGAGACGAACAACCATCCGCGCTCACACTCACACCTACGGACAATTTTGAGTATTCAATCAGCCTGCCATGCATGTTTTTGGAATGTGGGAGGAAACCGGAGTACCCGGACAAAACCCACGCAGGCACGGGGAGAAGATGCAAACTCCACACAGGGAGCTGCAATTGAACCCGGTACCTCTGTGCTGTGAGGTCGACGCGCTAACCACTTGATCACCCCT